AGCGGTCCCAATGTCGGAGTAAATCCCCCTGATGAACTGTATTTCGAAAGGGTTGTCCCTGGTGACGGGGTCGGGTGGGTTGAAGACAAACTGATCTGGAATCCTAACCAAATCGTCGTATAGTCCTGAAGCCACCGTTGACTCCGTACCATTGCCAATGTCGAGCAGCCATTTTGCAAAAGGCTGGTTGAGCGGATCTCCCTTTGTTCGCATGTTCTCTCTAAGGGACAATGTCTGCACGTGCCAGGTCTTTCGAGAGTTCTTGAGACAGACATCTTCGATCTGGCCAAGGATTCCTCGAGGCTCTACAGGCAAGACTTGACGAAAGTCTTCTCCAACACAATGACTTTGCCGCCAAATGGGATGGTCGGCTTCTGCATGACGTCGCGGAATGTGGCATCCACTGCTTCGAAGATATATCGGTGGTGCATCGGCGCCTCATTTCAAAAGATGACTTCTGCTTCTTGGGTCCTTTTTGCCATTCCTGACTCGACAGGGATACTGCACGTTGAGCTTTCCATGATCTGTAGCGGGATTTTGAAAGCCGAGTGGGCTGCGCGACCTCCTGTCAGGACCTGAGCAACAATTTCAGATGAGGCAACTACGATCACGTCCTTCTCGCGCCTTCCTCGAATGCGGGCAATCAAAGTGTTGTACAAGAAAGACTTGTCCGTTCCTTCCTGGTCTATCAATAAAGAACATCTTTGCCGCACCTTCGTCCTTGTTACCCAGCGCTGCTGTGATTGCAGCGTACAGCGCTTATTGATCGTCGTTGCAGAGGTCCAAATCATGAACCACCTTAGCCGCAAGTGCCCCAGTGTCGAGTTTTGCATGTTGTCCAAGTTTGTCATTGTTGAGTTGGCGATCGATGAGGTTGCGAAAGTCTCGAGGCATCTCTTCGTATACCGCCAGACTGGTCCCAGCTCCTTTCAGAACCTCGTTGACGTGAAACAGTGCAGTGCTCCTGGCGTCCTCTTCAGCGTTCGGGCGATCCGCAGCATGGTACAGAGAATCCTCAGAAAGGTCTTTGGCAAAAGCTTGCCACAGTTCGAAAGGGTTGGACAGGCCGCAAAGATGCAAAATCATGGTAAAAGACGCCGCAACGCCGCCGGACTTTGGTGACCTGCAGCCGCCTCAGGGCATCGGTGCCATTCTAAATCGTCCTCCAGCAACCCACGCGCATTGGCGATCCCCCAGTAAGTGGCAGAAATCCCTCCCGTGTACGGGTTTTTGCGAAGATTTTTGAAACTGGTTGCTCCTCTAACGTGCAGGAGCAAAAGGCGCAAGCAGTACCGATCGCGATCAACTTTACTCGCGAAGCTCGGGGCCGCATAGTGCAGTCGGCCGATAGTGTTCGAGACTCCGTTTCGCCTGGCGATCCAAGTATGGACGCTATTATCCCATGTGTAGTACTTGGGGATCTCGGAGTAGAAGCACTGTCTGGCCTCCGAATGGCGCCTGTTCAACTTAAACCATGCCATGAGGCTCGTATCATTGTTTCTTTCCTCCAATATCGTCGCTGGAGGCTGCCGAACGTTGAAAATAATATTGTGCCTGTCCTCGACGTGAACCTGCAATCGTACGATGTTTGATGCGTGATCTTGCAGTGAGAAGGCAAAAATCCTCAAGAAAGCCTTACAGGCGGATATGTATCTGGAATTGCGGCATTCTAGGATTTCATCCACGTCTTTCGGGCATCGCCATTCTCGGGAGCGATAGCCATGTTGGCTCGGTCAGAACCCTTGGTCACATATTTGTTGAGGTATTTTACTGCCGACATGGACATGTAGATCTCTACATTAATACGAGCATCATACTGTTGCGCTTGGAGATAGTTCTTTTACAGTTGTATGGAGTAAGGAAACTCCCAATCTGAATGCTCGAATAATTTGTGTTCCACACTGAATACAAGGGTCTAACGCACAACTACGCACACTGTAGCGAGTGATCAGCACAACGGTCTTCTTGTTCAACTGGAACCATAATTCATTATTGATGTATCTAAGCAAAAGGGTACCTGTAGCGAGTGATCAGCACAACGGTCTTCTTGTTCAACTGGAACAAGGAACAAAAGATCGCTGGCTTCGATCCTCCTTTTATACAGGCACAACCCCAAAACCTAATATCAAATCCTGCGTACCCTCGGTGGCTGCTGGCCAACACCAACAATACTTGACGCAGAGCCACTTATTTAAAGTTTATAGTTTGAAGGAGAGAAAGACAGGGACAAAAAGCGAGCATGCAACAGAGAAAAAGAACGTATACATATTTAGGTTACCAGGATCTAGAGAAAAAGAGTGTGAGAATACAGTGCGGAGCGTAAATCCATTGGAGGTGTGCTTAATGCTAATCTTCATGACATGGGAAAATACTTTGCCTTCAACTTATTCAGCCTTGTAGTATGGATAGTATGGTTCATAGTTTGGTAAAATAATTTTATTGTACAGCACTTTTGTATTCTTACTCCTTGCACCGCCTACTCTTGCTTCATGCATCAAAAATCGGGGTCGTAAGCAATTGTGATACATCTTAGGCGTCCAGGATCTCTCACTGGTATGCCGATCCGATTAATGCAATGGCCTTAAGGTGTGACCAATCCTGAGCATAAAACGTTGAACATCCATGTCTGTGTACGAGGGGTAGAGGTAATGAAGTATGGAATGAGATCAGTAAGGTGAGTGTGCACCCGAGCAAGCACGCGTTGTAGCCATTGCGATGCGACGCGACGCGGCATAGCAGAGGAGACTGGAACCAACAGGTGGTAGCTCAGGAGCATGATACTTTCAAAAGACAACTGACACCGAATTGTAGCAGATTTAGGGGCCAACACACTTGTAGAACACCAGAGACGATACTGTGTGTCGTATGTTCACCAGAGTCAGTGCCATGCCATATATATTACTATGTACGTTCTTTTAGTATACACAGGCGCATATGTATCTGGAATGACGGGCCATTTGTAATCTGCAGTTGTGAGAAGGCGGGTGAATAGAAAAGGAAAGAGAGAGGAAAAGAGAGAGAGAGGGAAAAGGCGTATTAAGAAAGGGAGAGACTTGTTTGTGGGGAAAGAAAGCGCGCAATTGTAATTGAGCAACTGGTATGCTTACTGCACACTACATAGTGTTGGCCAGCAGCCACCGAGGGTACGCAGGATTTGATATTAGGTTTTGGGGTTGTGCCTGTATAAAAGGAGGATCGAAGCCAGCGGTCTTTTGTTCCTTGTTCCAGTTGAACAAGAAAACCGTTGTGCTGATCACTCGCTACAGGTACCCTTTTGCTTAGATACATCAATAATGAATTATGGTTCCAGTTGAACAAGAAGACCGTTGTGCTGATCACTCGCTACAGTGTGCGTAGTTGTGCGTTAGACCCTTGTATTCAGTGTGGAACACAAATTATTCGAGCATTCAGATTGGGAGTTTCCTTACTCCATACAACTGTAAAAGAACTATCTCCAAGCGCAACAATAGTACTGTAGTTCCATCGATTGCACACTCCCAATAGTAAGGCAAGCAGTTGAAGAAAGCAGTCTTACTTTTGGGATTCCTCTCGACCGTCCATTTTTAATAAGGAGATGCTCTATCCCTCTTTCTTTTCTTTTCACACATCACCTCCACACACACCTCTACCCCTGCGGCTTTACGGGAAACGGTTAATTTTAACCAATATAACATGAAAGCGTGCGGGAACTGAACGCGGCTATTGTTGGAAATGAAGGTCATTTCCGAGATGCTGTTTACGAAATCTTATGCCTTGTATCTACCCTGGTGCGACGGACTTTTTGTGAAATAGAATGCTAACATCTTTGCGATATGACACAGAGATCATAGTGAAATGAAACGAATGCAAGGTATCATTCATTCTCTCTCCTTCTTCCCTCACTGCACCCCTCTGTTGTTGTCGCTGAAAAGCATTCCTCACGAATAAGAGCGCACACGACCAAAATTTCCTTATTCATCATAGTCCGTACCCCTCAGGAATCTACTGCATTCAGTCCGTCCGCCGCACCACGACCACGACCAACCATCGACTATTAATCCTTACCGTATTGATGTAGCAGAAGTATCGCGCAGTTATCATCCTGGCCGAAGCCAGCTCGCTGGTGACTCTTCTCTACCTCTCGCTCTGGTCCGACGTCGATTCCGAATATATGGGCCATAAATCCAGATACCCACCCTTGGAACAACCTACTGGCCAGCACCACAAACCAGCACCACTGCAGCAGGGTCAACTTGTTGGCAAGAACAATGCCCGTGTCTCTGCACTGCACACCCAGGCCTTTATCGCCTTTTGCAATCCTGATAAGCTCGGCGACGACACCATCTCGAAATCGACCACAACAGCCAGCCCCACGAGCTTTGCTTCCTACTACGATTGGATCAAGTTCATGAACAGCAAAAATAGCCCTCATGACGGTACCTATGGCGCAGGGGACCAGGACAATAATGTGGAAGCACTCTCGCGGTTTATGGGGCGGCCGCTGCACAACTGGATTGTCAATCTCACGGCCACAGCAGAGCCCTGCAACCACCGCGTCCACACTTCCGCCCACTGTCTCGATTTTCTAACTCAGGAGTACAAATATCTGATCCCAACGCCGTTCCCGTCATCGCCCGCTGATAAAAAGGAACCCATGGACTTTCATATCTTTTGGCGTGGCCCCATCAATGACAAGCTGTACCTGAGCGCACATTCGTTCCTGTTTACTCAGCCCCTGGACAAGGCGCGGTTGCATCTCTGGATCGACTCTTCCCATTTTCCCGATGGTCTTCCGGAAGACTACACGAAGAATGAGTTTGCAGCGCCCTTGGTTTCGAGGCCAATGAACAAGTACATTACTATTCATGCCTGGGATCAAGAAGCCGAGCTTGCGTACTTGTATGGAGGACTGCGCACGCCAACACTCGCACAGAAGAAACAACAAAGAGTCGGGCTCGAGGCGCTTTCAGACGAAGCTCGGTTTTTGATTCTGAACTGCAACGGAGGAATATACCTTGACGCTGACGTCTTACTGCTGAAGGACATGTCGCCGTTTTATGATGCCGGAGTCGAATTTGCATACCAATGTAGTAATACTGAAATGTACAACATCGCCATCTTGCGCCTGTTTCCCGGAAGCACTGTCGCGAGGAGGATCCTGGATGGTGCCAAGGCTAGAGAGGCAGAGATCATGCAGAGGAAGTTAAGGGAGGAATTTGAACGCCAGCAGGGGAACGGGAAAAGAGGCAGAGGATGAAGAGAAGGAAGGCACAGTTATCCATGAAGATATTGCCACGAAAACTCCAGTTCTACACAAAGTTAGCGAGTTCGTCCGTCAATCCAAGACTTATATCAAGAAAGTCAAAATCCTCAAAGCGTCTGCCAAGTCCCATAACGCGTTTAATAGTTCCAGACTGTCCAAGCGCGCTGAGGCGCGACCAGATGAGATCTACCATCCAGCACGTTTGCGTGCCTATCTGGATCCTTTGAACGGTGACCTTGAGGGTAACGGTCTGATCATGATGCCCACCGCATTCTTTGACCCACTCTGGCTACGTAATGATGGGGCAGAGAATAATGGCACCATGAATTCTGAAGGGATGGTCGAGGACTTGCATTCATTCCTAGATGTGTTTTTAGAGGCGGCCAACGCGGTTTGCCCTACACAAGTGCAAAATGGAGGAGAAGAGGTAGACTTTCCGGCTAGCCCAGAGTCTTTCTTCGCAGGAGCATACGTGTATCATTGGCACAATCATTGGGATACGCCGATCGAACCTAAGAGCTGGATGGAGCTCATGCGTAGGGCGTATGAGGACTTTGTCCAAGGACGGAGGCCGATCCTCTATGGCGAGTGGTTTAAGGATTTGTAACATATTCATGAAAAGTAAACATCATCCGCAAAGACTCTGCATTTTACAAACGCGCTTTCCTTCGTTTTGACCATCCGTGTATCCTTCAGAACAGTTGTATTTACGAGTCCTTTATTCAAATAGGCTTATTTGGTTATTTTTTTAAAAAAAAAACTGCGTCTACTGTCTTCCCTGCAGACCATACTTTTCCTTCCTTCATTTGTTGTTGAGCGCTTTATGCCGTCGCGTACTTCCTCGTCCATTCCTGAGCAGTCTGGATGGCGGCATTCTCGTTTTCCTTCCAGTGCTGGGCGACATCGTTTGCGAGAGGGTCGTCGGGGTTGGGGGACGAAAGCAGCGCCTGGATAGAAAGCAGCACCGTGCGAATCTGAAGGGCAGGCGACCACTTATCTACAAATGACGATGTTAATAACCGTTTTCTTCCTTACTCCTCCTGAGAATTGTAGATCCTCCTGTTGGCAAGGAATGCGACTGTTTTACCTTTAAGGATATCGAGGCAGATACGGCCGAGTTTGTCAATGTTGGGGTGGTAAATCTTGGTCAAGAAGCGGACCTTGGGGGGCGACATAGGATACTCCTCAGGCAAGAACAACTCCAGATGGAAAACTCCACCTATATAGTATAAAAAAAGACACTGGTCAGTATGACAAAGAAAAAAATCCTGCGCCTCGTGAAGTGTGTGGTGATCCTTTGATTGTAAATGTGGATTCCTCTTTTTCGCCACAATGCGAATAGTTGAACCAGGGTCGCTTTCCTTTAGCTTGCTCCATGCTATTTTCTGCAAGTATGTCATTCCGCCTCTGAGGAATAGTTGACCCTTTGGATACAGTGTGGAAGAATCGCTCGTTCCTGAAAGTCTTCACCGCATGTCATATTTTTACTCTTCAAATTAGTGTGTGGTCCAGGATACTTTGCTGTTGTTGTTGCCATGCTTTTACCTTCGAAAGGAGACTGGGCTGGTCCACTGATGATGACATCAAAATAGCGGAGGTTGTCCTCATGGGCGGTTGCGCTGATGCCAGGTGCAGGATCGGCCATCAGACGCTCCGTTTCCTATTGGTATGCCAAAAACGAAAGAAAATGAGCTCAGTTTTTTTTTTCGATACAAAGGCCGCGATATGAAGGAAGAATCCCGACCGACGGAATAGGCGGGTTGTGGCGACGGACCTTGATGATTCTCTTGGGTAAGGCCATGTTTATGAGGAGTGTGTGATGTGTGAAGAAGACGAAGCTGTTGGAATGAATGGACAGAAAAACAACACGGCCGATACGTGACCAGAAAAAATATACTCTCACACACGCGCCTCAATTTCCAAGAAGAGTACACCATCCACGCGAGGCCTTGCCCCTGTGCGCTGTTCGCAATTGAGTCCATTCCTATTCGGATATATAGCCTTATTGCTCTCAGCATACAAGCGTTTGATTCTAGGAACAGGATTCTTGAGGAGATGGACCAGCGCCGGCAATGCCAAGCGTGAAGACCGAGAGAAGCTGACTGGCTGGTTTATGTTTGCGGATTTGTGAGACGTGATGGTAGCCAGCGAAGAAGACAGAGCAATTGAGAGGAGAAAGAAGTCTGAGCGGTACCGAAAGACTGCGCCCACATAATTGGATAAGGGATCAGAAAGGTATCCTCAATCGAGGTCGGCCCACTATAAACGGTTGCCGTATCATTGCTGTCGAAAGAGAAATAAGGCAGCCATGGAAAGTGGCATTTGCGATCCAGGGACATTAGGTGACGCTCTTGGAACATACGTAGCCATTGGATGTCGAAACAGCCTTCAGCCTTTTGTTGGTGCTGACTTTTTGGTTTTCATCACTCGACGTCGGATACGTCGACTCATGGTTTGTCATCCCAGGTATGGTCATTCAGCAAGCTATACATGGATCGATTGCGGAGAAAAATAAAGTTGTATATTCCTGCGCTTTAAGGCACAGGGGAGGGGCGTAGAGGAACAGGATGATTGGTAAGTAGATGGCTGCGCTGCTGCAGTTTTACAAGTTTAAAATCTTTTGTCCACCACCCTTCAACATCCTCACCCTCCATTCAATGGCACCCATCATCTCAAAGATCTACATCTACCCCATCAAGTCATGCAAGGCCGTCGAGCTGACCGAGTCCAAGCTGTCGAAGTGTATATAACACGTTTGCGCGCTGTGCTCTTATTTTCATGGGCTGCGCTGATACGATTTCACACCAGTTTTTCGAACTTGTCTTCCCTAACTCAGAATTATCGTCCATCCATTTCTGTCCCTTACTCCAACACCGCACCAATATTCTACTGTAACGTAATGCGATTGCATATGCAACATGTCCTCTGCCTTTACTGCCGTACGCATGTGTTTGTTTAGATGGACTCCAGGTAAACATGCCCACCTCGGTAGAAACGTTTCGATTGATGGATTGAGAGTCAAGCGAGCGCCATAACCTGAAAGATCGACGCTTTATCTGATTTTCAATAGAATGACCGTGTCTTTTTGGTCATCGATCCCGAGACGAACCGCCAGAGAACGATGCGTGAACTGTCCGCTGTAAGTGTAAACCAAATCCTCGTCTCGAGCCTTGACTTTTGTTTGCAATATCGTCCTGCATACATGTCCGAGACGCTTGGCGCCTTCTTATTCAGATTTGAGCTTTCGCCTTTACACTGCAAACGCCGCACCCTCGTCGTTTTCGTGCTCACGCTTATGATACTCTCTCAAATCTCCAGATGACGCTGATCGAGCCCAAGATTGTTGGTGACGACCTTGTTATCACCGCAGCTGGCAAATCTGTCACTGTGCCTTTGGTACCTGAGTAAGTGATACGCTTCTCCCTACCATCTCCCTTAACCAGGCCTTTTGTCCAATCGACTACACCCTCTTGTCTAACGTGTGTACCTTGTCCGTCTGAAACATAGCGTCAGCAAGTACGAGAAGCGCGTTGTCACTGTGTGGAAAGAGTCTCTCGAGGCCGCAGACTTGGGCGAGGAAGCTGCTCAACTCTTTACCGATTACTTGGGCGTTCCCAGCCGTCTCGTGTACAAGTCTCCTTACCATGTCCGCCCTGTTATTGAGCATGCTCCTGGTATGAACGAGATTGGATTCCAGCCCCAGGTCCGTAAAATACAAAGGATCAGCAATTTTGCACAGCTACTCGCTGCAAAAAAAATATTAACTCATGCCTTCACTCGCTTCTCACCTCTTGTAGACCGCCTTTGCTGACAATTACCCGATTCTTTGCCTCTCTGAAGAGTCAGTCAAGGATGTTAACACCCATCTTGAGAATCCCGTCACCGCGCTCAACTTTCGTCCCAACCTCTTGGTCTCTGGCGTGAGCAAGCCCTGGGAGGAAGACACTTGGTGCACGGTCGACATTCGTGGGGTCACATACTACTTCACCTGCCGCTGCACCCGCTGCGACATGCCTAATGTTGACCCTGAGACCGGTGTTAAGGACAAGCTGCAGCCCCAGAAGACGCTCCAGAGTGTGAGACGTGTGGATAAGGGCAAGAAGGCCAAATTCTATGCATGCGTCGGAATCAACGTTGTGCCAAATAAGCATGAGGGTGAGCTGCGCATCGGGGACGTGCTGGATGTGAAGGAGATCTTCCAGGGCGAGAGGATGCGTACTGGCGAGGCTGGTTGGTCAACCAAGGCTGTTGAGGTCAGCGCGTAAAATTGTGTCTCATTAATTCTTGTCAACCTTGCACTTTTCTATGCATGCCCCCGAGTTTCTAATGACGCTCAGTGCTACTTAATCTTAAATGAAGACTCATTTGACCCAGTATTCTCGACTGCAGAAATACTTGTTTGAAAGTCGCGTTCGGTCTTTGCATCTGTTCAGTGACCCATTCCTAAGCTGTGTCTTGTTCACGCATATCCTCGCGTTCAAGGTGCTTCTGGAAGCCCCTATTGTTATCTCGAACTGACTAATATCTTATATTTGCTATTGCTGTTGCAGTTTCTGTTGCTTTTGATTCCTTCTTTTTTTTTTTCTTTTTTTTTTGGCGGCAGTCGCGGAGGACCTTGATCGAACAGTAAAACTAAGATCTGAAACAATTTTTTTATAACGTGAATCTATCAGACCTAACGAACATACGGTCCTCCTTTCTACAAAAGCAGGACTGATCCACATTCCCCTGGGCCTGCCACTAGGGCCTGTGCAACAATTGCCACACCTCATCAGTGTGTTAAAAGCTGAAAACTCCTTTTAACAAAAAGACTATCTTCCCCATCCCCTCCATGGTTGTCAACCGCTTCCTCCTTTGCAGGCAGTCCAGCAGCGTCCAATCCGCTGCGTCTGGGTCGCACACGGGGCCAGGGCAGCTCCCGTTTGTATGGTCGGCGAGCAACGCACTACAAGGACAGTGTTCAGCGTCGCAAATATATCCGTTGCCCTCACTCCAGTCTCCTCGGGGCCCTTGTATATGATTCCCCACTCTCTTTCCCAAGCAATGGTCGCGTTGCAGCGTGGTTTCCATTTTTTATTTTTTTTTATTTTGATAACTAGGACCCACGGGGACTTGTGGGCTTTATTAGCGTGGTACTATCCTTTAGGGACCCTTATTGCTAGAGACGTAAAGAAAAGTGGTATCTAATAAACAACTTTTGCTGCCAGGTCCCTCGTCAGCATGAGTGGTGACTCGAAGAACCCTGTTCCCTACTTGGCCTGTTGTGCACGAAGGTCATCCCTTAGCCAGTATCCACTGTCCTCAAAAACTTGCATCCACCTAGTCGCTCCATCAGAGTCAGCTCCAGCTGCTGGCAAAAGCCCTGTACCAGGCGCTTGTCCGCCTCTGCCTGAGCTGCCCCACTCCTTGATAAGGCTGACGGGTGTGATGCCACGGCATAAATCGCTGATGCTCCAGGTCAGATCCGGAGAGCGGTCATAAAACTCGTCGCCTTTGAGCATTGATTGGGTCCCAGCGATACAGGATAGACCTCGGATGTGGGTCTCGTTATTAGGACTAACCCAGCGAATGGGTTTCGGTACAGCAGCAGCGGCCCCAGCGTGGATCCTATCACGCTCTTACTGCTTCTTGCTGTTCTTGTTGTATGCGGTCGTTGCAGCTCGTCCCCACTTATCAATCTGCTTTTTTTTTTTTTGATAACTAGAACCCACGAGGATATGTGGGATTTATTAGTGAGGGACTCTAGACTAGGGAATCCTATTGCTAGAGGCATAGTAAAGGGTGCTCAATATTCTAATAAACGGCTTTTGCCGCACCGCTGCTGGTCACTCGCAGCTCCAATCCCCTTCACAATCCCAGTCAGCATGAGTGGTAACTCGACCCCGCCTGGGGTCGGTGACTGAGCCCTGCTCCCTACTTGGCCTGTTGTGCGCGAAGGTCATCCTTTAGCCGCATTCCTCAATCATCAAAAATTTACAGTTGCCGGTGCGTTCCATCACGTTTAGCTCCACCTGCTACATGCAACTTTGCAGCACTCGCTTGTCCGCTCGTTCCTCGATCTCTTTCACATCCAATGCGCGTCGTTGTCTCCTGGAGGATCCAACAAAACCACTACCACTACGTCTGTGCTCTCCAACACGGTTGCGTCCCCGGGCGCGTTTGCTCATGGTAGTGATCCCATTTTCTCTTTCCCAGTCGACGGTGACTTTGCATCTTTTGTTCCAGATTTCTGTCCGTCCGAATTCCTCGATGGCCTTGACGAATCGGCCGACCATGCACCTCGCGATCGAGGTGGTCGTCTTGAATAGGCTCTCTCAGTCCTTGGTGAGAGCCGCTGGTGTCAGTCCGTGGTACAAATCTTGAGCCGTCCAGACCCCTTGATCATTGTCCCTTGTCTCGTCCTCCACACGGCCGAGTGTGTTGCTTGCTTGCCGGATCGCCGAAGCTCCCTTGATCTTGTTCTTGAGTGCTGTCCAAATGGTCTTGTCTGTCACCTGTGTGAAGCTTGGTCCCTGTCCTCTCGCGGCTTGTCCTCGCTCCTTGGCTTGCTTTTGCTTCGTCTCCCACAGCTTGCGCTCTTTGTTCCATGCTCTACGTCCATCCGTGTTGACCTTCTCGATTGCTTCCTGCCAACCGTCCAGCTGCTGATGCATCGTCATTTCGCAGCGCCATAGATGCTGCGTGTCCTCTTTGTCCACCTCACAAAGTCTGCAGGTGTCTGTGCTATACAAATCCGGCCGCCACTGCTTCATGTACGCAAGCGTCGGCAACATTCCGTGCAGCTTCTTGATCCTGTGCGCACGACGCTGACAATCGTTAGGGCTAGTGAATAATCCCTTCGGCGTGTTGCCGTTGTGAATGATGTGCAGTGTTGCTTTCCAGTCCACCAGGTTCCAATCCTTGATGTTTTCCTTAGTCCTGTTCTGCTCTGTCCATAACGCGTTCATCCTTACCGTTGATTGGCGTTTAAGTACCTGCCTCAGATCATCCTCAACGACCGCGCCTTTGAACATGGCGTGGCACTGGATGTCATTGTGTTCCTTTTCATTGATGGCCCAAAGGTCACTGAAGTGCGCCTCTTTTGCTGCCTTGTCCGCTGCCTCGTTGCCCTTATGGCCTGCGTGCCCTTTGATCCACTCCACCTTGATCTTCCCTCCTTGATGTACATATGCGTTGTGCACTGCCGACCACCAGATCGCGTAAGTCGACCGCAGCCTTTGGCGTTCTGTGCTTCCTTGTCTCCCACTCACCAAGGCTTTAAATTGAGTTACCACAGCCGAGTTGTCAATGTAGATGGTTGTTGGCGTGTTCCTTGGACTGGCCAGGATTGCTGCAAAAAGCCCTGCAAGCTCCGCTTTAGTCGATGAAGCAAATCCTGCGATCCTGCCCGTTACCTGTAAGAGTTTTGTGTGGAAGAGCTGACAAGGTGAGTCTTGGGACAAGAGGATACTGGAGACAAGGAACTTTATGACAGGGACTAGGACTAGACAAGACTGACTAACTAGCTAGACTAGGTGCGTCCTTTTATAGTTGTCTACAGCTTGAGTATTACTAAGCTGGGTCTTACTAATAAAGAGAGTGTTCTGGATGGATCTGGCTGTAGGTGGGTATCCACCTAGGATAACAGGACTCCTAGGCTTTTCTAGAAGAGCCCGAAGTCCTCTGGTCTTGTGCATGTGACCACCGTCCAATCACAGAGATACAAATCTCTGACAATGCGCGTGAATATCGAGTACTTCTCCGTTGTTCCATCCTCGAGAGTGATCCTGTCTTCGAATCGGAGGAGCATATCCAGCTCGCTCTGGGTCTCGACTGCGATGCGGAAGGCTGCCTCGCCTGTGGGCAACTTGATGCGGGACGGGCCTTCTGTGCAGTGAACAGAAGCACACAGGAGGATATCCTGCAGTTCGGATTTCTTTTCCGCGGCGGTGTTGCCGTGGATGCTATCCAGGTGGATCGATGCCGCGAAAAATCGGTCTCGGGCACGTTGGACTTCGATCCACTCCTCCTGAGCCTCTTGCTCCATGGATTCATCCTCCATGGCTACCGCCTCGGCGACGTCTTCGTGCTGTTTAGCGTTCATGGCTTTAAGCCCCATCTTGGGGCTGTAGATAATGGCGACGGTCGGTGGCAGTGCAGTTCCTGAAGGACCTCCAGGATTGGGCAGTGCAGCTGAGGTGGTGGCCTCAGCGGCGCGAACAGGTTGGCTTTTTTTTTTTTTTTTTTTTTTTTTTTTTTTATTAACATAAATCCCCATGAGCACGCGACGCATGGTCCGCAAAGGCCTTGAAGCCATAAATGCCTTCCATGCACGGCAGAGCCGCATCCCCTACCAACTATGTTGGCTTGAGGCGTCAAATTCATAACCCATGTCGCATAGCTAGCCTAACCTAACTCCTGCGTGACCTGTTGCGCGATACACGTCTCCTAATCCAGATCCAATGTTAATAAAGTTGTTTTTAAACCGAATAACCCCTCCATTATGTCCAACTTCCCTCGCCCCAAGCAATGCTGTAGCGCCCTATAATCCGCGGCCCGTCTACCTTCCTGGATCTCCGTTGCAAGTAACCGTCTCCCTTTCAAATCAGAGAAATCACCAACACTACGTTGGTGTCCCCGATCACCGTTGCGTCCTCCGGCGCGTTTGCTCATGAAGGTGATTCCAACTGACTTTTCCCAGGCGACAGTGTCCTCGCATCGTTTGTTCCATATCTTGGTCCTGCCAAACTCTTCGATCCTGCTCACGAACTTTGTCACCATGATCGTCGCAATCCACTTGGTGGTGGTAAATAGCTGCTTCCAGGTCTCAATGAGTCCCGTTGGCACCAAACCTCGGTATAAGTCCTTGACCTCCCAATCTGCCTCACTCTCCGGCTCCTCTCCTTCCGCAACCCGATATGTCCCTCGCCTTTCCGCCGTCCCCTGAATCCACTGCATTGACTCCCAGATAGCCTTCGTTCCTGTTGCCGAGAAGTTGGGGCAAGTCGCAGTGAAGGGCTTGTCCTTCCGTTCGGCCTCCTCTCTCTCCTGTTCCCATTTTCGCACTGCCTGTCTCCATGCACGATATCCATTCAACTCCACTTCCTCCACCGCGTCCCTCCACTCTTGTCGCTGGTCGCACAAGATAGCTGAACAACGCCAAAGATGATCGTTCGTCTCTGGTTCCCTCTCACACCTACGACATATGTCCGTTTGGTAGGTATCTGGATGTCGTTTCTTCATCGCCTGCAATGTCGGCAAATCTCCATGCAGCTTCTTGATCCTGTGCGAACGTAAACGACAGTCTTCCAGGCTGGTGTATAAGCGCTTTGGCGGGTTGTTATCGTGTAAGATCCGTAGCGTGGGCGCCCATGCTACCGACCGCCAATCCTTGATGTAGGTCCTCGTTCGATGCTGCAATGTCCACTGATAATGGTGCCGTACCGCGGACTGCAACTTCAGTATCCTCCTCAAGTCCAGGTCTGCACTGTGTGTTGCAAACTGTGCGTGGCATTTCAAATCATGGTGCTGCGTTGCGTCTAGCCTCCATAGTCCTGTATCGATCCCATGTGCTGCCTTGGCAACAGTGTCTGCAGCCTCGTTGCCACGGTGTCCAGCATGTCCTCGTACCCAATGCACAGATATACCTTGTCCTTGTTGCAAGAAGGCATAATGCACCATCGCCCACCACTGTGCATCTGCAGATCTCAAACGCTGCCTTGCTGTTGCTGAATCCCGCTGCTGCACCAACTCCTTGAAATTGTTGACGACTGTGAGATTGTCGATGTAGATGTCGACGTTCTCTTCCCTTGGGCTGATAAGAATTGTTGCCAAGAGCCCACACATCTCTGCAATTGTTGACGACGCGTATCCCCCGACCCGTCCACTGAACGCCGTTGTGTAGGGACCACCATCCACAGAAACGACAACTCCGAATGCTGCACTGACCTGCTCTGTGCCGTTGTGAATCACTGACCCATCCGAGCAGAAGTGAAGCCTTCGATGTGTTTGCAAACGTCTCCTAGCTGTCCGAATTTGCTGGATTGTTGGTACCTGGAGCGCCAATCCCAGTAAATCTCGCTCAATTTCATCTGATACTGCCGGCAATGGTTGGCGAACAGGTGTCGTCATATTGTCCACCGCCTTGTGCGCATCCTCATGCAAGTGGTCTATACACGCCTCTGCATCCACATTCATATATCTACGATATAAATGGCGTCGTCTTCGTCGTTCTTCTCTGTATCGAGCCCGTCTCTCGATGTCCCGCAGGCGTCGTTGCTCCTCCTGCTGTTGCTTCTCCTGCTGCCGCTCCTCTTCCAGCTGCCGCTGTCGGTCACTCTCTTGCTGTTCTGCCCGCCGCCGCTCCTCTTCCAATTGTCGCTGTTGTTCCCGTGTTTGCTGTTCTGCCTGCTGCATTTGTTGCCGAAGGTGCCTCTGTACTACTTTCAGTTGTGCTCGCTTCTGTTTAATCCATTGTTGATCGAGTCTGTGCTCTTCTCTGTCGAAAGCACGGTCCAAGTCGTCTTGATTACGCAGTCGATTGCCTGTCATGTTTACCATAGCACGTCGAATGTATTCCTGCTTCCTTACGCTACGCTGGCTGAGCGTCTCTTGGACTCGCGGTGTGAAGAGCGCAGTTTCCGGATCCAAGTTGAGAATGTCCTGAGACGACAGCAAACCGTTGTTCTGCTCTCCATTGTCTTCCTCCAGTGGTGGTTGATCCATCGGTTGTTCTGCATTGTTATCTCCTCCGCCTTCGGACCTTTCCTCCTCACTCGCAGCTTCGTCGGGCACGCTGTCATCGTCGGCAGTCGCAGTATCCCCTACAGGTAGAGGTGATACCGCCCTGTCTAAATTGTCAACTGGTGCTGGATGCACAGCGGCGGGCTGTTCATCTTCGTCCAAGTCATTTGGCGCCTGTGGCTCTTCCAGATCGGATGGTAATTCCTCCAGTAGCTCATCAATCCATTGTGCAGTAGCTTCCTGGACATAATCGCCCCCGTGCACGATCGCCTGCAATTCCTGGAACCAAGGCGGAGAGGCTACCGTTCGCACGTTGAACCGCTGTCTAAACGTTTGCCAACTTGCTAATTCTGTGTGAGTAGTGTTCAGAATCTGATCAACAAAAAATACTCCAATAGCTCCAAGCCCTATTCTGATCTCTTCGGTCAGTCTATCACCAATCCAATCCTCAATAGTAATCGCATGCTGGGAAAGGTCCATCTCCGATGCCATCGTAACGTCGAAGGTGATCTGTCGGTCCGCCATAATTTTGCATATCTGGCTGATCAAGCAGTGCTTAAAGCCCTGCACTCGTTCTGGAGCCTTTGTGGGACAAACGGTGGTGCACTGTCGTTGTTGGAGCTGAAATAAACGAACACGACTCGCCCGTCCCACTATGCTGTTGTCGTTCAAACGCAGAAAAAGTGTTGAGATGTGCTCTTCTGCTTGTACGTCTGCTAGGTGTCGAACTGCAAACAGTCGATTGTGGTGCATGACGCTGTTGGGAGTTGTGGATGCCATCCTGGACTTGCTTTTGCATATCTTCATGTAACGCCCTGTCAACTGTTGGAGCGTCGCCGGAGGCAGAACATAAATACTAAGAAGGTACAATATTTTCGGCAGTAGCACTGTGTTGATAACATATGCAGCCTGTCGGTCCGTGATGCTCTTGTATTCGAGAATATTGCAGATGGTGTTAACCTCGTTCTGCACATGGCGCTTAACTGGTCCTGTGTTCCCCGAACTGTTGATCCACACCCCCAATCGTCGGCAGTCGCAGTATCCCCTACAGGTAGAGGTGATACGTGAAGGGCTTGTCCTTCCGTTCCCTTGAATCGAATGGGTAAAAAAAAAAAAAAAATGACCGCAGGAAATCCATGGCCAGCAATGTCAGGTATCACGTGCACATATTTTATAAGAAATATAAAGGTATTAGTGCTTGCTTTTATAAATAGTTCAGTCCCTGGTAGTATAGTGGTGAGTATCTCCGCCTGTCACGCGGAAGACCGGGGTTCAATTCCCCGCCAAGGAGCTTATCTTTTGCATGCGCCAGCCCTGGGGTCTTTCTCATGAAATGTGATTAATTCGGGTGATGGGCGAAGCCACCCTTGAGATGTTGATCTTTGTTCGCTTTCACAAAGGTCTTTTTTGCATCTCTCCTCTTCGAATAACAATTCAACGCACTCCATGGTGAAGCGAGACAAGAACGCTCACCAGTCGAACCACTACAAGGCGACGCACAACAGTGGACACAAGGCCAGCAAAAAGTCTGGAGGCAAGAGCGGCAAGGGCAACAAGTCGATCAACAAGTTCCTGGGCATCGGCAAACCAGGACCCCATCTCTTAGCGCACAAAAGGCATCAGGAGGCTAAGGCCAAGAAGGCCAAGAAGACCCAGCACCATCAAAGCAAGGGCAAAGACAAAGGCAAGGGTGATCATCAGCACGCCAGCGGTGGTAGTGCCAGTGGTAACCCCAAAATGAATCCTCAGCAGCAAAATTCTCCCAAGGCCAACAACAAGAAACGAAAGCGCAACAGGAAGGGACAGGGCGCGCGACCAGGACAAGAACCAATCGCGCCACAGCATCATCACCACATACCAGACCCAGCCGCTCATGTAGGCACCTACGTGGACGACGAGTACGAGCGGGACCTTCAATACCAGTACGATGATAATCTTTGGAAGCGGGAATCCACACCTACTGGGAACTCATCCCACTTGAATAGCTACCCCGATCAACGCGGCAATCCTCGCCCGTCATTATCGCTATCATCGAATTCAAATTCCACCGCAGTCTCAAGACCGTCCATAATGGATGAGAGATCGCAAGACTTGAACAAGATGCTGGATCGTTTCCGTAATCAACGACAAGACTATCAAGATTTACTAAATCTTTACCTCGATGAGCATCAACAAAACGATTTGACCCCGATGCAGACTGAGGCCTTGCATTCGACTTCAGAGGTTCACACCACAACAGCGGTCAGGAATGTGGGCTCGGAAAAGTACGAGTCTAGGGATGCATTCAAGCAAAGCACAGACTTTATTGCGTTCGGGCATGACGATGGCAAGAGTAATCGACAGCCAGCCAAGGCGCCGAGCCCTCAATCAGCACCTGTAGCCCTATCCTCAGCTCAACCTACATTTCCAGGAGTAGCTCGGCCCTCAGTTCGACCTGCATTTCCAGCCGCGGGACCATCTCCAGCTTCATTCCCAGCCCCGTCTGCAGCTTCACCTCATGGTCAAAAGCGGAAGCGGCATGTGGTCGACAGCATTGAGATGATGGACAGTTCAGGATCCCCAGCAGAGTGTCCTTGGATGCGGCGACCATACTCGAAGCTCCCGTCCGTACCAACCATGCTGACACGAGAATTGGAGGACTTTATCACGTTCCTTAATCCAACGCCGGAAGAGCACAATGTCCGCGCACTTGTCTTTGAGCGGATAAAGCGCGCGATCAAGGATCTGTGGAATACTGCCGATGTCAAGGTCTTTGGGAGTTTTGAGACACAACTTTACCTCCCCTCCAGGTGATAATTCTTTGCGCACTTAATGATACATAAAAAGAAGCGCATTTGCTAATCTTTTTTTTTTTTTTTTTTTTTTTTTGTAACGACTTTTCGTTTTGGTATGAGTAGTGATATGGACGTCGTCGTTCTCCTCGGCAGAGAAATCAACAAATACAAGGACCTCCAAAATCTGAGGAATCATCTGCGGCGATCAGGAGTCGGGGAAAACATTACATGCATCGCCAAAGCAAGAGTGCCCATTGTCAAGTTTCAGGAAACATACAGTCATATTTCGGTTGATGTCTCGTTCAACCAGGTTAGCGGAATCGAGGGCGCAGAGGTCGTCAAGAACTATATGACCAAGACACCCGGTCTACGCTCCTTGACGATGCTGATAAAACAGTTCTTGATGGCCAACGAGCTCAACGAGGTCTACCTTGGTGGAATTGGATCTTATGCCACAGTGATCATGGTCCTCAGCTTCTTGCAGCGACATCCGGCGGTCCAGGCTGGTCTCATCAACCCAGATAAGAACTTGGGCGTCCTACTCATTGAGTTCTTTGAGCTTTACGGTCTTCACTTCAACTATCAGGATGTTGGCATTGATGTCGCAGGCACAGGCAAATACTTTCCAGTCACGAACCGCGAAAATAACGGACACAGGCACATTCGACTTGTGACATTGGACCCTATCAATGCCGACAACAATGTAACCAAGGGATCAATCAAGGTACTGGAAATCCGCAAGCTCTTTGCCCAGGCATACGAACGGTTGACCAGGAACTCTCGGGAACAGCATAGGGATATATTTGTCGACAACGAGCGCGCTGGCCGCGGAGAGATTTCCCTTCTTAGAGGGGTACTGTCAATTCCGGAAAGGGTCATGAGTCAACGGTACCTCCTGGAAAAAGTGTATATCCAAGGACACCTACAGGCACTACTCAAGCGCTATTAAGCGCCGCATGTTTTACTATCCAACCCCACACTGTATTGATACTTATCATTCGACTTGTACTTGTAACAACAGCTCATCCTTGCATTCCAACATTGCGTATCTTCATCATCGATAAAATAAATAGTCCTTTGTGTGAGGGTTTGAATGCGAAGATATTATTAACAGATGAACATCGAAAGGTCTTTTGCTACTCTAATTACCAGCCGAGGAATGAGGACAGAGAGAGAGCAACGAGAGACTTATGCTTGGAGTTTTTCAAAGATGATTTGCATTCCATTCCTGGAGTACATGGTAATATCAGACTCTGGTTTGGGCACGAAGCCATCGACGACACGCCAGGTGTACTTCTGGATTAAGCGGGTCATAGTATTCATGACCTGGTTGTAGGCAAAGTTCTGTCCGAGGCAGATACGTGGGCCGGCATGGAAGGGGAAGAACATGAAGGGACGGACCATCTTCACACGCTCAGGTCCCCAGCGGTCGGGATCGAACTCCTCGGCATCCTCACCCCAGTACTCCTTCATGCGATGGGTCACATAGGAAGAGTGGACGACGAGCGAGCCCTTGGGGACGAAGTAACCGTTGGGGAGGACATCATCCTCAAGACAAGTCTTGATGTTGAAGGGCACGGCGGGGTACAGACGTAGGGTTTCGTTGATGACCTGCTTCAGGAACTTGAGCTTCTTGATGTCCTCGTGGTCGGGCTTGCGATCCTTGCCGACGACCTCAAAGATCTCCTGGCGGACACGCTCCAAGACTTCGGGGTGAGTACCGAGGTTATAGCACATGAAGGTAAGCAGGTTGGTCGAGGTGTCTCGCCCAGCGAGCAAGAAGTTCATCAACATGTCGCGAAGGTAGATGCGGTCGAATGGTTTGCCGTTCTCATCCACGGAGTTCAAGAAGTGCATTAGCAGATTATCGTGGCGATGCTCGTTCTCCTCGCCCGCCGCAGTCGCATCGCGTCGCTTGATCTCCTTGACGATGGCAGCATCGACAATGGGCATGAGCACTGCATCCATGTCCTTGACCTTCTGAGGGAACTCCCTGGCAGGGACCAGTCCCTGGTAATCGCACAGACGGATCTTCCAGCCGCAGATCTTTTGAGTATAGTTGAAGGCGCTCACGAACTTGGACTGGGGCACGTCCAGGGCATTGATGCAGTCACCAAAGAGGAACCCTGTGGCAGTATCGATGGTGTATCGCGACCAGAGATCTTGAACATCGATGACATCGCCTGCAGCGATGGCCTTATCGAGGATGCCGAAGACCTGGTTGATCTGCGTCTCGATATGGGCTGCACCCTTGTACTCGGTGACCTGGAAGTGAGGACGGGCGAGCGCGCGCTGGTTCTTCCATGCAGCACCATCGGCGTTGAAGATGCCGGTTCCCATGAAAGGAGAAAAAGCCTTGTGGAAGGCTGGGCCTATTTTGGAAATTGTAGAGGGAGAGCGTCAGTATGCTGCGTATTGAATACCATTGGCTGAAAAAAGTAAGGGTGGGAAATGAGGCGCGCGTTTGTATGGCGGGGTCCGTGTTACTTTAGAGTGTGCATATGTGGAGTTAAAAGTATTTTGAGGTGAACTATTCTACTGTATAGAAATAAAAGAACGGCGTTGCATGTTGATACTTTGGCCGAACCGAGCTGGATCGGCTCCGAAGTGTGGAGGATAGAATATGAGAGTCCAAGCAAGCGAGGATTAAGGTGTAGATGTGTTACATGTTTTGTGGAGAAGCATCTCAAAATCGATAGTCTGCCATCATTATGGGCTCTCATAGAAAAAATGGGGAGGGGGACAGCATCTTATTTTGAGATAAGACTTACCCTTGGGATAGTTCTCAAAGTTCTTGACCAAGATGTGTTGGACAGATGATGGCTCAAAGACCAGGATCAAGCAGTGGCCAACAAACTCGGTGGTCAGGGTCAGGCCCTGCTTCGACAGTCCCTGGACCCACTTGAGCTCATCACCATCGCGTCTGGCCTTGACATAGGAATATCCAACATCGAGCATGAAGAGTCTGGTCTTGAGATGAGGGATGGCCATGCCGCGTGGGGGACCCTTCTTGGCCCGCATGCGACCGAGCCAGTAGTAGAGGATCGCAGTGAGGGCCAGCATGGTCATGGCCGGGTTAGCCTTGCCACGCTTGACGAGAGCCTTTTGGCGCTGGCGGAGTAGTGTGACAACGTTGGAGACCATCGAGGGCGACACGGATGCTACTTGTGCGGACATTGTGGGATGTGATGTGTTGCTGCTGTGCTTTGGCTGTGCTTTGGCTGTGCTTGTGTTGGCAGGGTAATTGGGTGGTTGGTTACCGATGCGTTGCGCGTGGGGCTGCTGCTGGTGCGGGTATGAGGAGGTATTCCAGGAAGGAGAAGAGGGAGAGATTGAAAATATACAGAAGGATGGTTGATGGTACAGACGAATAAGGTGTGCTTGCAACTCTTGGGGATATGAGCACGGAAAAAGAGGGTGAAGTTAGAAAACAGAGAAGAGGAGGAAGGAAAGGAAGAGGCAGCCTTCCTTCTTTTTGTACTTTTTTCTTCATCATCTTCACAGATGCTTTCTTACCCCACCGATTGACTGACTATCGAATGAATGAGCGATTGAATGTGGATGAGACTAAAAAGTACTGAGTTACATAAAGAAACCCTCAAGAAGGGGAAATGGGGGGCAGGAAGCAACGCAGGCCATGAAAAACATCACTTTAGCTCGATGGCGGACCCTGACTGGCTAGTGAATCCATGGCTCTCGGGGGAGGAGGGGGAGGATGTTCCTTCTCTGGTGAACCCACTCTATCCCACTCCTGGTACAGCAGATCCTCGCTGTTCTCTTTCTAAGGTAGAAAAAGGTGGAGTCCATTTGCATTCCCGCCACGCCACGCCAATGCCACGCGCGCATTGCATCTGTTGCTTGAGAACATTAGATTTCTCTCCTGGATTCTTCCAGCTGCACTCTTCTACACACAGACACAACAATGAACCTCGCACTCTACAGTCTTCGTACCACCATGAGCTTCGAATGCTGCCACGGGATGGTCGCACGATTCCCTCGCGATGGCATCCTGCCTCTTTCTCGGACACGCCAACTCTGTAGACATCAACACATACATGGGATGGTCTCTATGTACCTCTGTAGCAGCGATGAGCAACAGAGCAGAGATTTCGATGATGATGAAGATGCCTACCCCAAAAAAAAAAATTCAAAAGGGGTATATACTATATATGCGACACAACATAGCCATCAGTTCAAAGGACCCTAGTTCAACAAGGGCCATGTACGGTCCTTCGATACAATAATATAACGTGTCCTTCTGGTTTGTATGATGATTACCTCTCTATGCTCGTGAGTGGTCACAGTGAATGGGGCACGCATCCTTGTCCTTTCTGTTAAACAATTGGGTCAAAGTAAACATAGCTTACATATGTAGACTAACCTGCTCACGCACTCCTACACATGTACAACTGTCGTTCTAAAGCGACAAGCAAAGCTGTAATCTGCTGCAGGCGAAGCAGACTCTCTGGTCATCTTTCCAACAGGTTTTTTTTTTTTTTTTTTTTTTTTTCGCCTGTCATGTTTCTGGAATGACTCCACCTACACAACACATCAAGGATACCTGCAACGAGAAACTCCCGATGGGAGGATCCGAAAGCACGAATTTGAAATATCTCAGCTGATTAACACACGCAGCTACACGATGACCACAACCAGACGTCTTTACAAATTTTTTTATCTATTAGGCTAGAGAAAACATAGAGCGCCATTCTCTTCTTCTGACCCCAATGCAGCATCGAAAGTCGTTTAGCACATGAAAAGTACAGGAAAATAAAACAATAAGACGCGTTTGTTGAACCCCCCATAGTCTGAGAAAAACGCCAAGACGACGTAAATCGCATTTTTTTGCCACGCTAATTCTCCTTGCTCACTCACACCGTTGTTATTCTCTACATGTACTCGTCCCCGCATTCTCGCATTAATGCAATTAACAACCATCCAACTGCCAAGAGCGATAATGGGGAGTCCTTGTGCGCAAAAGTGGCCTGTCTACATGCTGCGCTCGGTCAGCATTTTTCTTTATCTGACATTTTGTGCATGACTCCATGGATTTTTTTTTTTGCTGTGTGGAACAGACGTTATCAAGTCATTTCTTAACCAAACCCATTCCTCATTCATGTTATACACTTTTTCATAAAGTAATTGCATTATGGCCACAAATTCTTAGCGGGGGAGGGGTTGCTTTAACATAAAGCGCTGAAATCAGATATCTATGGAACTGTTCGGATCCTCGACCTTTGATGCAGCTCCAGGCAGATATCTATATGGGGTATGTACGTGTCGTCGCGATGATCGTGGTGTTTACATGTTGCTCTCAACTCTCCACAACTCCTCACAAAATTCCTGCAACACATGGTTTGACACAACCTTCTCGGGACCCAGGATTTTTCGGAATTTTTGTGTCGACAGAGTCCAAGGGTTCTCCTCACAGCATTTTCAGATTCCTAGACCACGTTAAGGATATCGCTCAGTTGCGTAGAGCGAGCATTCCCGTGCTCAGCACCTGTTGGTATGCCATCTCAACTAAGGGGGAGGGGGGAGGGAGGGAAGATGGCACTTTGTAATGCTTAGCACTCCTCCCACCTAGATGATTCCTTGATCCAGCATAGCCGGCCATTTGCGAATGGAAGCAAATGGCGTTGACAGCACGGCGTTTTGGTTTGTCCCGCATTGGTGCTTTCTAGGAAGCATTCACCTTTTGTGATGGGGCAGCATGTGAAGGAAGGTTTAAAGTGAACATTTCTATTTCTTGCCCTTGGTCTGTGCACGACCACACCCTTATTTAATCGATACGAAATTATTCTGGTGCGGATACCCAAGAACGATGATTCTAGTGCATTCATAGATGAGCGCGTCAGTGAGCAGACGAGCAGGCCAGACGGGAATCAGGGGCCTGGTGCAACCATGGTGCAGTAGTTAATTAGGTCTTGGCAAGGACGACAGAGCAATTGTGGAACCACGAGGCATCATAGAGATAGACGCTGTAAATGAGTCGCGTATAGTGGTTGATAAGAATAAGGATTCTGCTTCAGGTGCGGTCAAGGATCTGATCCAATGTTGCGTGCGCCTCTAGTCTAAAACAGAATATACGATTGCGCAGATGTCCCCAGTTTCTGTTGTCACCCCAAGAAAACAATAAAATAGACGCGTGGTGCATGCTATCCCAGTTGTTTCAAAACGGCTGCTGAGCATGCATTTCTTGGCTAGAATATGGACGATGGACTCATGAATGCGATCACGATGTTACGATGCGGATAAGTTTGCCACGAGGAGCAAGATTTGCTGTCGTTTGTTCCCCATAAATTTGATATGCTTTGCTGCGACCCGGACACGTACGCGACACGCGTACGGCAGCATGTTCATTCTTTCCATTTTTTCGGCAATTAAAAACTTTGAGGATGCTAGACTGAAGAAATGATTGAGTATATACGAATGCTAAAGGATACAATACTAGATGGGTTGCGGCTCAAATTAGTCGAATATGAAAAGGGGTCTGAGTGGTGTGGATATAAAATATGTAGCAGTAATAAATAAATATAGTGAGAAAATCGATAGCAAAAAACCTGCCGAGGCAATGTCCCTCAGGCTATCTATTTTTCTTCTTGCCCTCAGTGTCACGCTTTTCCTTCATCCCATTCTCTCCTAAGGCCGTCCTTGGGTAAAGTCGCGGTGCAGATCTTTGATCGCATCGATCGAGCCGATGACGCAGCTCAGCAGCCCAATCACCAAGATAATGCCACACCACACTAACTCGTACCATCTCATCTGTCTCCATCCAAAGAGCTTCCAATAGAACCCAATTGGCAGTACATAGATCAACATACAGTTGCCCAACGCTCCTAACAACGACAGGAACGAGTCAAAGAACGGTACTAAGCACGCGATTCCTCCAACCACCCCCATGATTATCAGACGCACGATCGTCCTGTAAATCCTCTCCTTCACTACACCGCGTTGCTCGACCGAGATACTCATCACGCGCTCGACTTCTAGCGCAAACGAAGTCATCAACACCGGAGCCGCCAATAGCACATGTGCCACGATCGTAATTGTTGCGACCTTACGCGAGGCTCCCTCAGGCAAGGATGACAAAATAGGTGAGGTAGCGTCAGGTCCGTAGGTCAGATAGCCGGGTATAGCAACCATGGCGTACATGAAGCAGCAGGCGATCATGGCCCAGATGAGAACCTTGTTCCAGGCGCGTGGGTATCGCATCGATTCTTCCACATGCATGTAAACGACGTTACCACCAAAGCAGACTGAGATTGTCGCAACTGCCAGGGGCAGGTTGCGGAGGATCGCGGCGTCATACTTGACAGTGTCCTTGTGGTTCTTGTAGTCAACTGCAGACTCAACCATTGTCACACCCACCAGCACAGCAGTCGCAATGACACCAAAGATACTAATAACAAAAAGGCAGAGTAAAGCAGTATTATTCTCGCTTGTCGATAGGTTAAATGTATAAGTGAATCCTCCAAGCATCTGTAAGCATGTTGCTTTTTGAATACCTCAATAGCGAGACCTCCTTTAAAGTCTTCATGAGCATAAAGGGGATCGAGACGACGCCACAGCAAATCCAGATCCAGACCTTATCGGAGATATTGACATGAGCCTGGGTCAAGCCGCGGATTTCAGTACCGGATAGGATGAAGTACATGACGGGCGCTCCAAGGACAATTGAGGTGTGGAAGAACCAGACGGCGATGAGACCTATCCTTCCAAAGGCTTGCTGTCCAATCTCTTGATACGAGGCCAGGCGCGTATGGCCATTGTAGTAGATACATTTGATAATAAGGATCCCTGTGTAGATCGACATAATCATCGACAGGACCAAGATACCGACGCCGATCCACCCGCCTATGCAGAGCAGAAGGAAATGTGAAATGTGAAGAGTAAATAAGGGCATGTAGAAACCATAATGAGTGAGAAGTGCTGGTACATTGATATCTTTAGACCAGCAAACGAATATAGTCAGCAATGGGTGCTCTTCCCCGAGTAAGTTAATACCTTTGGCCAAACTGTACGGGAGACCCAAGGTTCCTGTTCCAGCAACGACACAGACAATGTTGAAGAACGCGGAGATGTTGCCGCCTTGCGAAGGTCTTTCTGCCAGAAGATCAATGCCTTGGTCAAGGCCTAGCTCCTTGTTGTTGTCGTCGTGGTGGCTGTCGTCGCTCGAGATCGAGGTGGAAGAGTCTGAGTAAAAGATCTTCTTATCAACCTCGTATGAGGAGATGCGCTGCTCCGGATGTGGGGATGCAGCCATAGTATGCGTGTCGTGTAGATGAAAAGGAGTGAGTGAACGGCGGAATGACAAGGAGAAAGAAAATAGAGTAAGAGGAAATGAGGGAGTAGAGACGAAAAGTTCAGACGCTAGAGTGGATTGAGAAGAAAGAAATCCTCGGCAAAGGGCCAGGGGATAAGGTGGTGTTATTATAGGTCTCGTTGTCTCCGTATCGGTTGCCGACTGAGAGTAGCACCATCATGTCCGTGGGAGGGCGATATGATTTTCCTGTGATGATCATTAGGGTCCCTTCGGTCTCTTCGATATCTCAGATTTGGATCCCAGAATCAATCGCATCCACGCTCCGCTCTGGAGTGCAGTGCACTAGTCTTTCTAAAAGAAGATAAACTCCCCTGTCGGAGTGCTCTACACGCCGCCTATAAGTCTGAGTCCCGGTAGGGAGGAAGCAGGCAAGGGGCGAAAGGGCTTAAGAGTCATTCACGGCTGGTGCCCTGCATATGAATGGATGTAAAGGAATATTCGCCCGGCAATAAGGAAAAAAAAAATTCAGAGCCAGCTGGAAGTGAAAACGTATGACTCTTAGGTTCTGGGCTGCTACTAATACATTCCCACGCAGCCAGTGGGTCCTCCACATATCCAGCGCAGAATATAGACCATGTATGTGTGTACCCGAGTTGCAGTGCTGTTGGTCAGGAATTTCTAGATCCTAGCAACAGCGTCAGAACAGCGGCGCGCCGTCTATTTTGGTCTCCCACCCACCGTGCCCTGCATCACCATGAATTATGATTTCGTTTGTGCAACCAACCGTGCTCCACTCCCTCATTTCTCCCACGCTTTTACGCGTAGGCAAAAGGGCTTACACTCCAGATATGCCACCAAGAGCTCATACATGACATCTATGCTATACCCGTCCGTAATGGTGTGGCACGTTTTTAATAGAGAAAGATAGGAAGACAATATTAACTAATAATTCCCGGACTATCTGCTCCCTCACTAATGAAACGCCGTGTTCCCCATGCTCTGAACATGCACCGCCATCTCTCTCATCTTGAAACTATTCAACTCGTCCCTAATCTCATTCTTCAGATCCGGCGTCAGTATCTTGAACGTCGCATTTTTATCAGACCGTCGGTTGTATTCCCCCTTACGGTATGCCGGGATGATCTCGATCGTATCCGTGAAGCTAATGGCTTTGCGCGGCTTACCATAACAATAACCATAGCCATACTCGTGTTTCATACTTTCCAGCGATCCTCCCATCCTCTCGTCAGCGTCGTAGTTGCTTATTCCCGGGAGAATACGGCCATGTAAATTGTTGTCAAACGCGTCTTGCCCAAGAAATGCGATCGTAGCAGCTGCTTCAGGCACGTCGTTCTTTTGCAATGATCCTCGCATGCCGCCTGAGCTATCCTGCTGGTTGATATCTCCATAGTAGTGCGATCGGAACGGACCATTCGAAGAATAGTACTGCCTCGAGAGATCCTGAGCTCGCGCACTGACATATCCACTTCCACCGCCTCTGTGGTTGCCTGACGGTGCGTTCGACGACTGTTGTTCCTGAATCTGTGAAAAACCGTTACCTCTGCTACCCTGCCTATGCAAATCGCTGACCAGGCCCTGCACCCGCTCGCCTCCCCGATCCGCGTATGCGTTGTTGTTCGATTGTACACCAGGCGTAAAATCTGGAGGGATGGCCACTCCTTGTGGTGAGCTATATCTTCCCACAGGCGAAGTGCTCAACTTCGGAGGGATGGGTGCCAGGTGCGTGCGCTGCAATTGCTGTTGAAGAGGACTCGGGACCGGTGAGTTGATGATGAGTCGCGCACGGCGGTCTGTGGGCGTGAGGCAGTCTAGATTCATGTCATTCTTGTCCGGCGTCGCCAATGGGTGGATATCCGAGGATTCGAACAAATGGGCTCCTTTGCTTGTGGGAGATTGAGATGCTCCGGCGTCAAGGGATGTCGCTGGTGCTGGTACTGGCGCTGGCGCTGGTAATGGTAAGTCTTCGTCATTGTTGATGCTAGGCGGTACCACTGACAAGAACTGCTTCTTCATGATACTCTTGAGTGGCGCTGCATAGTTTTGGGGACCGGATGGGCCTGGCGGTTGCTTAGGGACGGCCATGATGGCTTGACAGAGTCCATTCGAGGTCATCACCGTTGCCATCAGGATCTCACCGTCCTCAACATTGCTGTTGTCTTCATATTCCTCCGCTTCATCGGTGCTGTCTTCAAGTTGCCTGGGTTCGGGGATGGTCGAGAGAGACGCTCGACGGAGCGAGGATAACAACGCCTTGGGGATGTCGACTAAACTGGAGCGGCGGACATTCATCGCTGTGCTGTTTGTTGTGGCAGGAGAAACACCTTGAGGAATCTCGGGATCTTGTTGTTGTTGCGCTTGCGAACCGGGATAAATATGTTCGGTATTGATATTGTGGATGGTGCCGAAACTGTTATCATTAACGGCGGCGGTAGGAATGGTACTGTCAGTGGTAGAGGCAAGGGTTTGGGGCTGAAGAGGAACTGGTATATCGGAGGGCTCGGGTGCGGTCTTGCGTCTGTCGAATAGTCGACCGGCCAGAGACCATCGGCGTGAGCGCTTTTCCTTTGTTGTGGAGCCGCTTCCTGCTTGAGTTGGAGGAGCTACTTGAGGCAATTGGCACGGATGCTCTTGCTTCTGCTCCTGCTCCTGCTCCTGCTCTTGCTCTTGTTGTTGTTGTTGTTGTTGTTGTTGTTGTTGTTGTTGTTGTTGTTGTTGTTGTTGTTGTTGTTGTTGTTGTTGTTGCTGTTGCTGTTGCTGTTGCTGTTGCTGTTGCTGTTGCTGTTGCTGTTGCTGTTGCTGTTGCTGTTGCTGTTGCTGTTGCTGTTGCTGTTGCTGTTGCTGTTGCTGTTGCTGTTGCTGTTGCTGTTGCTGCTGTAGAGAAGGTGGTGGCGGTGATGGTGTGTTGTGCCAGCTTACAGGCACCTGCAGGCGATCTGATGCTGGGTCGAATGATGAGGTATTGTCGTTGGGAAACATCATAGTCACAGGCGGAAAAGTCCCCGAGGAGAATGCCTCGACCAGGGGAGAGGCCCCTGGAACTGGGGAATGAGAATTGATGATAACCTGCGAACTCATTCTCGGATTGGGCGATCAGAAGGGTGCAAAGGGACGACGGTTGGTTTTTTTTTTTGGCGATAAGATGGGTTGGAGAAATACTTTGCAGGAAAGTAACAGCAGTACGAGTGTGTGCTGATGCCGAGTCGAAGGAGACGAGTTTGAAGAGACGGGGTCTTTTCGGTGGCCATAAAAAGCGCATCAGGGGACCTCTGGGGGCGACCACGACTAGCACGTAGGCTCTTAGACGCTGTGTTTCTGCGCGGCCTTGTTCATGCAAGAACGGTCAGAAGAACCTCCGCTACGAATGTTTCTTCTCACTACAAATCAGATCAAGCGCGGAGGTCTCAGAGCTATTCGTCTTCCAGTAAGGGACCCAGTCGTAGAGGAGGCATTGCTGCAACCTATCAAAGATCGATTATGGATCTGGATCAGGTGCGTCTCTGGTATAACCAGATCCCAGGTAACCAACAATGTTGTCTCAGCAAAAAAAAAAAGTGTCTTTGTCTGTTCCACACAGCAAAATAAAAATAAAAAAGGAGTCCAAGCACATGCGAATGGTCTGTTGAACGTCTTGAACAATGGCTCCAAGGAGGCACCAGGAGTCATTTTGAGATACTTCCCCAATAGAAAAAAGGCCCCAGCTGAGATGTGCCGTGTTCACCGAGAGTTCAACTCTGAACGCAATTCTTCATAGTATACTGTATCACCTGAGAAGTGACTGCTGCCCGCAAACTTGTTGTTCTTTTTTTTTTTTTTTTACCAACATACAACAGCAACAAGGTAGTCCTCTTCACTCCCTCCTTCACCTAGCTCCCTTATTCACAATATACCACTATGGCGGAAACGGCGAATGTCATTGCCCAGTTTTACAACGAGGAGGGAGTCGCCTCAGGACCCGCCCTCAGTCTCCCAGTCGATGTGAACCCAGAGCAACTCGCTCTCCTCCTTAACAGCCTGCTCGGCAACGTATGTCTACGATACCCGCGATTATTCATGCTATTGCAGTATCAGGAACATTCGCGAGAACCATATTAAGCATATCTCAACACACCCTCCTCTCTTTATAGGAAGAAGACCCTCTGCCATATACGTTTGAGGTAGCCGAAACAGAAATCGCTACTACTCTGGATCAGGACATCATCCAACCCGGAAAGCACTCAACCGAAGAGACCTTCAAAATCCTCTATCGCCCTCAAGCTGTTTTCCGTGTCCGCGCCGTCACCCGATGCTCCTCCTCCCTCGCTGGTCACACCGATGCCATCCTCTGCGTTTCATTCTCGCCCTGTGGGACCATGCTCGCTAGTGGAGGCGGTGATACCACCGTTCGGATCTGGGACCTCAACACCGAGACGCCACAGCACCAGCTTAAGGGACACAGGCACTGGGTTCAGCATGTATCATGGTCACCCAATGGCAAATACCTGGCTTCCGCAGGCATGGATGGACTGGTAATTCTTTGGGAGCCCAGGACAGGAAAGCAGCATGCGATCTTGAAGGGACACTCCAAATGGGTCAGCGCTTTAGCATGGGAGCCCCTACATTTGAATGCATCCTGTAGAAGACTTGCCTCATCGTCCTCGGACGGCACTGTACGTGTGTGGGATGTGGTCAAGAAGCAGCTCGAGTTCTCGATGGCGCAGCATACCGCACCAGTGATGTGTGTCAAATGGGCAGGCGACGGGTTGATCTATTCAGCATCAAGGGATAAGTCAATCAAAGTCTGGGCATCGATGGGCGATCATCCAGGAAAACTGGTAAAGGCGCTTACGGGACATGCGCACTGGGTCACAACACTGGCATTAAGCACGGACGGAGTCCTGAGGACAGGAGCGAACGATCATACGGGAAAGATTTACAAGGATGAAAATGAGGCACAGAAGCGCGCGTTGGAGCGGTATGAAAAGGCGATCGCATTGAATCCGGAGAGGTTATGTTCTGGATCCGACGATTTCACGATGTACTTGTGGCCGAACTTTAAGGAAGAGGTCGATGGAAAGAAGGCCACACCCAAGAGGATGGTGGGACATCAAAAGACCGTCAATCATGTCAGCTTCTCGCCCGATGGACGGTACATTGCTTCTGCTAGCTTTGACAAGTCAGTGAAGCTTTGGGACAGTCGCGACGGAAAGTACGTATATATCTTTTAGTTACTATGCCTGATAATGTTTGTAGATATGGCGGCTGACATCCTATACGTGCTTATACATGTATTTCCCCGTTAGATTTATTGCATCGCTTCGTGGACATGTTGCAGAGGTGTACCAGGTTGTATGGTCAAGCGACAGCAGAATGTTACTTTCCTGCAGTAAGGATAGCACGATCAAGCTATGGGATGTTAAGACGAAAAAGATGAAGATGGAATTGCCAGGGCATCTTGACGAGGTATTCACAGTCGACTGGAGTCCGTCAGGTGATAAAGCAGCCAGTGGAAGCAAAGACAAGACCTTAAAGATGTAAGCCAAGCTTGAACAAGGGATACGCGTGTCAGGCGCGTTTTATTGTGTTGGAGTATGCTTTTCTTGTAAGGCTGTATTGTTTATTCATAACACTCATTCCTTGTTTCTTTCTCTTCTCTGCCTTGTCCTGATAGCTGGAAATACTAATTGGCTAATTGTTAGCCATGTAATAAAATAACCGTCAGCATTTGCAAGCAACACGACATGCATGTAACATGATGCCAATATGGATACGAGGATAGGGACTACTGTTGTCGAAGGCGAAGCTGTTGATTGGTGTGAGACAAACACTGGATTGTGTTGGGTCAGCAGCGACCTCTTTTCTTTCTGTCGCTCTCTTTTTCTCTCTTTCTGTCAAGAGGAGCAGGTAGCACAAGTGTTGCCTCTTTTGTTTTGTCTTTCGGTGGTTTGGCATAATTGTGGAACGTTCAAAGTTCAAACACAACACATCAAGTAAACGATCTTTGGCAGTGCGTGTGATGTACCATGAGGAGATGTTGATGGGTGCTGCACATTATTCGTGATCACTTTTTGTGCACTCCACAAAGAAGAAAAAAGAAGAGCATGGGATCCCTGGAGATGAGATGGCATGTTGTACGCGTGAGGGCGGAATGTGGTTCAATAGCAGCAGTTTGTACTTTCACGGATATGGACACATATTTGTAATTTATTTTTGAATTAAACGAAAACGCGCCCTCTTTTTTTTTTCGCCGCTTCCATTTCTCGTCGTGACCCGATCCATATCTGGACTGGCTGCATGTGTGGTCGAGCGTTTTGCACTCTTTTAATGATGCACACGTTATTTGCCATCTGCTGACCAAACACTAAGTAATCTAAGTGTTTTTGAAATGGTCAAGGCACTCTTGAGGCCATGGAATGACTGATGGCATAATCAAAGCATTGCACTTAGACTGCGATGCACTTGACACCAACAAACAAACAAACAAATAATAAAATCGACCGATTGGAGAGGTGGTTTAATCGATTATGAAGACTGAACTGAGTGCAGTTGATCCTTCTCACCTGCGCTTATTTCTTCAGTTCCACTATTTGATTGGGGAATGAGTTCTCCAGTCGTTGTGCACCGAGACAGACAAGGGTGCAGTGAGTAGGTGGGTTGAGTGGTGTTGTCGTGAGTCGGATTGGACGCACCCCTGCCCATGGTATTCTTCTACTTAGATGGTTGCACAGAAAAGAACAATTCAAAATTCAATAGACTACTGGACTCGACCCAGGGTCAAGAAATGATCGCTCTTTTAAAAAAAAAAAGTGAGTAGGACAAGAAGTGGTACATCATCGGCAACACGAACAACATGAAGGGGACTTAGGCACGGAGCATAAAAAAATGTGCTAGACCAAAAGATTACCCATCGCGCGAATCCGCACGATGCAAGGCGATTATCTGCCAGATGCATAAGCAAAGAGCCGTTTTTTTTTTGCATGATTTTTTTTGGTCACCTTTTTGGGGTTGATGTTGGAGTAACGAAAAATGAAATGGCCCAGCATTTCCTCTAACCAGCTTCGCACGACCATCTGTTGCCCTGCTGCGGTAATCTGAAAGTATGAAGGATTATTGTGTCTCGTACCCCCCTGGCTGTCGTTGTTCATGAGAGACGTTACATGGTGTTACGGCTGATTACTCTTGTAACCAGGCAGGATAGTATTCGCCGTGAGTTGGGTGCCACAGGGCTGAGGCGTCTTACAACTTTAAAGCTGTGCTCTAACATCACTCCTAGGCTGGTCGTTATTATCCCGGCTAGCTGTTTTAATTTCTCGAAGGCGATCTCATAAACATCAAACGATTGCGGCAGACAATGAAAAACATGCACCCACGTAAGCATGCTTTGCTGACCGTTTCATCAGAGATTTGCAGGGGGAACAGGCGGTGCGCAAAAGGTACTCGGGGGCATGTATGAAGCCAAGCGATCGAAATACAAAAAAAAAAATTCAGGGGTAGGTTCATTCGTGCAGAAGTGACCTGGGCGTGTGAACACATGGGGAAGGGTTTGCGGATGCGAGGAAGCGGTCTGTTCATCAATGTGGTTTCTGTTTTTTATAGTTCTTTCAACCCTGTTGGTTCTTTGATATGTCGGCCCAGTGTCAACGGCTGGAACGCGTGTTATTTAATAGAATCCAACCCAACGGACTGTTCGTTAAGATGATTCTACGGTTCATGAGTGCGCTTTCTAAGAATCGATCACCCCACTGGCGCTTTGTTGTTTTCATTCGTGCATAACAGGGTATAATGAAAAACACACACACATAATGCTCTAAACCTCACATAACTAGGAAACGAGGCGTGGTTGTTATTTGTTATTATGGTGAGAGGTCAAAACGGCTAATCCTATTTCATAGTAATCCGTGGCAGAGGGTCGATACTCTTGGCACCTGCGCGTTTGTCGTATAGATGCAAAATAATTACTTCCCATACAAGAGCGCCTTCTATTGTTGCGGATGTAACCGGCGTCGTCTCTACAGTTCTCCCTCTCTCCACAGGACACTTGCACTACATGAAACTGCTTCCCTCACAGATCTGAGAGTTTCCCTACAAGGAAAAAGAAGCGGAGTCGTCTCCGATGGATCCGAAGTTTAGGAGCTCGAACTGCAAGCTGCGGGCAAAAAATTAAATAGGTAGCATGTGAACATAAGAAAACCCTGTACGGCGTCCATAACAAAATAGAGCAATGCAAAGCCAAAAAAAAAAAAAAAAAGACGGCCATACCAGCATTGCAAGGAATCAGTTGAAGTGGTACACGTGTTATGATCCAGAATCAGAAGAATGCTGTGGATCGCCATCGATATGTTACTGCAGTACCATGCGTGAAATATAACATGGATCGGCTCTCAAAGACTCGCATGAACAGAAAGGCATTCCTGCATTGCACTTGGGCCATATCAATTAGCAACCACAGGGGAGCATCCGCCTCTCGTTGAGCAGCGCGAGTAGAAGATCAAGCGAGAAGGGAGGAAGGGACGGTAGGGATCCTTTTTCGAGTAATTTAAAAACGACCTTCCATGCCATGCATGCGGAGAATGTACGAGGTATTAAATGCTCGTGTTCTGGAGTATGGTCGCCATGCTTGAAAACATGTAGGGAATTCAGAATGATTACAAGGGGTATGGCGATGGCATGGTTGGATCGATGGTAGTCTAGTCGGACATTTCATTTCTTTACAGTTTGTTCGATCATTTACACGCCTCTTTTTTCCTTCCGAAGCTGCCCTATCCACTGGGATGTTGAAGGCATGTTCCACTTCAGAACATGCCTTAAGCCGAGTGGTGTGGAAAAGTGGATTGAACAAAAGATCCTCTTTTTTTTGCGTTTTATTTGACGGCTCTCTTTGTGTAATGTCAAAGTGCTCCTGTGCTTAATGCCTTTTCCCTTTGTACTTTTTGTTTTTGTTGTTGCGCTCTCTTGTTGTAAGGGTTGGTTGCTTGTGGCACCATCCGCAACGAAAAACTCAATGCGCTGTCGTTCAAAAATATCACATACTTTCTTTTTGCCCTATCCGCCTTCCGTCGTCCTTACATGTCTTATCCTGACGCTTGTTTGAATGGCGATAGCTCGGTCCTCGACGCCGACGACTTGCAGGATGTGAGCGGAGTGATGGGGCTCCTTTGTACGCCGGCATGTAGTCTCCATCCCACCACTTGCAGGAGACTGTAATAGCAAGCTACCAGGAGTCTGCTGTACATGAACCATGTCATTTGATGGGCAATATGGACACAATGATGTGCGCGTTTATGTCCTCTACCAGGCCGATGGGTTTGGAAAGAACGTGCGGATGAATTGAGGAAGTTGCCGGACTACCGGTTATTGAGTACTACAGCCACTCAGCTCGCGAAGTCCACATCTTTTTTTTACTGTTGAAGTCGTGCCTTGTTACTTCCCCAAGCGCCGTCCGCTGAACATGGGTTGATGGACAAGGGCCGCAACAGACGATGATGAATGCCTCTGAAAGAAGGATAATATAGCAAACTAAAAGTACGACGCTGGTTGAGAGAGTTCTCGCGACTGCGATGCCCACCCACCCTCGTTCATCTTCGGACAACAACGAGTATACTAGATTACTCAATGTGGACTTTGCTCTGCCTGTGTTCCGCCCATCCATCCTAATATCAGTCGAAAGAGACGACTGTTACTTTATCTTTTTTATCTATTGTAAATTGTATTAGAACCAACTGAATTATTACTCATACCCGTTGTTTGGTAGTGATGGTAGGAGACAGGGCCACTTGTACTATAATGAACTCAATAATAGACCGAGGACCTTGTATTCTTGTGTTCTTGTGCCTCCTGGCTCTTGCTCAACATGCACTGTTGTTGTATCTACAGCAGACAGCACCCTTTGCCCACATCATTCGTCCTCCTTCATCTTCTTTCGTTCTGCAGCGAGACAACACAACAAAAAGCACGACGCCCTCTATTCCGAGCGAGAGAGAGAGCACAGAAGTTTTCTGGGTTCGGTTGACTGGTCAAAGCCGTTTTGTCTTAGTTTCCTTATTCACTTAATCTGTTCTCTTACTCATTCACTTCGTCCTTGGGGTTCATGTCCTCTCTTCTCAGGCGTAGTAAGTTGCCGTAGTAGTCTCTCTCCCTCGTCCCTTCTCCCTTTCCTCTTTCTTCACACTCCATCATCACTCTCATCCTCTTTTTCCTCATTCGAACCCACTTTTTTTTTTCTTTCTTTCTTTCCTCCTTCCTTTCTTCCTCCTTCTCACCCCTCCTTCTACCCCCATCTCCTCCTCACCTTTTCTTATTGCATTCATTTAAATTTATCTTTTTCACGCTTTTATTTTTCTTATTTTTATTTCATTTTTCCTATACTCTTTTATAACCCCCCCCCGCACATCCGCCCTCGAGCGTCCCATTCTAATCCCTATTTTTCCCTTTGACGAACCTCGGCAGCAAAAAAGTCTACTTCGCCATCTTTTCATTCCTTCTTTTCCTAGTTGGCAGAGTGTCCTTTCTTTCTCTTCGCCGTCCTTCTCCCTTTCTTTTTTTCATTATTCGCTCAGTCGCTGTCGTACTATAGTTCTCTCGGTGCTCTCGGCTTCCTTTTGCGCTCTCCTTCTCTAAACACCTGTAGTAAAAAGAACAAAATACCCAGCGTACTAAGGGTCAAACGAGCTTGAGCCAACCAACAACCGACGCTGACACCCCTTCCTTCCAAGCAAAGCACAGGCACACAAACACAGGGCAACAACACATCCGCACGCTCATTCTTTCTTCGCTCATTTTTTCACTCACGCACAACCACATCCACGCAGCGCAACGCAACGCACGAACATACGCACATAATCCGAGTGGTCCGTTCTCCACTTCCCCCCCCTTTCTTTCCCTTGTCGTATTCTTTTGCTTATCTTTACCCTCGGTAGTCTTTCCTTTGCAGTACGCACTCAATCCTTGAACTTGAACACACCGTTACACGTCCTGCATCTCCACAGCGTTCTTTGTTTCACACTTTTTTTTTGGCACTTCGTGATACATCTTTTTTAAGACCATTTCTCAAACTCATACCCTACTCCACTCTTCTTCAGCTACATCTACTGCCACAGCAATGACTGCTGCAACATCCCCGATTACCAGCTTAACAGACCTCGGCAAAGAGCGGCCTTCGGCCATGTCTGCTGTCAAACAGCACGCAGAATACTCGGATAGGGCCGAGCCAAGGTCCATGTCAATGGATTACACCAACAGCTCCAGCAACAACGCCTCTGGACTCACGACTTATTCAACCCGACACCAGCAACAGAGTCATTACGGTCAAGAACACACTGGCGGATACAGCGATGAGTACTACGACCAGCAGCAGCAGCAGCCGCAGCACTACAGCAATGGCCACGGCCATAGCCACCACTCGTCCTCGTCCTCTTCCTCATCCTCACACTATGCCCACAACTCTAATGGTTCCTATCTGCCGCCTCCTATCCATACTGTGTCCTCCTTTGCACATGGCAATGGCAATAGCAATAGCAACAGCAATAATGACGACCCTTCCCTGTACGCCTCTCACTACGGCCATGCCCAGCCCATCCACGGCTCCTTTGTCTCGCCCACCTCACCCTCTGTGTCCTCAACTCAGCTATCGTCGAATGGTGCTCAGTACGGTTATCAGCAACAACAGCCACAGCAGCAGGGCCACTACGACTATGACCACCCCCAAGCCCAATACCACTCTTACCATGCACACCACGCATCATACCCTCAGGATCATCATCAACACCCCTTGTAAGTGTTTTATCAGTGCAATTTTTTTTCCGCTTGTGTTCAGATGAAGGGGGATGCATAGAACACAATTCTCGGTGGCGGGTGCCTTTGTAGCCTTTGTTATATCAGCATGCGCGTGCTATTCTACTGCTGTTTCCCCATTTTTTCAGGGGCTATCATCATGAAAGGCATTGCTGCAGTCAAGAACAGACCAAAAATCAAGCCAGGGCAGCTTTATAATCCAAGCATCTGCTGATAATTGGTCCTTTTTCTTCACATATCTTAGAAGTCCATCCAGCGAAGGAAACGGACATCATTTTTATAACGGCCACCCAGTTCCTGTCGGGAAGGTGGTAGACAACAGTAATAGTCTCAGCAATGGATCGTATTCGTCTTCGGCCTCTTCTACGCACTATTCGTCCAGGTAATCATCAGATGTCGTTTGTACCCTGGAGATGATATGAGAGGCATGTGCGAAGGATCTACATACGCTGAGCACTCTTTACGGCACCCTTCTGAGGGCGGACAAGGCGGACAAAACATAATGAGCGGAAGTTTAACGCTCTTGTACTTCTGGATGCACGCTCGAGGTGGTAGCTAAAGGAGTGCGGCGTCAACTTTTTTTTTTCCTGTGGAGGCTGAGTTTTATATGATAGTGTCTGGAGGTATGATGAAGAAGCGCTTTATTGTGGCGAACCCATTGCTTTCCTGCGGATCTGATTGTTGACAGGGCATGTCGATTACCTTGCAAACCTGGGTTTGCGGCGGCTGTGATTGGAGTGGTGAGGACGAAATTCGAATGGAGATGGGTATCTCTGGGACCGTACCCGGACCCGTTCTAGCCTGAAACCCCTAGGACCACTACTTACTGGTCCACACAGGCCCTCTGGTGCGTTTTTGTCTTCTGGGATCTAACCAAAGAAGGGTCAGAGGGAGGTGGAGGGGGACGAATGGGCACTCATTTCTCGTGTCCTAAATGGAATGTTCAGAGCCCTTGTCTCTTCTTTTCTTCTTTGGCTGTTGTTGTTGTTGTTATTGTTGTTGTTGCTATTAATGTACACTGATGGATGGCGAAGGATGGTGCTCAAACTCGAAGGGGAGGAGCATCGGGGGTTTATTCTGGTCCAAACGAAAACGAAAGAAGCAGGAGAATGGGCCGTGTTTCTTGGCTTTGTCACACGAAGGCAGCACAGGGTGGGAGCCAATCAGCATGCGAGCTGTGTTCCCATCAGACGGATAGTGTTTAAACAAACAAACGTCTTCGTTCTTCTTCTTGCCGGTGATCCCAAATAGAAACCACCCTTATGGATCAAGTGCCCACAGTCACAGCAACCCCAACCACAACAGCCACAGCAGCGTCGACTCGAGTCTGCCAGAGGGCCACGGCGCCGGACTCGGCATTGGCCCCGAGGGTGTGCTTCCCAGCAGCAAGTCAGACAGCTCCTCGATGGTCTACTCGACCTCGGCACCCTCGCCCTCGACTGCTCATGCGCTGGTCGCAGCGAGACCCAAGCGACGGTCAGAGACCTTTGCCCACCAGGAGAGCCCGTATTTCTATCCTGCCCAGCAGCACTACAACCTCTTCAGTGTTGACCAGTCCATGAGGTGAGCATCCTTCCAGCCACATTCCACCCACTTGAGAGAATTGTGCACCTACACCAGCCTGGTGCCCATTTATTTAACCCCGCATTTGTCAACTAACGTTCACCGCACGCATCCTTATTCCGTATTTGTGCATGAAATTATAGCTACAACATCAAGATTGCAGCCAAGATCGACAGAGGTTTCTTTTTAGCCGCGAACGACTGGACCTGCTATCGTCGCAATTATTTCCAACTCAGTGCGTCCTTTTCCATTCTCGGACTGGACTCCTCTGTCCACCCCGAGGTGCCCTGTCTCCTAGACCGGAATGGCGATCTGGTCACAGTCAGGGCCTTTTTGGTTTGCATTGGAGCACAGATCCAGAACGGAGAGAAGGTGATCGAGCTTGTCCAGCATACCCCAAAACGTGACAAAGGCCCGCAGATTACCCCTCGGCCGACGCATATCCGGGCCGGCGGCGACTTGAGCACCAGTGCTACTGGACCCGCTAGTCCAAGCGTGGTCACGTTTGAGCGGGTGCAGTTCAAGACAGCGACGGCTAACAATGGCAAGCGCAGAGCTGCCCAGCAGTATTATCAGGTGCACGTTGATCTCTTTGCAGAACTCGACAACGGAGACTTAGTCTTGGTCGCCAACTCGTTCTCGGCGCCCTTGGTCGTCCGTGGCCGCTCCCCAGGCCACTATGCTGACAATGATGATGCGCACATGGAGTGCTCTCATAGCTCAGACTCGCGGCGCCATTACAGAAACGACAGCGTCAGCAGCGGTGGAGGCGGACCTCTTGGATCACCAATCTCCCCTGGCGAGTATCCTTACTACTCTGGCTACGCATATGGACCGTCATACCCTTACCAGTCCCTGGGCTCGGCTTCGCATATTGCAGCTCAAGCGCATGATTCCAGCTATTACGACCGCAAAGATTCAGAGTCCTACCCTGCGAGCCCTCTGTTGCCTGCTGGTCCTCATCCTGGTGGTAAGTTGGACATGGTTTTTGAAAACGGTATCTCTTTTTGTTCTGTTTGAAAATGAGACGTAGGAAAAAAAAAAGCAAAAACTCATTCTTTTTTCGTTTTAATTTGCCACCATTCTGCAGAATCAGTCTCGCCTGATATGTACAGTCCATCAGGATTCGTGGGACCCGAACCCACAGTATCAGCAGCGTACAACAGTCGACTTGCACAGATGTCCAGCCATCACCCACAGGGCTACGGCAGCAGTGCTTATGGTCAATACTCGTCCTACGGTAGCCAACAACACTATGACATGTACAGGGATCAGGATCACGAGACACAAATGGCAGGATTACGGATCCATTCCCCCACGAGCCCCATGCCATTGAGCGCCACTGGCTCGCCAGCAGTGACCCCGCGCCGGCAGTCGTTCAGCTCTTCCTTGATTTCAAGAAAGACAGAGCGCGGTGTTGGCGGCTCGACCACGCGTAAATCGCGCTCGATCTCGTTGTCGGGCACGACAACGACGACGACGGTGAGCAAGCTGTCATCGGCGAACAAGGTGCGCTCGTCGCGTACGGTTCCTGTGACTCCAACGAGGGATATGATTGGAAAGGGCACCGGCAGCGGCAATAACCATGGTTTCTCGAAGGACCGTATCCCGGAATCACCGATGGAGGAACAGCACCCATTGTAATTTAATAAGTGAGCGGAATATGACTCAACTTTGGAAGCGTTGGTGATTGTGGTTTAGGATCCGGCAAGGCACGTAGTTTGATCCGAGTCGCTGTCGTTTTTTTTTCTCCTTGCAACCCTCTTCATCACATACACACATACACACATACACACATACACACATACACACATACCCACCCACTCACACAAAGCAGAAAAGGCTAAAAAAAAAAAAAAAAAAAAAGAATGAAAACGTTTGGCAACAACGAAGAGCGTGCGCTGGCTCGTACCGCTTAGTATATTCCATTTAACGTATTATGAATCGTACTCTCTCGGTCGTTCTGTTCCATTTATTGCAGTGTACTCTGATATTGCAATAAACAGCACTGTTGACGGTAAAAGGATGATCTCCTGTTGAAAAAAAAGCCAAAAACAAGGAAGCTCCAAATTTGACCCGCAACAAGAATGGCACGAAGCTCTTTATTTCGGTGAGTCGTCAAGCTGTATAAATCAGGGGCGGCAGCATCATCACGTCCAGGGTTTTCCTATCTGTCATTCAAGGCCAAATGTAGAATTAAAAAAGCCAATGGATGTACGCTTATATGAATTCCATACACAGTTCGTGGGTCTCAATAGCCATTGTTCGCAATCACAACGTATCTTCTCACACGCGTCTTTCTGGATCTTGCTCTCGCGCGCGACGAGCGTGCGCGCGACGCGTGGTGAAATACTAAAAGAAAAAAAACTTCCAAACGCGTCAAGTGGCTTACCTCAATTCCTGAAGTTCGCGTAAAGGAACCCAGACGAAGAGACCGAGTTGATCGATACAACACATCAGCATCACGGGGACGTCATGGACACAAAGAAGGAAAAGGACTCGAGCGTTGTTGAGATTGGAAACTTTTATGGCATTATTGGCAAGGATGGGCGTGAATGTACGTCAAGGCAGTAATGGCGGCAAGGATTCATTCAGACTGCATGATGCTTTCTCGACACAGGATCGATCGCTCAGCAACGCCTACCTTTTTTTATTTTTTTATTTTTTCTATATTCATGTAAACACTGAATAGATAAAGTAGAAGTCTTGGGAAAGAGAGTGACAGAAATGGATACGGATGTCTATGTCCATTACGAGGGCAGTAAGTCCATGCAGGCCGTTTTCCAGATCCCAAGTACAGCGATTTGAAGTTATCCCAAAGGACTTATCGACTTATGGCATTCTTCTAGCGGACAAACGGCTGGACGAATGGGTTGACATGAAACGACTTATGCCGCTGAAGATACCATTACCCGCAGAGGGGACATTACCAGAGGATGCAGCATCAGGATCGGATTTCACAGTGACCAACAGCGATGGAAGCCAGGGATCATCAGTGTTACTGCCAGATGTCGCAGGGGAGGGTTCACGGCCGAAACGGAAGTTTATCAAGGATGAGGTCCAATTGCTGATGGAGTCGCTCAAAACACCCTCGCGCAAGGTATATATACTCAGAGCTGATCTGGAGTTGTTGTTTTTTTGTCCGAAAGTACATGTAAGCTGACTCGCCATATGAGATACATACACAAACATTGGGGAACACATAGAAATCAGGCGAGATCAGCCAGGACAGTACAACTCGGAGTAGCAACAGCTCGGCCAATACACACGGACATGGACACGGACACGGACACGATCACCACGATGACGAGGAGGTGCCCCGAGTCAGGAACGTGGAATGGATTCTTTATGCAGGATACGACATCGCGACTTGGTATTACTCGCCCTTTCCTGAAGAATACCAGGACTGCCAACGACTGTTTATTTGCGAATACTGTTTGAAGTACATTCGGCAAGTCGAGAGCTTCATGAGTCATACGAAGAGCTGTAAGCGGAAGAAACCTCCAGGGACGGTGGTCTATTCTAAGGGCGTGAATAAGATCTACAAGGTCGATGGAAAAACCAACAAGGTGCGGTACAGTTGACGATTCATCGAAAAGAAAGAGGGGCTTCTACAGGAGCAGAAGTAGTGTTGGTAAAACAAGCGAAAATGTGTCCTCTGACTCACAGTCGATGTATTTTTTTTAACAGCTTTATTGCCAGAATTTGTCGTTGCTCGCCAAGTTATTTTTGGATAACAAGACCTTGTATTTCGACATTCATGGCTTCCACTTCTTTGTCCTAACCGAGACGCGGCCTGGGGATCGAGCTGATGTGCCTGTGGGATTCTTTTCAAAGGTAACAATCATAATCACAGTTTTATTTTTATTTTTGGCTATGCGATATGACATGTAGGGCCGTTCTACTTAGGTATTTTTGACATCAGGAGTATGATGGCTGTAATTTGGCTGGTACATGTGGCATGCACGCGACATAAAGACCGACGGGAGGAGGGAAAAAATAAAGGGAGACCAGCGACCTGCGTAATTTCCGGTCCCCCTCTCTTTCATCCTCCACCTTCAACCCTGGTCTTTATGCAAATTAATTTGGCTAATGCAGGGTGACATCGTTGGGCCTACGTGCTGCCCCGCAGCTTGAGTAGGATAGGTACTAATCGCGTGCGGCATTTTCTACGACTTTTTACTTTTTATGGACTATGGTCTTTAACTATACTAGGAGATTGTCTCATATGATGGGTACAATTTAGCATGCATCTTGATCCTACCCCCGTTTCAACGAAAGTCATACGGAAAGCTGTTGATCGAGTTTAGTAAGTCTGTCTCCTGCACTCTATTCCCTGTCTCCCTTCCTTGCCCCATTTTTTCTTTAATGCGCTTGGACGATCGTAATTTGGTCTTTCAATTGACCGAAGAGCATGGGTCCTGCGTTCCGTTCCTGCCTGTACCACGCTTACCCAAATCGACAAAATGAAATCGAAGGGTCTAATTTTTTAGTTTCAACACGCGTCATTCTTATCGATCCATATAGTTATTGTTTGAGTGCAAGATTCCAAATGACCAGCTGAGCCGGGTCAAGCAAACTAACGTTTTTGTTTATTTGAATACATAAAACAACTTTTTGCACACATAGGCTACGAGTTGACAAAGATCGAGGGCAAGGTCGGGTCTCCTGAGAAGCCGCTTTCAGATCTGGGCAAACTAGGGTACGTCTCGTACTGGATCACGGCCATTTTGAGGGAGCTGTATCCGAAACCCTGGCCCGCGAAGCGGATCGTCCTCCCTTTGGCGACTCAGAGGCGGAAGAGTCGGATTGCGTCGATTAAACAGGACGCGACAACAGCGGCCGCGGCGGGAGCGCAACCTTCAGTACAAGGTGGAAATGGAATAGAGGTATCATCATCATCGTCATCCTCGATAGAACCGAGTGGGGAGGGTGTTGCGTTGCCGGATGTGAGGACCCAGAGAAATGACGCTGGGCCTATGGATGTCGATGCTCCGCTACCGACAGAAGTAGAAAAAACAGACGTGACCAAGGAGATTGCGTTCTCGATCCGGGAGCTAGCTGCGAAGACGGGGATTATGGAAGAGGATTTGTTGGAGACACTTGTAGGGATGGGATGGATGAGGCATTGGGTCTCGCCGGCGGAGCAGGCTGGATCGGTTGCGATCAAGAATGCGAAGCGGAATTATCAGAAGCTAGTCAAGTTCCATGAGCAGCAGCAGTTGTTGGAGTCGGGTGTGCTGCAGGATGGGGCTGTTGCAGGTTCAAGTGGTGGGCATGAGGGCGAGAGCAGCACTAGCGCTGGCGTCGGTGGTGGTGGTGGAACTGGTCTGGGGCATCATTACTCAAAGGTGCATTCGAGACAGCCTTCTGGGTCTAACGTCAGTGGTAGTAATAACACGAGTGTGCAGGCGATTGTAAGCTCGGCGATTGCAGCGTTGCAGGCGAATGATGCTCTCGCTCATGCTCAGCTGCTGCAGAATCAAGAACGGAGGCATCTGCCAGGACAGCAAGAGCAGCAGCAATATTTGACACAGGATGTTGATCCGGTTTCGATCTTGGAAATGGTAGACAGCGACGGTGAGGACGCGACGGTCGCGGGAGCGGAGGAGGAGAGCGGCATGCCAAGCACTACGACTGCAACTGCAGCGGCGTTGACGACGGATCTGATGAAGGATGTGGCAGTGGTGACACTGGGGACAGTGAAAGAGTACCAGGATCGACACAATATCCGGCTGGAGCCCTATGTAGACTGGAACCTGATTGACTGGGTCGCGTACCGGAGAACCTTGGACTGAATTAAAAAATTCCTAGGCGAAGAGATTGTTATGCCTAAAAGAAATAAAGGGGGCAGGAAAGGCTGTTTTGGGGGTGGGTTCAAGATCCCTTAGATCTTTTTTTTTTTTTTTGGTGTCGATCATTGCGCAAAGAAGGGGCAGAAGGAGAAACACCACTTCCCCCGTTGTTCACATGCAAGTGTCGACAATTCACAGGCACCACTATTCGGATCTAGCTCCTCGTCTTTCGTCGTCGTCCCTTGTCTACTTCCTCGGACACGGAGCGAAAAGCAGATTACAACGAAATACGGGGATACCAGAGAAAGAGCTAGAAACTGTTTTATTTTCTAGGCTTGCCCTGAACAATCCGTATCAGTAGAACTAGGCTAGATAACAAACTTGCGAAATCATGTCATCACCGGTCAAATGTATAAATGGCAGCGAATTAGGGTGTGGGGGTCCCCGTTCATTACTTTGTTTTTTATGTTCGTTGGCCCGTGTTCGTTGACGATAGAAAAAAAAGGGCACGCAGGGGCATATGAATTGGAAGGAAACGGATGTGGCCAGAAAAGGAGGAGAATGAGATATGTGTGCCTACGCACCTACCTAGTTTTACTCACACGCATAATGAAACCCACACCATACCAAAACTTGCCATGTCCATGCCCATGGCCATGTTGCTCATACCATGCCATGCTACATGGATTCATATTGTCGCGTGTGCCTGTCTGTTGTGCATTCAGTACGAGTCAGCCCTTTTCAATTGTCGGGAAGAAAATAATTAGATGCGGTCCCGACCCAGGACATGGGCATAGACTTTGGTGAGATTTTTTTTTCGGCTCTCTCTCGCTTTCTTTATAAAATGGGACCCAGGTCTGGTTGTATTCGATTTTCTATTCATATCTCAAAAAAATAGCCCTTTTTTGCAGTGCAGGATGCATTGCAGGAAAAAAGGACGCATCCGATGCGATGGGTGGATGGACATGTGTGTAGTCAGACAAAGAGCAAGAGCGAGAAGAGAGAGATCGGGGGTAGGTGTGTGCACACACGGGGAGAAAGGAATGGTGTTGAGCTGATGTGGTCTACTGACAGCTTCATACAGGGGCCCAGAAAAGTCCTTCAGAGAGATAGAAAGATGACCATGGGCAAAGTAAGAGAAAGAGAGCGAAAAATCACATGAGAGGAGGAGGGAAACGCGTTTCTTTGGCCCCTCGTCTCCCAGGTATAAAAGGAAGCAGACCCTCTGGTTTTTTTTGTTAGAGTCTCTCTTCCTTCTCGTTCTCTTTCTTTATATTTGTTTCCGGCCCCGATTCTCATTCTGATTGCCACTACATCTTCCCGTTCACTTACTCTCCCACACTCTCCCTGTGTGGTCTTTCTCCAATTGCTTCGCTCCCTCTCTCTTCCTCTCTTGTCAGCCAACCTCTCCGCTTTTATCCGTCTCTTCTCTCGTTCCATCACACTCCCTCTTTCGCTCGTCCTGTCACACATCCAAGCTTCCTTCTTTCTCCTCTCTTGCTCCCTTGCTGCAAACAAACAAAGGACGACCTAATCCATTCGCACCGTTTTCATTCCTGCAGAACTAGGGTTGCTTGACTCTTTTTTTTTTCTTTGGGTCCGCCTTCTGATTGGATTGTTTGCGTGTTCTTGTTCGTGTAGCCCTTCCCTGTCGTCGTTGTACCCGCCATCTCTTCTTTTGTATTATATCACACCCTCTTCTCACCTCTTTCTCTCTCTTTCTCTTTCTTCCCTCCTCCCCTCCCCCTCCCCTCCCCATTCATTACCCCCACAGACAACAAAACTGCAGCTGCGTTACGCCCTCGAACACCGCTGAGAAACAGCCGCATATATCTCCATACCATCCTCCAACACACTCAACCCCCGTTTCTCTCTTTTCTTCGCTTCGACTCCTGCAGAACACATTTCTCCCGCTCCCGCTCATTGGACCCTTCCCCCTCTCTCGCTCCGCTCCGTTCAATCCATATACTCCATATACCAGTAATTTAATATCTCATAATCATAATGCCCTGCCGTGCTGCCCCTCCCCCTCCCCCTCCCCCACACTCGACCCTGGACCTGACACCCTCACCGCCCGCACTCTCGAATCCACTCGTCTACCGGTTGCGGACCTGCTGTCTCCAAGAGTTTCTCCCCAGGGTCTCGATCGTCCAGCGATCCTCAATATCCACCACAGGAGCTATCACATCAACAACATCCGCAACGGCGCCGCTACGCCCCTTCCCTTCGTCCTCTAGCTCTTCGGAATCGCATTCGTCTCTTTACTGTTGCTGCTCTCCAAACAGCTCGAGTTTGAGTTCGACCTCTGTGGATCACACGACTCGCCCCTGTCCACGTTCACACCACGCGGTTGTGACTCCTCGTCGTTCGGGCGCTACTCAACTCTCTGCGCTGTTTAATAGCGACTTCGCCAGTAGTTGTGGTAGCAATGCATGCTGCGGTATCATTGGCAACAGCAGCAGCAGCAACCACACCATCGACAATGTCGTCTCGCCCTCGTCATGCCCTTCAATTGCACACGCCCAAGCTCAACAGGATACGCCTGCATGTTCATCAACAGCGACTTCTGGATGGCAACATCCTCCGACAAACATCCCGCTCGCGCAGCTTCAAACTGCACTCGCACATCGGTTCCTGAGATGGGCGGTGTCTGAGCAGATTGTCGTCGGCGCTGAGCAGGACCAACAACGTGTGGAGCAATTTTCCCAAGAGCAGCAGCAGCAACAACAGGAGAAGGATGCACAAGAGAAAGAGCAAGAGCAACGCGACATGATCGATAGCGATCAAGGGACGATGCACAATCAAACGCTATCTGCGGATGATGAGCTGGCTCAAATGAAATCGATCGCTGCAGCAGGGCAGGATTGGGCAGCAGCCCATGATCTAGTGTGGCCAGAGGGGGATTATTACATGGCCCAGAAGAGCTTCATCCGTGAAGGCGTTGCCCATTTGAAACGTGGTCGGCGTTATATCTTTGTGGAACCTGTTCTTGGACCGGCAACGTCGTACCTGTACCCGAGGTGGAATGATTCTACTCCAGCAGGGGAAGGCGTCGACGGTGTCTTGGAGGAAGCAGCGGACGAGGGAAGGAATGACGCGGTGGTTGCGCCGACGACGACGACGGCGGCGGATGAGCTTGAGGAAGATAAAAATCAGGATGACGATGTTGTTCAAAATGAAGTCTTTGAGGACGTAGATGGAAAGATTGAGGGAGCGGAGAGTATGAATGGGGATGATAAGCGGACGGACGAGGATGATGAATCTGAAGACCGTGCGTACGAGGCCTCGCTTGCTGTTGCTTCCGACAAGGGTGCTGAACGCGTTGAGAAGGAGGAGACGGACGAAACGGCTAATGGTGGCGACAATCCTTCGAGCACGACTACCGCCCTCAACAACAGCAATACCAGCAGTAGCAGTAGCAGCAACAACAGCAACAGCAACAGCAACAGCACCACCACCACCAACAACAGTGCCAATGCCGCCAGCAATACAACGAACAACAACAATGTCAACAGCCACGAGGACAACTCGGCCCGTCATCTGCCCTCCGAGTTCCTGGAGCCGTATTCCCCTCTTTTGGACCCCTCGACCGACGGCCAGGACCAATTTGAGTACGGTCTTTACGAACTGCAGTATATCCCCAAGATCCAGCGCCTGTTGCCACATCAGTTCCTACCGACGCGACAGTCGTTCATCGTCCATCTGGACGAGGACCGTCCGACGCTGGCCTCACCGGTACCGATGCACTCGAAGCGGAGCGAGTGCCGATGCCAGCTAATGATGCGCAAGGTACTCATGCACCGCGATTTGTTCCAGGTCTGGCCGCCGATCCCACCCGTGCGCACGCTCCAGGAGCGGATTCAGGAGGCCGAGGAGGAGGCGAGGATGTTGGAAATCAAGCAGAAGGTGCAGATGCAGACTAAAAACTGGAGAGAAACCCTTCAGACCCAAGTCGTCGCCTGCGGATAGACGCGACGCGAGCTAAAAGCATTTACTCTCATTCACAATACATAGAACTTAGATTCTCCCAACGCCAAAACCCCCCTCCCCATCACTTTGTATAAAACACACTTGTATATCATCATTAAAAATGGAGAATGTATCTTTTCCCTCCTCTCTTCGAGTTCGAGCTCCACTAGCGCGTCATGCAAAATACAACTGCAGTTCATAAACGCAAGGAACCGCTAACGGCAATTGTCCGACAAAACCGGTGTGGCATGCATGCGAGGAGACCCATGGCTCATTTCTCCTTGTCCTGATGAAATCTTGATAACAACGCTCTTTAATCCTCTCATCGCCTAAGCACAAGTAGACGACTATCGATTGACCATCAGCTAGACCATGCTGTAATGTTGCAAGGTATGAAAAATGAACGGAAGCAAATGTCAATGTGTTACTTCGCTTGCCATTATCTTTATTTTCAAGCAATATTTCAATTGAATATGCGCACAATAGACTAGTAAGTTCGACCCAAAGAATGAAATGATTGTGCATTAGCACTTTTTTTCCTTTTTCGCAGACATCTCAGCAACCCAATTCAAGTTTGAGGCCACGAGAGTCTCATTTTGAGGCTGCAGCGAACGAGTACCACCGGCCTCGTGGACCGTCTATGGATTAGATGAGTCCTTGGTTTCCACACCGGGCTTCTCAGGTGCAGTGTCGGTCATGGCAGCTAGTGTGTTGTTGTGATTGCTAGTATCATGTTGATATTGTTGTTATTGTTTACGACTGTGTTATCACCGCTGCTGTTATCGCTTCCAGTTCCACCAGCATCCGTGCATCCCTTGGCGTCGCTGGTATTAGTCTCTCCCAGTGTCAAGATAAGCATGCGGCAATGATACATTGTTACCCGTCGAACCTTCCTTCCTGTTCTGCGCACGGTCATCATGATGAAGGTGTTTTCCTTCCTTTGTCGGAGTTGGATCATAACCAAAACGATACCTTGTTGGCCTTGGTCCTGGCCCTGGCTCACCGCCGAAGCATTCGAGAGGCCAGACGCTTGGCTCCATGGCGCGTACGGTCTTGCTTTCTGGGCTGCACTGGGTTGCACTGGGATGACATAGTACTTATTGCTGATTTGCTGCACATTCAGACCTGGAGTCGATGGCGGTGGCAATGGCGATGGCTCTCGAGATGAAGAAGACTCGTCCCTCTTGATGTTATCAACGATCTGAAGTTCTGGAGCCGCATTTGTGTCCTTCATATCCACACCCTTCACTTCCTCCTCTTCAATTGTACCCGATTTGTCCTGAAATCGGGACAAAGGTGCAACAGCGATTGCGTGGGAGGATTCTTGAGAGCGCTCGCCGACGCTTGCTGTCATTAAATGTTTCGAACCAACCCATATGCTTATCTCTGTTAGACGCAACCTTCGCTGTTGCTGCTGCCGTGAGATTGACATCATTGCTTTTCGCCCCTACTTCTACGTCGTCACTGCCATTATTACCTCTCTCACCGCCTCCCACGCCAACGCCTTCGATCACGGCTCTATCCTTATCACCTCGGTTTTCCCCACGCCGCTTCATCTCCAGGAATAGTCAGCTGGAGACGTTCATGGGCTTTGGTAAATACACTGAGACATTGTGCATAATCGACCCTGGGCCTCTGCCCCTCCAACACTGCACCTTCATATCCTAAACTCCCATGGATCGTTGAACCTTGAACTGTTTCGAATCTTCCGCTCGTTTGCCGCCAGTTAGTTCTGCTGGGGACCCAACACGCTCCCTGGTCGCATAATCCGCAAGTATCCAGTCGTCTCCGATGCTGTAAAGCCAAAGTACCGCATCAGAAAAGCATGCCGACCATCGTCCCCGTCCTACTTAAACCGCCTATGCAGTGCGCCGCGACCACACCTCCACCGACGCGTCGACTTTCATCGCCATGAAGACTGTCATAATCGTCGCTGATATCGCTCAGATCGTCACTGAAGACGTCTCTTTGACGGGCATCCCCGATCGCCTCCTCACATACCAGCAAAACATCTGTACCAGTCTCAATGACGGACAGGTACCGCCTGCGTAGGTCAAATCTGCATGGTGGAATCCGTGTGCACGGAAGTGCTGGGTGTCATATACAATCTCGTTTAGCCGAATCACGGACTTAACGTTATGTGATTTGATATAGTCGAGCAGGTGTCGGAAAAATGGGTTCGAGGGTGTTTCTTCTTATTGCAGGTACAGGCGGAGTTGCTGTTTTTGCTAGTATCCACGTCGTTGTCCTCCTTGGAAGCAGAAGCATCGCTGCGGCTGTCGCTGGGGCTTGATAGAGCTACTGTCGCGCTAGCATTCGCTGAGTCCTCTGTTTTGCCATCAGTGGCGCTGCTGTTCTTGCTCTCGGAGTCAGGCGACGGCGTTGTGGTGGGCAAGGTGTTGTCGTCTGTAGCGATTCCACTGATGAATTTCCTGGCAATGATTTCCTTGAGGGACTATCAGACTCCATTGAAGATTCAGACGAGCTACCATTCGATTCTGCTGACGAGGTATCTTATTCTGAAACATTATCCCATTCATTCTCACTATCCATGCTACTCAAGTTGTCCTATCCGTTTTCCTTCGCCTTGGCCTTGGTTCTTGCTTTGCACTCAGCTTTTTTCAAGTTTCGCGGCAGTTGCCATCTTGTAATTTTGTCCTTTGGGCTTGTGAATACAATAAAAAACGGCGTGACCCAATTAAAGCCGCCGTACTTGGTATTGCCATGCTTTTCATAATCCTCCACGCCAAAGGTATCGAGTTTTGCAATAATCCCATGTCGATTGTCTTGCGAACCCCACTCAAGCAGCCCAGGATCGCGATCTCAAACAGGCTGGGACCGGCCCCACACGTCGCGATAGGGTGTGGTCTTTGGCTCGACATCGGTAAATGCTTTGAAAGCCTCCTCTGGAGACATGTTGTACATGCTCATCTAAACGAAGTAAGGGAAAGAGAGATGTACAGATGTTTACAAAGGCATGCTGAGCGTACGCTTGTTTCACCAGTAGCGGGGTTGAAATTGTGAACGTACCATATTGCAGCACAACGCGAAAATCGCGCTGGCGCGTTTACTGTCATTGAACTTTGTGTACAAGCAAAGTGCTGTACGACCTATGGCCAAAAGCCGTGATATATAAAAGGACTCCTTATTCCTACTTTCGTTCGCTTGCTTATCAGTACGACGATAAAAAAAATGGCATCGGTTTTAAATACCTCATAATGCTTGGTCATCAAGCATTGGAGTCGAAACGCGTTTGCTATATTGAAGGGTCCGATATGGTCGTTGAATACCCGTATTTCAAACAGTTGTCTATCGTAAAGTATGTTATGCGATTGTTGCTGACCGGTCTGGCAGAATTCCACATGAAATACAGACGCTCTAAAGACGTATTTTTGTGCATCTGATAACGACATGGACCAGATATCACAAATGAAAAGATCCTTGGCAATCACTTTGTCACGACCTCCTGGAAATGAAAAGCCTTACACATACATTTAATCTCGCGGACGTTGGGTGCTTTGCAGTCAACATCGCCCTCTGGTGTTTGCCCTGTGCTTATCGGGCTCTGTTCCTGGCTCTGCGACTGCGGCTGCTGTTGACATTCCTGGTTATCCTAGAGTGGCAATTGCTCTCGCTGCTGGTCGCCGCTCTCCAACGTATTAGGGTTCTCCTTGCAATCCTTTGTATTACGGTGATCCCTGCCAACCATCACATCCATCACCGTCTCCATCTCCACATCTTCACTCTCCTGAGCCACCACCCCTTCTCATTTCTGTCCGTTTTTGTTCACACCGCTTTCTGCTTCCTTCGACATCAACAAAGTCACGTTGATAGTCCTTCGGAAATCGCTGGAGGGATTCGCGGGCTTATCCACGGTTTCATCATCTATCGGCGGTGATATAGTGGCACCAAAGAAGGGGCTGTTTCCATCATGACTGACCGGCGACGCTGTGTTGGAATGGGATCCTTAGGCGGTGACGATGAACGTTTCTGACCCGCGACCATATTACTTGACGACGATGCGAGAGCTGATTGCTGCGGCAGTGGTGCTGGTAATGCCAATGATGCAGGATTCGATGTCGTCTTTGCAGGCTCGAGGTCGTTAGAGTTTCTGGACATGACTTTATGAAAGCTATATCTGCGGCGTTTCGTGTGTGTAACGTGTGTGCCATGTTATATACATTTTTTTAGAGGCCTTAAACAAGCTCAAAAGTGGGCTAGGTCCGTGCGTTCTTATAAAAGGTTCATCGAACTCAGACAGGTTTGAGGCTCTTCTCTTTCTCGCATCGAACATTAGACTATCCTTCGAAACACAGCTTTCAGTCAGTTCAGATAGAGAAAGCAAGGGTTTACTCTATTTTATTGTAGACGGGTGGCGTTGCGGTTACAGAAAGAGTATACTGACAAGGTAGAGGAAGACAGGATCAAGAGGGACCGGTAGTGGCGAATTAAACCCGCTAGATGAGGTTGGTACGTAAATGTCCATGTTATACTGCTCGCGTGGATGTATTTACTTTCGATCGAGCAAAGTGCTCTTTTTCTGATGCGGTTCTCTGCGATTCCTTGAACCTACCATAGGTGGGAATCACCTGGCATTGGCATAGAGACGCTACAGTGAAGAGTGAGGAAACATAGACAGCTAACTTACCGGTTCTGCTACTATCTTCGTTAAAGGTCATCGTGCCAACGACACTGAACTCTCCATAGCATGAGCTCAACCCCAGAGCCGCAGTACTTTACATTAAGCAACGGTCTCGAAGTCGGTGTATTTTTTCTTATCGTCGTTCTATTGCTCGTGTATATATCATGTGTACTTTTTGCGCTTGATAGTTACAGCTCGTTCTCTCAGAAGAATATGTATGTGCAGCAGGGCAGCAAAGTAGATGTTCAGTGGGTTAAAGGACACAGTGACGATACTGGAAATGAGGCCACTGACGAATTGGCGGACAAGGCACACGACAGCGGGCGACGGCCATGGCAACTGAACACACGGTATCTCACGAGCATGAAGACACATACGACCTTCTGTGGTCAGCCAGCGGAGGACGACATTCGCCAATTGATCAAGCATCAGTCTGCAGCCAGAAACCATCATGCATGGACTTGTCAACAACGAACGAAACAATTTATTCAGCAGTGGGAAGAAGTGGAGTGGCGATCCAGCCTTGCTATAATACATGAGAAAAATTCGCCAGGGGGTTTTTTCACCAGCCTTGCGGATTGCAACCATCGGTCCCACAGAATCAAAAAAATCCATGGTATGCTGCCAACCATGCAGTATATGCACAAGTGGAAGCCGAATCTGTATACCACAGACAGATGCCAAGTGTGCCTTACCATGGTGGAGGATACCCAGCACCTCTGGGTCTGCAGAGCCACACAGAACAGACGACAGGAAGAATGGAGAAAGACACTTGATGGGATTCTAAGTCTTGGACGCACCTTGGTGGATAAGGCGAGGAAAAAGTGGTTGCGCGACATGGAGGAGGCAATCAAGGATGGTCGACAATTTACACGCACCGAACCGAGTTTTACCCCGTGCGAGTTAGACACCCTTTGGTGGAGTCTACGTGAGATCCGGGGAGTGGAAACGATGATGGATACGTGGGATGATGACTGGATAAGGCTGCTGGAGGAGCGGTGAGACAGGGACAATGGTGACGAGGACAGAGAGAATGTTCACGAGGAAGAAGGAGAGGGAGAAGGAGTGGACAGTCAAGAAAACGTACAGCAGGCAGCACCGCCTACCAGGCTCTGGACAACGACAGACATATATCACGGGCTCGTACCAGAGTCCCTGACAACGGATTGGGCGCTGCTCTTTAAGACATCGAAGAGTATCGCGGCTTACCTGGTTGGACGCTTTGTAGAACGAGTTGAGGATTTTGGCCGAGAGGAGCTATGGAAGGAGCGATGTAGTGCCACAGTGGCATGGGAAAAGTCCGAGGGCATATGCACGAGGATGAAGAAAGCTGGGGTCCAGGTAGGAGGTGAGGTCCAGGGCTTTGTGAGACAACAGCCCCAAGAGGAGGTTACGACAGCGGCGAGGAGGAGAGCAGGCAGCCGCTTGGTGGACCATCTCCAGGGAAAGGTGGTGTTGAAAGAGATGGAGAGAGGAAGGAGGATAAAATTCATATTGGCCCGTGATCTTGACTAGGAGAGGACCCATCGGACCCGACAGGTTGCGTAGCGGTTTTGGGCCCCGGCTCAAGTATTAGAAACCATGCGACTCGGAATGTGCATCATAGGTATTTGGTCCCTCATTTTACATTAGTTTAGTGGGGGCCTTTTGTTAGCCATCTTTAGGTAACTATCGGCCAGCTGACAGTCCAAGCCGAGGCTTGGACAATGCAGCCTGTGGCACGCCTGCGCATCTGGGGGATCTGGCGTCAATAAAAAAAAAAAAAAAGTTCTCTCAGAAGAATATATCAGTTTTATTGTCAAGTTATTGATTATTACAACTACACTTTACAGCTCCATGTAACGTCGCTTGATTGAGAACTCAACGCCTGGCCGGATGTCTTCCATGTGCTCCACGATGTCGCTATAGTTCGTGGCCAGAGAAGGGGATCTAACATACCGAATGTGGAAGGCCTCCAGATGCGGCCAAAACGTCTCGTGTCCCTTCTTGGGAGGATCCTCTGATCGTGGATACCTCTCGTCGTTCTCTTCCCGTGAAAACGGTTTGACATATTCTGACTTGGCCTGAACATCATCCGCACTGCTGTCATTGCCGCCCTCCCCTCCATCCTCCTCGTCCTTATCTCGATAGACGCTATTCACATTAGAGTCCTCGTTCAAAATGTATCGCAGTACGGTCTCGGAGCTCTGTCGCCTCAGGAACTCAAAATCTGTTGGATGTATCATCCCTTGTATCTCTTGGGGTTCAATCTGTACGAACTCGAGCGATCGCAGCCCTCTCAACAATAGAAGATCGTTTTCAAATCGCAGTGGTTTCTTCAGCTGCTCTTCCGCCCTTAGCTGAGCCTGCCCTGGCTTTCGCAGCGCTTTAGAGTCCTCCAAGTCTTTGGCGCGCTGCTTAAGAACATGTGGGTAGTCTTGAAGCTGACCAACATGAAGCTGGTAGCAAGAAACCTTTAGAAAAGTGAGACTCCGAAAGAGGCGATATCGTACGCTGTAATCACACCAGGCCTTGAGCGAACCAGTGCGGATGTTGAAGTCGATCGTGCGCAAGTCGCGACATTTCCAGACCTTGGTCAAGATGTCCGTATTGTCGTCCGCAGCAGCCGGGACTGAAACAGAGGAGGATGTGACGTTGGCTCGTGTTCCGGATTGCTGGAATCGAAGGCGGGCTTCTTGGCGGTGCTTTCGTTTCTCCTCTCTCTCCGTACGCTTTCGATCACGGTTGTTTTCGATGAATGTCTTGGTCATGGGTGGAGTGGGCTTGGAAGGTCGGTACAGGTGCCAAGTCGAGAAGTCGACCTTAGGTGCGATCAGGTGTAGGAGGTTGGGCGTCATGCACAATACCCTGTTCATAAGAGCCGGATAGAACGTTCGCTCCAAAGACAAGGATATCTCTAGGACAGTAATCTGCGGGAGCAATGTTTGTGCGATCAGACTGCTCGGCATCTCGGGTTGGTGCCCACAGCATGTAAGCGCCAAGAACTTGGTACTGGGGAAGTATTTGCGCATCAAGCTCATCTGCCGCTCTTCACATACCACGGCAGTTCTTTTCACGGCCGCATACCATTTCAGATTAGGACAACAGTTTGCTGCATGCTTCGCTAGTCGCTCCTCGTCAATCGCATAGGGTCTGTATCCAACTTGAGGTATCCAAAACTGGGTAGTGAGCTCCAAGACCTTGAAAACACGGAGACTGGGACAGGTGGCAATGATGCGTTCGAGGACATGCTGCCTGATCGTGGCTTTGTTCACCTCAAATGTCCTGAGAGGGTACTGATCTGGATACTTCTTGAACGGGATTATGACCTTGGGCTTGGCGGGGAAATGAGCTGTCTCAGGGCTGACGATGGACTCGGCTGGCTCTGGGATCAGGTCCTCGTCGTCGCCTGATAGGATGGAAGTCATAGCGTAAACCGTAGCGTTTACTTTGAAGTCGCGCAGGCTTGGGCAGCGGTTCAAAAGGTCGAACAGTGGGATTTTCAGAGAGTTTTGCCGCACATCCAAGAAAAGCGAATTCAGGAACCGCAGCCCATACTGCATTGCCAGAATGGTGTCCTCATAAGATAGCCTGCTTCCTCGAATAGAAAGATGCTTGATGTGATGAAGAAGGCATTTTGGTGTTAAATTGGTGAGTTCCTGCTGCATTTGCTGTTGCTGTAGGGGTTTACTGTTTTCGCTCTGAAAGTCCATTTCCTGAGCTGAAGGGTTCTGTTGATATTCCTGTTCCTCAAGGCGCTCGAGGATGGCTTCTCTAAATCGTCTCCATGCAGTATGTGTGCCTTCACGTGTAATAATGCCCGTTCCAGTATCAGGCACGTCCGGATCGAGGTTGAACCAGCACTCGAGTGTGTCCAGTCTCTTTATCTGATCGAGTAACTGCCTCTCGTGTCCATCTGCCAGGGGTGTCCAGACGCCCATTCGGCGGATATACTTGTCGCTGACTCTGTTCCAGTCCTTGCATACCAGGCTGACACAATACCGTAAGGATGTTTGGCTCAGGTGCGCACAGACCAATCCGAGGATCTCGAGAGGGAAGGTCAGAGGCCGCGAGCAATCGACGATGGGCTGGATAATCTTGGTAAAGGCAGGCTTCTTCTCGGCTTGGAGGGATGCTGGCTTCATATTTCGTCTGCGGGGTCCTGATCGTATACCCTTGCAATGGGATGTAGGTTTGATCTTGGGGGCCAAACGGATGTCGCCGTATTCGTCGTCATCGTCATCGTCATCAAGCAGAGAATCATCGTATTCGAGAAAGTCTTCATTGTCATGCTCGAGGTCGTTGAGTTGAAGTGCTAAAGCGAGATCCTCCTCGAAGGAGCTGGTACTGTTAAGCGAAGACATGCCACGTGAAAACTATACGAGAGCTTGTGGCAAAATGGGCGAAGCAGATGTAGAGATGAGAGGATTCTATAAGGACAGAAGTTGAAGGCAGGGCTTTGGAAAGACAAAGTCCTGGAAACCTAGCTATGCGAGTAGTTTATATTCTGTTTTCAGCTGCTCCTTCTGCGCCTCCTCGCCTGCTTGACCAGGACTGCGGCCTTTCGAACGAGCCTTTGAGAGAGCTAGGGGGAGTAGCAATTGCAAAAACTAATAGAAATAAAGTGCCGCAGCCATTGTACAAAAGATCGCTTTCCCGCTAGGCGGACTTCGAGGTTAAGAAGTTATCCAAGAGTCAAAGAATCGAGCGACGTCCGAGGTGTCGAGCAACATCTCGAGGGTTTGGAGAAGGTTTGTTATAAATGCAGGGTTCGATGCAAAACTAAAGTCCGTTCGCGAGCCCGAGGAGATCTATTGGGCTGTTTGAATCTTAATCCCCAAAGACCCTTGCCATGCATCTGAGGTTGGACTTCGTATGCGATGCTTGCGATGCTGGTGCGACCGGTCAACTCGTGAGCCAGACCGACAGACACCACCTTACCACTAGGTCAGAACGCCACACATCGACACGTGCGTTACAGCCCCACCAAAGCACCCTGTTTAGCCTGCGGCTGACCGGCAGCATACACTCCCGGCTTGACGGTCTGTTTTTTAAAGTGCGATTTAATTCCAAGGAGATTTATTCGGGGGAACAAACCCATTGTGCGTTCGGACGTCCGCCCTACACGTCGCGAGCCTCCTTCCCGCAGAGATAGCGCTGAATTATATCCGTGGGGACAATTTCTGTGTTTACGAGTGCTAAGAAAGACTGAGCATTGAGCAGGCATCGCGCTTGGGGTGTTTCCTGAGCAAACAAAATGAGGGGCGTTAGTGTGGTCATTACAAGGCCCGTGACAGGTACTGCCTAGAATTCTCATTCTAGCATCGGCATGTTCGGATTGAAGTTGAATCAACGCTCGAGCGCGTCCAGTCTCTTCATATACTCATGCAGCTGCTTCTCATGTTCATATGTCAGAGGTATTCAAGCAACCATTCGAAGCAATTAATGATGAACTGGACGGTCTTTTTGAAGTACGGTTTCTCTTCGTAAGTAATAGTCGTCGGTTTCTTGCTCCGTCTGCTGCGTCGAGTGTGCTGAGGTCTTGGCCTTGAGATCTAAACGGATATCATGATATTCGTCGTCATCATTGAACAGAAGATCGTTGTAGTCGTCGTCGTACAGGGCTTGCTCGTCTTCCTCGTTACTATTGAGTTGATGTGTCGAAGCAGCGATTTTTTTACATACATGTAGAAAGTCGGCAGCGTTGGGCGAAGTTGTTATAGGAGGGTATATCAAAATGATTCTAAGAAGAATGCGGACGGAAGGGCTTTGATTAGGGCAAGGCATTCATACAGGGAAGGAGAGTATGGCGTGGCTCTCCTTGAGGGGAAGATAGCGGGCATGACAGGACGCTAGAGTCTCCTGCCAGGGCCTCCTCATCTCTATTCCCATCCCTCAACTGATGCCTCTCTCTATTCCCACGCCACCTCCATTCCCACCTACAGAACCCATTTGCTGAGCTGTCCTCTCATACTGTTGTATTTGAGCAAAGTCTAGTGCCCTCTTACTCTTACTCTTTTTTTTTTTTTTTTGCACACATGGAACGTATTGTTCGTCGTTCTCGATATGTTGCCTTTCCGGGCAGCTTCTCATTCTGCTCTTGTGTTTTTATTCTTATCTCGACTTATCCATCCCTTTTCCGCACTTTCTGCACTTTCTGCAGTTTATGTTTTTGATCCGTTCCCTCTGTATTTCTTTGTGTCGCATTTTGAAGATGTGGGCGAAGTTCGATCCAAAAGATCCAAAAAGGAAAATGTACAGACGGAGAGATACAAGATTTTTTTTACGAGTCGACTGAACGGTTTTAATAAAAGCTCAAAGATCTGTCGAGAATGTGTATGTTTGTATGTACAGGTGTGTTGAACAAGCGTCATAGGTATACAGGGAAAAATACAATACTGTAACGAGGGAAAAGGCAGAATAGCAACGGAGAAAAGATGAGTCCTGTGTTGAACAGGCAATTAAAAATAATGGAGAGGGCGGTGAAGAGAGATGACTGTGTAAAAGGGAGGATGAACAAGAAAAGATTGAAAAGAAGCCAGCCAAGTCAGGAACAAATCGAAAGAAACACGAGACCGAGGTGAAGGCTAACGTGAGATGGAACTCCATCCAGGTTGGAATGAAGCGACCACCGCTCATCGTCCAGATATCCTAATCCATGATGTCCTCTTCTTTGTTCCTGTTATACGGCTTCCTGTCCTAACAGCGCTTCAGAGTCTTAAACGCGGAGGGGTTGGGCAATAGCAGCGGCTTCGACGCTAGGAGAAAGGATCGCGCTCTCCTCATAAACTGGCGCTTTGACCTTCTCAACACCGTTGATAGCATTCTTCTTCAGCTTGACCGAGAGTTCGTCCACAGCGCCGTTTGCCTCAGTATGAGCTTTGGCATCGCCATTAGCAATGCCATTAGCAACACCATTCGCAGCAGTCTGCTGGACCTGGAACGCCAATACGTCGTCCTTGAACAACTCGAAGATGCCGTCCTTCTCGTGATAGTCATTGTTGACAATGTTGACCAGGTACCAGGTCTGAGCTATATCACTCAACAAGTTACGAGGCTTGGTGTCCTGGGGGTGGCATCTCGACCACTGCTCCCACAGCGCAAATGCTTCATCCTTCCACGCGTCAAAGCTCGAGAGCTCCACAATGGTCGGCTGCACGACCTCGCGACCAGGGAAGACGCCCCAGGTGACAGCGTTGGGCTTACTGCCGTTGGTGTTGGTATGCAGATCGCCTGCCTTGTTGATCGCCATGTAAGTAAAGTTAGGGAACTTGGACATACGCTGCTTTAATTTCTCTAGCGTCTCAGGCGCGACGAAGAACTCGAGATAAGCCTGTCGAGTAACAAAAAAGATAGAATAAACAGCGATCAGTATAGGATTCGATGCCCCCCGCTTCCGAATGAGCTTAGCAATAGCAGCAACTCTTACCTTCTGGTAGACATAGCCACCCTTGGGTCCCCATCCGAAAACCTTGTCGTCGCTCTTGGCGCCATTAACTGCAGGCTGCGAGTTAATGGTCAAGTAACCCAACGAGTTCAACTCGACCAGGCGGTCCTTGATCGTTCCCGATTCCAGAGCCAATGTTTGATCACTCCAAGGCAAAGTTAGGGTCTCGCCATGACAGTACTTGACGAACAGTCTGCAGATATCCTCGACATCATTGGGTGCTCCCCAATGCTGGATCGCCTCGTCCGCCGTGTATTTCAGGTACACTCCGTAGCGGTCCAAATCCCCATAGGCAGGGGAGCGCGAATCCCCCCAGCGACCGTTAGGGAACTCGTCCCAGTTATCCGTGCGACTGATGTAGGACTTTGCGCGGTTGGACCAGAAGATGGGGCGAACAGATTCTTCTTTGCGCTTTTCATCGAAGCTCGAACGCCAGGGCATGTTCTTTTTGATATAGTCGGTCTTGTTGACAAGACCTGCGCCCTCGAGAATCAAGCGAGTGCTACGCTCGAGATTGAACGTGTAGTAGTGAATACCACACGCGCCGCCCTGCAACAGTTCCAGAGTCATCTTGATGCCGACCTCCACACCGAAAGCACGAATGGCCTGGTCATCATTCTATAAAGTATATCAACAATATTGACAGGAACGTCAGACACTAGCGCTATTTCCATGGAAGCAGGCTTCCGTTCCTTTCATTCTTTAGTCTTTACCTTGATGGGTTCAATGCCATCAAGAATCCACTGGGGCACACTGACGCCAACAATGTTCTTCTTGAAACTGGCGTACGCCTGGATGGGCATGACACCTGGGATGATAGGACAGGTGATGCCAATGGCGCGACATTTCTTGACCCACTCCAAGAACATGGGAACATCAAAAAACAGCTGGGTGACAATGAAATCCGCACCAGCATCGACCTTGGCCTTGAGATGCATCAGATCTTCCTCCATCGAGCCTGATTCGGGATGCTTTTCAGGATAGCCTGCGACACCAATGCCGAAATAATCGCCATGGGTCTCACGGATGTAACGGACAAGATCCGAAGCATAGTTCAGACCACCCTCGCATGCAGACCACTCGGACTGACCGTGGGGTGGGTCGCCACGAAGGGCAAGGATGTTCTGGTTACCACAGGCGCGTGCCTCCTACAAACACCAGCATCAACAAACATAGACGTCAAATTAGAGTGGGACAAGATTGTTGAAGCAAATGTTGGATAAAAGAGTGTCAATGGCGATAATCCACTGCTGTAGAAATAAGGCCCCCCCCCTCCCTGCTACTGCCTTTGACTCCTTCTTTTCGAGTAAGAAATGGATTGTAGGTACATGCAGACGTAAAAAGCGTAGTTCTGCCATGGCCTCCCCTTTCCAGTCTTTATCATAGTCTAGGGCTGACATATGAAATAGTTCAAGGAATGGCAAAATCATAACTATAAAGAAAAAAGTCGTGGGGTTGTTTTCAACACCAACTTTGATGGATAATGTCATTCTACAGATGAGAGCACACTCCGGTTGGCCCAAGTGAGATGTGTGGATTGGTTGATGGTAGTAAGGATGATGGGTGGATGAATGCGAGTATCTATTTTTTTGTTCATCCTCGGCATATGTTGCTACTGCCTCCCTCTCCATCCCCGTAGCCTTTCCCCGAACCCCTTGGTTACGATTTCCTTCTCTTCCCCATTTTCGGACGCATCGCATGGGTACAAGGATACATAAAGTGTGTCCATCATATCATATCGCATCATTCCATCTCACATGGGAATTACGCTCCTCAGCAAATGAAATGCTTCGGATAGCCCCATCTCTTTCGGATGTTGTGATTGCCCCTGCCCCCACCCCTGTCCCGTCAGCCAACAGGATTGCTCGTTTCTTCTCTGGGACTTGGATTTTGTTCAACCAAAGAACGAATCGCCCAACGACGCAATTTGACTACTCTGCGGAGATGAATCTTGTCGTCGCTTCCAGATCAAAGTTTTCTCGATAGCACTCCCTTGTCCAAAGTAAAGTGAAAGGGACCAAGGGGAGGGTGAACATTCGGTGTATACACTTACGCTGAGGGCCTTGTCAATCTTGGACGTAGGGTTGCTGGTGCAGATCAAGTGCATACATGTCTCGACACCGTAGACCTTCTGCGCATTCGAGACGACCTCGAGTGTTGCAGCGGGACGAGAGCCACCGGCACCCCAAGTGATGTCAATGAACTCAGGGCCGAGATAGCACATTCTCTCGATGCGGTCGTGCAAGTTGACCATGCCCTAGCAGCAGGAAAAAGAAACAGTTGATCGAAGGTCGTTAGATCGTCAGGCTGAATTGCTTAGTCGCATGCACAACCGACCGATGCACAGACAGCGTGGCGTATGTCTGCGTGTGTATGTGTCCTTGCACGGTTCCACTCATTGTTGTGGAGAGAAGATTGGGCACGTTCAGGATCCAGGCACACATGTCACTTCAGGTCGCTCTCCACACAACGAGATAAAACGTGCATTTGGTACAGGGGCCATGCTGCCGTCGGTCATAATAATTTCCAAGGATATGAGCTCCAGGGGTCATTGATCCCTTGCAGGTTCTTTCTACCTCGCATTCAGGTTGCGGAGGGGGGTGGTGCTGCTTAGCGTTCCCGGTTCAAATGGCTGCTCATGATTTTCACGAGCTGAGTCACAAAATTCGACAGATTTCGATCAGCCTGAATTGAACGCCAGGGACCGTACTAGGACACAGCCAACTGATGTGTAAGATAGAGAGAGGAGAAGGAAGACTTGGGTGACGGAAGGGGAGTATCTTCGATAGTGTTACCTGGGCAGTCTTGGGCGAGAAGTACTCAAAGGAGAAGAGTGGGCGACCCTCCTCCTGACCCTTCTTGATGCGATCGATGATTTTCATGAGTGTACTTCACAGATATTAACGGGATAAAGGTACCGAAAAAAATAAAAACAAAACTGAGGAAGGATGCAATGCACAAAAAAAGGAATGAGCGCACGGGAGGAGTGAGGGTTAGAGGTATAGGTCAGGTCCGGGCTGCAAAATGGGAGGAGAGAAGAGGTATCAAGTACTGGAAGGGGAATGTGTGGGGGACCCTTATAAGGTGGCCGTATCTTGGATTCCACGATCTTATCGCCTGAACGTTGCAAGTACACCTATGGGTTCTTGCACGTGACATGGATCCGACGCAGATGCAGTGGAACCATACGCTGGGGCCATACACGACGGAATTGAAACTAATCATTTCACGAACATGGATGCGGATATGGATGGACGTGTATGTAGGTAGCAGGAGCCATGCATGTGTGCTGAGGTGCCATGTACTACTGCTCCATATTTCGGTATCACAGGGAGAACTAATTCGCCCAGTCCTTCCCGCAGGGCCATAAACCATAGGGATTAAACACCCGCGACAGGGGTAGTTTCTGTAGTCTCTGCAGAACCGGTCCCGGCAATTTTTTTTTTTACGTTCCATATCCTTGGGATCTGATTGGCCGACACGGCCTGAGCTGATCCGTTCTCTGTTTCCACTGCCTCACCTCATTCCCTTTTTTGCGGTGTGCTATCTGCAGAAGTGCCTGTGTCCGCTAGTCCTTCTTTTTTTAAACCTCCTTCTCCTTCCCTTCTCATCCTTCTCATCCTTCTCATCATCTTTTCATCACTCTCTTCGCTTCATCTCCTCTCCCGCAAACTATTCGGCAGCCATGTAAGTCAACGCTTTTCGAGATACGGAAGACCCATTGCGACCCGTCTTTTTCTCTCTCTTTTTAATATCTCGCCAAGGGGATTCAGGTACAGCAGCTGCACGCTGTTATTCCTCGCAGATACCATGGCATTCTCATACTTTGGATCGGAAGACCGCCTATAGTTACTGTTCAGGATAACGAAACGATGCGAGGATGGAGGAACATCAACTTGGCTTCATTCTTGGATCTCAGGAAACTCTCCATCACCAGGCCCATTTTCATCCCCCTTCCCCCCTCTATCTACTCAGAACCTATCCTTCAGCGCGCTGAAAGCTCTTCTATAACAGGAGACAGGAGAAAGCAACTCTCAACGGAGTCGCGGCCCCTGCTCAGCAATGATATGGTGGAGAACGTGGACCATACATCCAAAGTGTCCGACGTTATTCGCCTGTAGGGCTATCGGATCGGCAAATTATCCCATCCTAATTATCTATTCCCCTTGCGGATCCTTTTAACACCTTTTAGGTCCAATACGACGGTTCCGTACACGACACCCTCATTCATAGAGTCCCAATGGCAGTCCCTCTTTGAGGGCCGCAACGAAGCCTTGGTGACTCTGGCGCTCCTCTTCTTCTCGCACGAGATCATCTACTTCACGCGCTGCCTTCCTTATCTGATCGCGGACCAGATCCCCGCCCTGCAAAAGTACAAGATTCAGCAAAAGACTATTCAGAACACCTCCCAGAACCAGTGGAAGGTCTTCCGCTATGTCCTCATGTCCCATTTCTTCTTTGAGTTGCCCATGATCGTCGGTTTCCACCCAGTGGCTGTCTACTTTGGCATGGCTATTTCTTCGGTTCCTTTCCCTCCTCTGTAAGTGTACTTTTTTTATTTTCCTTGGCCCTTTGCTTAGACATGTTTTTTTTTTTTTTTTTTTTTTTAAAAAATGGTTGCTAACGAAGTTCATCCGCACTTGTGATAAAAGCTCAAAGATGGCCATGCAGATCTTCCTGTTCTTTGTCTTCGAGGACTTCTTCCACTACTGGGCTCACCGCGGTCTGCACTACGGCCCATTCTACAAGCACATTCACAAGCTGCACCACGAGTGGTCCGCCCCCTTCGGTCTCGCTGCTGAGTATGCCCACCCTATTGAGGTCCTTATCCTCGGCACCGGCACCATCAGCGGGCCCCTGATCTGGTGCTACTTCACCCATGACCTGCACCTCATCACGACATTGACCTGGATGACTTTGCGTCTTTTCCAGGCCGTCGAAGCCCACTCTGGCTACGACTTCCCCTGGTCGACCCACAACTGGCTTCCTGGCTGGTCTGGCGCTGAGCACCACGACTATCACCACATGGCCTTCACAAATAATTTCTCAACCAGCTTCAGGTGGTGGGATCACATTTTTGGCACCAACAAGAAGTACTTGGCCTACAGGGCGAGGAAGGATCAAGAGCTGAAGGCTCAGGAGGTTAAGAAGGAGCTGTAAAGGATCGCGTTGCATATCGTATCCATTTTGCCTTTTCTTTTCTTACTATCATCTGTAGCAATCATAAAGTAGACTATACACTCATCATTAAACCATATTCCCATCGAGTAATACAAATAAGACGCTCAAGTTGTCGTGGATAATGGTGATGGCACCGAGACCCTCTGCTTTATGCTGTTTGTTATTCTGCTCAACGTAGATGCCGCTATGTATGTTTCTTAATTATGGGATGCGATGGGTATAATGCGAGCAAGCAGCATGATCCTCATTCCTTCTAAACACTCAAAAACTGCGATGATGCCGACAACTCACGCCGGATTCCGCCTCTCCTGCTCAAAGAGTCCGACAGATAGGGCTCCACAGCTATTGAAAGCGCATCCTCCTCCATCGACCTTCGTCCATGCTCTGCCTCAGTCTCGCTCTTGGTATTCGAAAACACAGACACAGGTATCCTACTATTCGACCTGGACTTGGACTTGGACTTGGACTTGGGTGTAAATGACTCCGACGATGGTGGAGAGGACAATGCCAGTCGCATCCTGATCCGTTCACTACGTCTCGGAACAAATTCTTGCTCGCCTGCAGTATCGTAGTGTTGGCTCTCGTCCGTATTCTCCTCTGCAGCCGCCCGATACTTTTTGGGCGCACTGCATCCGCTAGCGCTGCCACTGCTTGATCGCTGCTGAAGCAGATGCCGAGGCCTCTTGACTAGCAGCAACGTACTCTTCGTCCTTGTCCCAGATTGGTCTGTTTCGAGGTCGCCCTCGTCGTCCTCTCCCTCTGTAAAGAACGGCTCCTCAATATCATCATCCGCCAAATCGTCTTTATCGTCCTCATCATTTCCGTTCCGCTGACTCTTGATCAAGATATCGACCACGAAATGGATAACCGCAAACGTACTGCTGACAAGTGAGATCACAGCTGGGCGGCGGAAGAAATTGCGTAGGGATACCTGTGTCGATTGTGGGACCACCGTGTTGGCGAGGTTCGCAAATGTCGTAGTTGGAGCCAATGATGTTGGAGAAGCTGGAGGTACAGAAACTGTGCCCATCAAAGATCTCGAGGATGACGGGTCTGATGACGACGATGTTGAATGATCATCCTTGTCGTCTCTAGCGATTCCCGCTTCCGGTGTCGGAACCTCCAATGGCAGCACCGTCCCGTCCCTCTGCAATAAGAATGTCTGATCGCGCCAATCGACAGTTGAACCCAACACCGCGTAAACATACAGTGGCAACGCTGCCACCTCTCTCAGGCACCAGGTCATCAAAAAACCTCTCAAGTTATCGACATTCTCGCCAGACAACGCCTGGTACATGGACAAGTCGATCAGGAACCAGACCACGATATGAAACGCCAAAAAGTTCAAAAAGTGTGTCTGCCACAACAGGTTGAATCCATAGGATGCCACCAGTCCGCACCCGATCATCTCAATAAACGGCTCCACGATCGTCGCTGCCGTTACTGTATATTTACGAATCCTGGTCCACCGTGCGCGTCTCAGGAAATAATCCGACGGTGTCATCGACCCCAGAGACTGGTACGCAAGGTCGCTGGTCATCTCGTGCTTGTATCCCATGTTGAAAATCTCGGTCGCGATCAAATTGTCCTCCGCCATGTACTTCCCAAACTTGGACAGCCCACCGACCTTGTCCAGAATCGACCGCCGGTAGAGGCTGGATTTTCCGACCACGCATGAGGCGAGTCCTGTCCAGTTGATGAAGAGATACATTTTTGCATGCACCGTGTCCAGAAACATGAGTTCCAGGTCAGAACCGAGCGTCTGTGGTCGGACCCCAAACGGAAGATGGTGGACGAGGCCGACATTGGGCTGCAACATCTTGTCAATGGACCTGCCCATGCATCCAGGGTCGACATAAACATTTGAGTCGTACACCCAAAGAATGTCGTACTTGGCGGATTCGTACGACCGAATCATGTTGTTGATCTTTGGATTTATCCCAACGTTTCTCTCGCCTATTGTTGTCGAGACATGCAATAGCCAGCAATTAGAGTGTAAATATAGGTCTTGCGTACGGTGCATTGGATGTTCCGTAGTGGTCGTCCTTCGAGACAATCATTCTTGTGTCCTGACACAAATGCGCCTGCTCTTCTGTTCGAATGTCTCCTATCGGCGCAGCATTGATTGGAATATCGAGGAATCCAGGACGCCCAGCGCCCAACAAAGCTCCGCCTCCTCATGACCCCGTTCCATGGTGCTCCTAATTCACTCTATAGCTCTCGCCACAAATACCGCTCAAGCACACTCGCATATCGACACTAAATCTCCACTCATTTTATCCCAGCGCCCGAAACCATGACCCACGAAATCTACACGGGATGAATAGAATTCCTGCAATTTGGAAGAGCCGCTCATAAAACTATCGCGGCTCATCTCTGGCGCTCCATCCTGTAAACATATAAAATTGCTCCTTTCCAGTGTACCAGTGTATCTATGTTCCTGCTGCTCCTGTTGTTGATGCTATCCTGAGGACTTCTACCCCTCCGACGATGGTATAACCACACCATAAAACAGAGAGAGAAAGAGCGCGTGCGTACACTAAAATCACACCTAACAATAATCAAGCCTTACCGATGATTAGTCGAGCATCGACTCTCGGAAATTTCCTCATCAGGTCTTGCACTACTGCAATAGCTGGGTCATTGGTGTTCGCGACCGAAAAAAGGATTTCGAACCGGGGATAGTCTTGGCGAAAACTTGAGGCTAGGTTCTCGTACATGTTACAGTCAATCCCCCGCAATGGACGGATGATAGATACTCCAGGAGCATCTTCCTTGGGCAGTCGAGATGATTGTGAGCGCTTGTGTTGTCCAGAGTATCTTGATCGACTATAATAGATTTATATCAGGGTAGGGTAAGGGTGACAAGTCAAAATGACGAAGGAACAAAGTCTAGCTGCAGTAACGCGACCTTGACTCTCTGAACGACTGTATTGCAACCCTTTTTTCTTTTCCGTTTCCCTGGCCATCCATCTATCGTAAAGATAGAGGGACTCTCTTTTCTTTATGCCTGCAACCTTTTCTAGCCCGTATCTAAACGTTTGTCACATGTTGATAGCAGAACCTGATTGACTTGAACGTTGCCCGAGAAAATGAGTCGTCGTATCACGGGTGGGATGTAGTTGGCAGATGCTTCAACAACGAAGATGTGAGGGCAATAACCAGAGAAATAAAGTAGTGTGCCTGTGCGTTGTTAAGGTGAGACAGTTCAGGAACATACCTGATAGTGATAGCACAGAAGGCAGCAGTAAAGGAGAAGAACCAGAAAAAGATGGAGAGGACCATGCAGGCGATCTGCAAGTTGGAATGTCGTTCCCAGACGGAGCCGAGGAGTTGTGGTGGGGTGTGATGAAGCATGGGTGATGCCTCTTCTGCAAGGGTGTATAGGTGCTGCAGTCGGTCCATGGCGAGACTGGGATCAGGGTGAAGTTGCGAATGCTATGAAAAAGGATGAGAGAGGGACATGCGGTGTTGAGGAGAAGGGGGCTGAGAGAAGGAGTGATGCTTTGAATCAGAAGAGACGAAAGGCGTGGTGGTGAGGGGGAGGTAGTATGGGCTTGTACTCACAAGCAGAGCCAAGTAGTAGAGGTGGAGTGAGAGGATGGAAGAGCACCTGCAGGTACACCCCTATTAGGTCAGATTCAGGCCTCGGCATTGACCACTACCGCAGCTAAAAGATGAATGTACCGTATGCCTGTCGTATATAAAAAAACAGCGAGCAATTGAACTTAGTAGAGCATATAAAACTACCTTCCTGGCTTTAATAAAAATGATGCGCTCCCATGGTATCATTCATTCCCTGTCAACATGATCATCAGCTTTATTCAAATTGCCTAGCTGAATGTACATGGAATGAGACAAGAGGACAACTCTCGCATGGGTAGCATGGGTAGCATGGGTAGCATGGGTCCAAGAGCATGAGAAACAAAATATAACATCGACCCACGCGTCTCTTTTATTATAAGAGGAGAGATAGTGCTTGAATTGCATAGAAAGGGCTGTAATGACGCGAAGTGAAGGGTGGCCTACCCGCGCATTTAGCTGAAGCAGTGCGATCCCTCTAAGTGTCTGAGGAATGTTCAGCCGTTTAGTCAAAGCATGCTTCAGTGTAGGAATTGTGCATCTAACGCGTGAATTCCGATGGTCTCCTAGGAATAAACCTTTCCTGCCACTATGTAGGACAAAGTCGCATCGGGCGGAATACCACTAGTATGATGCCATGATGCATTCATCATATCCTTTGAGCGTGTACCTGCTATGGAAGGGCCTGTTGCGAACACACATTGTGTTTGTTGCCAAAGAGCGGGCGAACAAAACAGATGTAAGATTCCCTTAATAACGTATGGAGCCCTATCTTCATATCCGATATGGTGACATAGAAGAATGCAGCTACTACTGAGACTTTGAAATTAAGCCACCTAAACCCTGCTTCGCCGTCTTCACTCCACGTTCTACAATCCGCACATGGCAACAGAAACGCACTCGTATTCGTGGACAGAAAAGGACAAAAGTATGCACATGGCCCATTTCGTTGGCCAGCATCCCACAGCGAGAGCCCGGTCCTTCGCCCTCCTTATCATGGAATCGAAGGCATTCTTCTGTCTCCCTAGTTGCGATCCATACAGACAGATCAATTGATAACACGATGCCTGACGCCGCGCCCACTTTATTTTTATCATGAGGGGTTGCACCCTGCAGTGGACCATGTACTCCGCACCTACTGCAGTCTCCATCTTTAAACGCCGTATTTTAATAGAGGAGGGCATTGGGTATCCTTGAAAATGCAAGTGTGTTGAAGGAAAATGGTCCGGGCCGCCAGATTGTGCCGTCCGATCTGTAGTACCAGTAATCCACGCGTACACAAGTACTGTTCTCTCTGAAAACTAAGTAGTTTCTCGCCAGCTTACTCCCTCAGTGAGACTCCATGAATGATATGAACAAAAATCAGGCACAGCACATTTCACGCACTTGAAATTCTGCGGATTCAAGATTTATTGACTACCAATCCAAAGGTTTTATTAGGGGGCTTGAATGGACCCGAGAGGGGCGATTGCATGGATTTTTTGAGTACAGAAAGTACGTATGTGTATACCGCCATGGCATATGAAGATGCCTATCATGGAGGTGATAATATCGACAGGACCTCAGGAAGGCTTTCTCGCGCGCCTTTTACTGATGCCATGGCTGCAGGGAGTGAAGAGTTTGATTTTAATCGCTGGGTGACAGTTATTCGCTGCATTTTTAAATTGGGATTACTGCGATGAACGATCCAACGATTGTCCAAGGAATGAAATCGCGATTTGCAGGCCTTTTATGCTATTTTTACTATGAACACTAATATTTTTTTCACCTCAGGTGCATGTACTGTACGCTATTGAAGGTGCAGAGGGGTGAAAAAAGGGAGAGAAGGAGGAGACAGGCAGACGAGGCGGATACGTCGACAGGAAGAGGTGAGGCAGAGCTGAGCAATTGATACTGCTGTAGCTTGTAAATTGAGATAGCCAACATAGTCCGTATTGCAACGGATGCTCATAAGAAATGAGCGTTCGTTTTAGGACGAAGTCTGCCCAAAAGAGGCAGCAACCACAATAACAATAGATTTATTAAATGAAAATGGTCATGGGCACCGTCCCGGTTCAGTGCCGCCAGCGTGCCGGGTAACCTATTTCCACTCCGCCGTTTGTTTTTGGACATGATTTACGCTAGACTATGATGATAAAGATATCCTTGTCACGAGCGAACAAAAGGGACAGAAATGAATTTCAGAAATAATAAGTGATGGTGCCTGAATTTTTTTCTTTTTAGGCCACCTCTGCTCCTTTCATTCACATTCATTTCTGCTGCATTCAACATTGCATCCAGTTGCATTCCCTTTTTTTTTTTTGACACGAACAACCTTCTTTCCTTGTAACGACCCCGCCTTCTCTTTTTCGCATTCATTTTTATTTCTCGCGCGAGATCTTATTATCTCTCCCATCATCAATTGTTCAGGCACCAAAAATCAGCCCAAGGTTTCACTTTTCTCGCGCACACACACACGCACATACTCTCTCTCGTGTCCATCTCAACGCCCATTGCCCTTCTGCATCGATCGACGCGTCCTCCCTCAGAAAGGTGAGTAAAAAAAAAAAAGGCACCAGTCCACACAAACGCCCTAATTCGTACTAAGGGACCAAACAGGCACACACACAAACACACGCACATATACATATATCTACAAATACATCTTCAGTATAATCGAATACAACCATAAGGAACAACAGTAAACAAGAGACACAACACCAACAGAGTCGTCTCTTCTCCATGTCATCGCTAGAAAAGCAGAGTGGGCCAAAAAAAAAAAAAAAACTTTGCTGCCGTGTCTATCTTGGTCGCGATATATGATCGCGCAAAACCCGCCACGCAAGACCACATTCCTCTTCCTTCTCTTCTCTCGCGCACTCATATATTTCGGTAACATGCTCAACTAGTCTCTTTTTCTTTTGCTTAGCCTTTTTTCAATCTATCCCAACTGCAGGAACCATCTCACTTTCTCTCCTCACCTTCACCTCCACCTTCACCTCCATCTCGACCCCTCACCCTTTCTCGCCTTAAGCTCATATCTAACCATATACATCCCTACACAGCACATTTTACATAGAGAGTTGTGAGAAAAAATGCAAGTACGGCCCAACATCTTCTCCTCGGCTGCTGCAGCTGTCTCAATGGCATTTGCGGGCAGCCTGGTTAGCCTGCTATCGCTCGCACCTGCCCCAGCACAGGCAGATATCCTCTGCACACAGTTTGGTGCAGACACCTTCCACATTGGATCAACACTCAAGTTCCAGTGGAACGACACGCAGTCAATATCACTCGAGACCTTCAACCTCAATCTGTACTGTGAGCAAAACAACAAGATGGTTCAGACCATCACCACCCTCAACATGACCTCGCCTTCACCCGTCACTTGGGTCGTCAACTCGACCCTGAGCGCCTTCTCGCAAGACTGCACATTGAATGTAAGTACTAGAAAGCCCCTTCGTTCTTCCCTTCCCCTCTCCCTAAATCTCCGTTTTATGTACATTTATATTTCAATGCCTTTCTGTCGAGCTCCTCCATCCGTTTCATGTGCCCTTTTCTGGACCGCTGGTTTCCTTTTTATGTATACCACATATGTTCAGAGCGGGACTTTTGGGATATCAGCAGAGCCTTATCAAATTGCATGCATCGGTTCTTTTTTTCACAGGGGCCATGTTTGCTCTCGCGAAAAAAAAGAGATCCCGATCTAGCAATTCCATTCTTTGTTGTCTTCATGGGTATTTGCAGAGGGAAGAAAGAATATCCTCCTTTGTACTCGTCCGTTCAACGTTGTCCGCTTGGACAAGAAACAACAGCCACATTCGACCGAGTACACTCCGTGGATTTGAGAGGGGACGTGTAGAGACTTTTTTTTATCTTTCTGGATGCAGTGCATCGCACTTTTTTTTTTTTTAAATTGGTGCATTGGATGAGGTGGCCAATGTGTTGCAAAAAAGAAAAAGACTATCATGAGGAATTCAGAGGAAGGGTTAGAGGTGATGGAATCAAAGCAGGGCGAACGACGCACATGGACATGGATAAACTGCATGGCAGGAACATCGAACATCAGACACGAACAAACATACCCCAAAGGATACACCAAAAGACAAAAAGAACAACCCAAACATGAGAGCAATTTATGGGGTGTTTGAGCTGAAGTCATCATTCATCAAGCTCTTACACAGGAGCACAACATGCGCGAGAGAGTCTGACGGAGGCCTCATAAAAAAAAGAAGATACAGCTACGCCATCAAGAAGAGATTGAAGTAAACCAGCGATGGTGAGCAGCTCAGGTTTAGAGTGCTCCTGCACTCTAAGGAAAAAAAAAAAAAAAAAACGAAATCTTCCTATAGTCCCTCCAGCACCTTCACTCCTATGGTCCCTTCCTTCCTGGCCTAGTAGCCCACAACTGCCATCTGTGCAACCGCTACCGCATACTGACTGCAGAGAGGCAAAAATAGAAGGATGAAGACATTAAACAAAAAGAAAAACAGGGGCTAAGAGCGGTAGGATCTTTAGGACCTGCAGGATCAGGCAATTGGGTTCTTTGGCCTTTTTATTCGCTCCAATCTTTTGTTGATTTGCACTACTCGCGTCTCTGTGCAGCCAGGCCTGAAAGATCCCTGCCGTCTCAGTGATGGAAACCCCCTACGATATATACCAAAAATCCTCACTCCGCCACCACAATCTCCATTCTATCATAATAGCAATATCGTGGTGCGTTCGACTGGATCTACGACGATCCTGACACCGGCGTGAGTAGTGTCGGCTCCGGAAAGTGCAAGGTCATTTTGTTGGTCGGCACAGGCGCCGCAACCCCATCACCAGGTTCTGCATCCGCTGACGATCCCCTGCCTGCGGACGACCCACAGCCCTCGGACATCGTCGTATCTGACAGGACCAAATCCATCGTGATCGGTGTCGGTTGTGCTGTCGGTGCCCTCGTGCTCGCCGGCTTCGTTGGATTCTATGTTATCCGCTACAGCAATAAACGCGCTGCTGAGGATCAGTCGGCCAAAAAGCTGCGGGAACCCATCAGCACCGGCCCGTTGTTCCCGCCCATGGATCGCTCCCATCAAGGCGGCGCTGCTGGTGCGACTGCTGGTGGAAAGGCAGCACGATACAATGAGCTGGCATCTGTGACTACCGGTAGCCCAGCTACGACGTCGAGGACGGCGGAGATGGTGGAGTTGGGTGGAGTAACGCGTCCTGGGTCGACACAGTTCTTGAGCCCGGCCTTGGGATCAAGATCACCTACGCCTATTGCAGCCGCGCACGCAAAGCTCGGTAGCAGTATTAGATCGCCTTCATCATCGTCAGGAACGTTTCAGAACGATCGTCCAGGATCGCTGCTGACAAGCACGTTTGTTCCTTCTGATGACTCCTACACGCGGTCGCCTTCTTCTCACAAGAACCCGTTCGAGAAGCGCGAGAACCTACAGCTGCAGTACGAGCAGGAAATGCAGCAACAACAACATCAGCTGCAACATCAACAGCAACAGCAACAACAGCAGCAGAACTACGGTAGTTACCCCTATTAGAAAGTCTTTTGTACAAGGAGTCCATATTGCCTCCATCCATAGTCATCCACTTTGCTTTCTTAATTCATTTTGTTTAATATATTGTCATTTACCTACCATCCGTCCTTTATTTGATATCTAATGCAAGCACTTCGTATATATGATGATCGTCTAAGGGAGTTAGATGTACTTCAGATCTTGTAGCGTTTTCCTCTTCTCGGGCGCAATGCTGTTCCAAATAGTCGCTACCATAGTCCCGTCCAGCGTACTCAGGATCGCCTTGAGTGTGCACACCATCCGTGTCGTCAGTGGTTCCGATACTACCGCCGCTGCTAGGGCTTCGACCAACACCGTAACTAGATGGGGCATATTGACATTGTTGAGACCCAGCACTGAAGGATGTTGCCTATAAAAAGAATAAACAAAACGTTAGAGCCTGCAAGACCACTTTGAACACAACGACGTGACAAAGAAATAGTTTCCTTACGCTTCGATAAGATCCAGCAGATATGTGTACGTGAATGGCGCCTCGACCTCATCGTTGACAATCGGTAGCGTCTGTAACCACGACGGCAACACCGTGTTCACATCAAACTGCGATCGGTTGAACTGGCAGATCTTGGTCACCGCCGAGATAGCGTTCTCGGTCGCGAACACGTTCTCGATATTCCTCGACCCGGGCTCGTGGATCACCTGGAACAGCGGCGTCAATGCTACGCTGCACACCTCCGCATACTGAGGCCCGCCAAACTGTCCACACAGTCCGAGCCCATAGCAGGCTGCCTGTCTCACATCCGGCGCTGTGTTCAAGATTGATTCAAGGATCATGGGCAGGAACGGGACCATGATCGGCCACGAATGTGGACCTGTAAATTCCACAAAGTCGTCCAGAACACAGATCGCCCACTGTCGCGCCGTCGGATTCGGGTCTTCCAGGTATATTCCAATTACGCGCTCGAGAGATTTGAACTGCACCATGTATCCGACCCTATGCGTTTTCAGCACGCTGTGGAACGCCCTCGAAATCTCATTCAGTACGGTCTCCTCAGTGATTTCCTCCTCTCCTTCGGATTTTTCCTCTTCGCCTCCGCTCGCCCTAGCCTCTTCTTCCCGCCGCTTCAGTCTCACGAACATCTCCTTCAGCTGAACCTCTGTGGCTCTCGTAAACAGCTCCAATAGCTCAGGCGAAAGATTCGGTCCAGGTCCCATGATATCCACAGCCTCATAGAATGTCGCATAGAGCTGGTGCAAGAACGCCAGGTCTGTCTCCTTACTCATCACTTCCAAAATCTTGATCGCAATCCCGTGCCAAAAGCTGATTAAATACTCTTGCCCAAGCTCCGACTTCTTGGCGCACGAGACCAGCTGCGGAAGCGTTGCAGCCGCTGCGTGTCGGACTCCGTCGTGGAAATAGAATCTGAGGAGCGGTAAAACAATATCGCGCACTTTTTCAATATACGGTCGGAAGCCTGACCCGAGCTCACGCGCATAGCAGATCAGCAACTCGACTGCCGTGCACTTCTCTTCCAAAACCGTGGTCTTGATACCGATCTGTCGGCCATCCACCCCAACAAATTCCCACCCATCCTCAGTTGAGTACTTAGACTCGACATCATCCTCGGGGTCCAGCACTGCGACATCCGGTTTCAATTGCGCGCTCGCGAGCAGTGGAGGCATCACTATATCCAGATACGGCACAAAGTCTTTCCCGAGGACCTTGCACACACGCGCCCAGGCTGCCAGTAGATAGGCCACTTGTGGGTCGTCCGACTCGGTCGCCGTAGTCTGTGTCTGGACCAGCAACTTGACAAACTCTTGGGCATGCGGCGCAAATACTTCCTTTCCCACCGCCAACGCGATCAAACTGGCACACTCCATGGCCTTTCCCCTCATCAGCCTGTACTCTTGACCCATCGCCTGTCGAAGGACATTCATCAGCAGCGGCATAATCCCGCTGTAATACTTGACGAACCTTTCCTCTGCGCTATCCGCTACCGTCGCAATCGTTGTAATCGCCTGCTCCTGGACGTACGTCGTACCCGTGTTCAGCAGTGACAGCAGTCTCTCGAAGATTGCATCCAGATACGGCTCAAGGATGCGTTTCTCGGCTGCCTCGCAAAAGTTCACCAGCGCCGCTGCAGCGTGTGCCCGGACTCTTGGATACGGTGCGTCGTCCATGACCGGGATCAAATTCGTTAGGATGATCGCATGATACTTTTTTTGGATGACACCCGCGAAATCTGTCGCCATTTGCCCGATCGCGTTGCAGGCTGCATATCTCACTCTCGGGTGCGGGTCTTTTAGGAAGGGTAGCACCATTTGGATAATCTTTGCGAGCTCACCTTCCATAGCCTTGACACACCCTTCGCCAATCGCTGATACCGCCATTAGTCCTGCATGTCGTGCCTTCCATTCTTTGCTCGCCAGCATCTGTGGGATGTACACGAAACTAATGGGGAGAATCGCCTTTCCTCCTAAGGCGCGTGCCAATCGATCCATTGCACGTTCCCCAGTCTCCGAGTTCGCCTCTGGATCCTCTTCGTCCAGATCGTCCGATGTATACCAGGTCTCGTCCTCTTCATCGTCGAGTTCAGTCATCATCTCCAATGCGATGGGGACAAGTGTCGTCGCGAAGTCTGGGACCTTACGGATCAAATTCGATGTACACTCTGCGAGTGTGAGCAATAGCTCCAGGGCCGATTGACGTGTCCGGTCCTCAAGGGTCTTGTCTTTGATGATGCTTAGCATGAATGGATGAATCAGGAGGAGGACCTGCTTGAAAAGCCGTGGCGAGTGCTCTGCGAGCTCAATCATGGCAACCAGTCCTTCGACCAGTCCAGTCTCGTCTTTGGACGCAAGGAGCGCACGAAGTGTGTCGAGCATAGAGGGCATGAGTGGGAACAGCGTGTATCGGGAATCGTGATCGGCGTCGAGCATGCAGGCTACCACGGCCTTCGTTGCTGCCAGCCGGACCTATTTTCGATGGAGCATATAGTGATGCAATATTGGTTAAGGACAATCACGGTCTAAAATAAAGAGACGGCGAGCTACGCACCAGTTAAAGGCATGCTCTTACGTGGAGGTCGGCGTCTTTGAAGCTTTCTGCAAACATGTTGTGCAGTGTGTCTGCTGGCTGAGTAACGATCAGACTGGGCATTGAGGCGAAGACCCTATAGGCAGACTCTCGGAGTTCTGATCTGGTCGAGTTCGCACATTCGAACAACGCTGGCAAGAGCTCTGGCCAGGATTCTATCAAATATTGAAGAACCCCACATAACCTTACTTCTTAGCCGAGTCATTTTTAACTTTGTTTCCCCCCTCCCATACACACAAAAGAAAAGCGGAATGTGAAGGACCGCTGGATGGTGAGGTGACTTACGTTCTTTTGTTCCTGTGCTGGACGCGCGCGCCATTTCTGCAATGGTGTCGCAGATCTTGTTCCGAACAGACCTGTGATTTTCACGCGAGAGCGACTCGAGGAAGAGAGCCTTGGTCGTAGTTCTGGTCGCTTCCTGTGTAACATCCCACAAGGTCACTTCTGTTGTGGAAGTTTTCTTCGAACCCTGTTGTTGTTGCTGCTCCGGAGCGGACTTGAAAGCGACTCGACGCATCAACACTGCAGCGAATGAACGCAACTAAGACACGAATAAAGCATGGTCGCTTGAGATGGCAATACTCAATAACTTTTTTGGCATTTTTTTGTTTATGTTTTTTGATCAATGTTCGGTATTGAAGGACATACATCGGTCACTTCGCTATTCCGGGTGAAATGCGCGAGCCCCAGAAGGAGGGCATCGGGCTGCTTGACCATCCATTCGCTGTTGAGGACGGTTTCAGCAGAAATGCGGGTATCGTTGTCATCGGAGGCCAGGTCGGTGAGCGTCTGCAAGAGCCGCTGCAGGGTTTCTTGGGGTATGCTTGGCATTGCGTTTGTCATGTTGTGAGATGAATGAGGAGTGTGTAATGAGATGGTTCTTGAGTCAATGGATGATGTTCTCTGTGGGAGTGAATGCGAGCTTGCTTGTGTGGAGAAGAGAAGAAAAGAAAAGGAGAGAAGGATGAGTTGACAGCAACAACAAACAAAACATGTTGCACAACATGCGATAGTCTGACATCCCGCTCAAGGACTTACGCAAAAAGCGGAGCAACACTCAATTTTCTTTACAGGAATGTATTGCTGCCGAAATATGGAGATATCACGCGGGGCAAAGATCTCTCGGGAAGATCGCGTGTAAATGAAAGGAAGAATGAGAGATGGGAGATGGAAAGATGACGAGAGCAGCAAAAGGGGGGGAGAAGAAGACGAAGTCGAAGTTGAGGATGAAGAAGAGGGGGTAAAGAGGGTTGTCGGCCCCTTTGTGGCAAAAAAAAATGGTGGCAAAGCCGAGGTGGAGCGATCAAATAAGCTCTTGTGCCTGTTTTTTTTTTTTTTTTTCAGGGCCCGAGACGCGTCTGGATCACGTCGAGAGAACAAATCTGCAGTTTCAGGAGAAAAAAAAAATTGGTGTGGAGGTGGACCTGCCTTCCCCCACAAAAAAGACCATCCCACCCCATCCATCTATTACAACCACATAAACATGCATGCATGCATGCATAGTCCATGTCTTGTGTGCATAGGCGCAAGGGGAGTGCACGCTGACAACAGGGTACACCCATGTCTTTCTAATCCGATGCCACCCTTAAGATATTCGAGTCCGGGAGGAACCCACGGGCCTTCGTCGTGAGGTTTGCTCGTCTAAGTTTCCCACTCCCAATTGATCCATCGTGTTGAAATCCTCGTCTTCCCACTTCATTCCATCCTTACCCCCAGTCAAAACAAAAGAACTTTCATGGGCTTGTTTGTTGATCTTTGCGCGCAAAATATCATTTTACCTGCCAACAATTGAATCGAGGGTTATGGCTCGACCGATCTGGCATATGTGCTTCCGGGAAGAAAGCAAGCCCTTGCGGAAATTGTAGAAAAATACTGAATGGATGCATCGAACGAAATAATGACTGCATGATCTGTTCCATTGGGGATGGTTCGTTTAGTTATTGGCGAGGCAAGCGACGCGACCGATGAGCAGGCAACTCAAGGTATGCAGACCCTACACGTCCTTGATATCGAGGTGTCTTACCGAATTCCCAAACGCGATCGCAGGACGTAAGCATCAATTGGATGTCATCCTGTTGAGAAAAAAAACGGCTTCACAACCAGTATCTTGTACTCATGCCTTGTGCCAACCTTATCAAAGAAGAGTCCAATGACCTCAAGGTCAAGTTCGTCAACAGCGACAGGTGCGACATCAAGATCGACATCATCGTTGAGACTCTGCAACGTAAAATGCATCTATATTGGAATGTGTTCTTTGCTGAAAGCATTCAATAGTGACTTCTGTCTTCTGAAGACTGACAGCACATGGATCTTGCCCTATAGCATCCAAACCGAACACTCTTCATAGCATGTGGGATTGACGCTGATTGCAGGTCTGGTTGGTCCGTCCAAGCAGCAGATCCCCGTCCTTGTCTACAAAAGCACTATCAGCTCTACAGAGACAATCCAGAGTTGGTTTGACGTTCAGATCCTATCTAGTTGATCGGCTTCATGGGCTGGACTGTACTAATGTAATGTCTGTTTGTATGTTCTATTTGTAGGCGCTTTTGTTGGACTTGGAATACATGTTAAGGATGGGACAAGGATTGGAGTCAGGCACTAGAAGGCTCAGCTTGCAGGGAACAGTGTTTGAGCTGTCGTTCTTATCCATTTTGGGAGTCGCCACCAATTTCGATTGACAAGGAAAGCAGGATTCAGCCATAGTAGTAATTTAGAATGGCAGGCCGACCCACTGAAAAGCCGATGCAGGCATTGTCGGCCCTCTCATCCTTCAACTTTGTCTCGAAATTAGCTTCATCACTTGCGCCGAATACATCAAGTGTGAGCTCAGTGATCCCTACCCATACCCAGTCTACCACGACAATGATTAGGAACGACAATCCATTTCTCGAACCACCGGCGCGAAAGCTGTATAAACACGGCCACGAAAGCAGCTCCACCACAAACACTGGATATCAGCCGTTTAAGCATCCAATAGGGAACCAGGCACCACACAAGAAGCCTCAGAGGCTGATTCTGACGCGGGTCCTGCCTTCAAATACAACCGCAAGAATCGCAATAAAATCAACAACAGAGTCGGAGCCGCCTTCGACAGTAGCCTCAAATACGACAAGAGCTGTTCCGACAACAGCTGTAGCGACCGTAACATCTTCAAGTATACCGCCAACGATCATCAATAGCGTTACCTCGACAGTCACCTTGAATCCAAGTATCACTGAATATACAGGAGACTCACAGCGCTCAAGTACGACCCCAAAGGCGCCACCCAATCGAGAATACTACGACTTTATTATGAAGGGCCTCAAAGTTGACATGAACTTGGAGGAGCGTTTGGACGGTGAGGATCAGGCTATGTTAGCGCAGAACAGCATACATGATCAGCAACAGCATCAAGATGATCAACAACAACGGCAGTCAACCACGATAGAGGAGGATATCCCAGTCAATTCTGCCATCATGGCCTTTGCTCGAAAGTCGATCATGCAACACGCGTCGTCTTCGCCAAAGACAATCTTCCGTAAACTGAGCAGCAACAGGCCCACTGGCTCCTCTTCCAATGTCCAGTCGACATCCAACATTATCAACAGCCGCACCAAGCCATCTTCTGCTTTAACGAAAGTTGATGAGAATAGGAATATGAATGGTATCAAGCGCTCGATATCTGCCATGGAGCAGTCATTCAAATTTGTATCCAGACCTGAGCTAGCAATACCGGCGGCAAATGATCCAAAGAAAATTGCCACCATGACACCCCCGAGCTCCGACGCAACTAAGAATAATGGAAGCGACACACAGTCTCCAGCATTGTCCACCACAGCATTCTCTCGCAGCGCGCTCGATTTCTCTCAACCTTTGGCGCCAAGGGTTTCCAAGATGGGTAGCTGTAATACAGTTGCCTCTAAGATCATGCCAGTTGTAAAAGATACCGAGCCCCAGCAACATTCGACGATTGTGACACCAGTTTCGCAACTCAGAACGCCACCATCTGGATCAGATGTCAGTTTACCATCAGAGGTGGATACGGAGATGCTACCTGCTTATACCATGGCACCCTCTAACACAAATGGATTAATAGCTTTTGACCTTCGCTCGGCGCTCCGAATAGTACGCAAACAATGAATCAGCCGAAGCGATCTCTTTAAGTCGTTTCTGTAATTACTCATCACACTTAATTTGTTAATGTATCTTCATAGGACTCGGCAAGGGTTCAGTACCAGCTACCAAGTCTCATTGCATCCTTGTCGCCACCTACCAGTCCTAAACGCCGTTCTTCACCATACAGCATTCCATCGACTCAGGAACGTGACGCTCTCCGACTGCGACGTATGCCTCGCTTCAAGGCTAGGCCATTAAATCCGAAGGTTTTCACCAGTGCTGGAGATTTAGGCGTGCCTCGCATCCAAAAGAGACCACTCACTGTACCAGTGTCGCCAGAATTCAGCAAAAGAAAAACGAGGAGTGTGGTTGCTGAGAGTGATTTGAAAGCGAAGGAAGTTGTCAACGGTGCAGCAGCAATGCGGTTGAAGAACATGGTCAGAACAGAAAAGGCTGCTGTTAGTCATTCCAGGCCTAGCGATATACACAAGCTGTCTCAACCTACCATACCGGAAAGGAATAACCTTCAAACCATAGGAGCAGGAGTTCAGACGACGATGTTCGGTCGAAAAGGAGTTGCAGCGACGGCTGCTATCAGGATGTCTGCCACTCCTGTGACTCTCTCGGGGTTCAATCCGCTGGTGGTTCCAAGCGTAGATCAGACGCGCACCAAGACTCATCTTTGTTCGATCACAGGGCCGCCTCGACGCGAAGAGGGGCCTTCGACACCACCGATTCCCAAAGCACCGATTTTGACGACAACCACCTCCAGATCGAAATCAAGATCAAAGTCACAACCCGGTCCACCCATGTCGAAGCTGCGTCGACCAGTAACGCGGCCTGTTCCATTTGCGTTTGCAACTTCAGAGCTCCAGAGGCGGCGGATGTTATTTGAGCCTACGATCAGTAAGCCTACAGAGGCAGCGACCTCCTCTGCGGCGGCCCCCGTGAGTCCCATTATATCAACGGTATTAACGGCTAGTACCGCCGCTCGCTTCACGTCCAGTGCAAGTGCGTTGCGATTGGAGGATTTGTAGTCCATTGGGTAGCTGGATATCCATGAAATAAAGCGGTCGTCTTTAAACGAAATGTTTACGCCGCCTGTCATCTCCATGAGTAACCTAGACTGAGTCCACAATCAGATCAGGCTCAGGACCAGCAACCATCGACATTCTCTTCGCGCCATATTCGAGCAAGTGTCAGAAGGTTTCGCTGTACTATGGTCGCTGGAGACAGCTCTCTTCCTCTATCCATTTTTCCTTGCCGTCTGCTTTTATATTTGTTCTTCTGTCGAGGTCAGTAGTTACAGCTTTAATTTCATTCTCCACAGTGGCTAGTTCTACATTAGTCGTCGATGGGACGCGTTTACATAAGGGCGGCTAGAAAAACACTATCGCTTTATGCCCTGCCTGGCACGTAGACGCGAGGGATGGTTTGGTCCCGTCTGCCTTAAGGTATTTTTTTACCGTTGGTGCTGATATGCTTACTGACGCAACTGCGCCTTGAGATGAGGCAAAGAGTACTAACGCATATTCCCTTTGCTTATACGATGTATGGTAACACTCATGAACATGTTTTCTCTACACAACTTTAACGGCGGTTTGAAAAGGATAAAGATTGCTGTGCTACGAAAGGAACTGGTCAACAAAGCAATGCGTTTTTTGTATATATGCCTTTCTATCAGAGATATCAGCGGATTGATTGAGGTTGGTGTCACTATGGCTACAGTATCTGTCTACCAGAATCAAGTAAAAAATGACTGGCTAGAATTCCGAATGGGTTGGGTGTTCATGCACGCTATTTTTTGTATGTTGAACTTACAAATTTTGAATGAGGGTTCCGACCCCCTATGATTATGTTGATGGGCATGAACTTGGCAGGCCGACACTGGTTCTGGGTTTGCGACAGACACACGGTGGCAATGTTCTCAGAGCCGACAATATCGCGATCAAAGTACATTTGACAGCTTCAGCAGCACTTTGACCGCCTCTTGTCGGACTCCAAGAACGCCATACACTGGTCACGAGGGCACCGAGCACTGGTGTAGTACTCGTGCACCCCGACCACAGTGTGTCCCATAGCCTTTGCCTATCAGCAGCGTCAAGGAACAAACAAAAAGATGAGAAAAAGTTGCAGTGCGGATGAGAGATGGTATGCCACCCTTTTTTTTTTCTTTTTTTTTTTTTTCCTTCCTACCTTGTCGACAAATTTCTTCTCGAGTGCGCTATGCTTGCTTGGCAGGCCAGTTTGCGAATCAAAAGAGCCTAATTCTACTGCAAACACCACTTTTACACCATCCTGCGAGCTCAGTGGCTGACCAACAAAGTCCTTGCTGACGGCGAGGTCAAGCAAGGCCGCAACTGCGTAGTCATACGTTGCCTGTTGAGCCTTTTGAAGATCCCAGCGCTTCCTTAGCATCCACTGACAGTTGTAAGAGTTAAAAAGGCAGACTCTCGTGGTGAGCGCGGCAGTGCCGTCCGTACCAGGCGCCTCCAGATACGCCAGATATTCCTCGATCTTCTCCACAGTAAATGAGGGCAGTCTTGCCTCAAGAACATCAATGCGTGCCGCGGCCTTCTGCTTTTCTAGGAAACGCTTGAAGAGCATGTAAGGCCTGTAGAGGAATGCCCTGCGGATTCGTAAAGACTCTCTTTTCGTAGGTAAGGCGGGATTGATTCTTGTCGCTGTCATTGCGTAAACCTCACCCGGGTCAATGCCGATGACCACAGTACCGCCTGGTGGACAAGTGCCAGGAGAGTTGAAGCGCACCTCCGCGTTTTCTAGGATCTTTGAACTTCGCTTCCAGTTGATGGTGTTGCGTGTGACATTGATCGTATCTGCGCCTGACGTTGGAACAGATGAGGCTTCTGAGCTGGATGAGGACGAAACAGCCGCAGTAGGGTCTACGGGTGGCAGTTGGTGTATCGACAGCCTCTGCCGCTTTGAACTTTCTGGCGTCGAAGACGGGAGCGTGATGCGTTTCTTCTTGGCGGGTCCTGCTGCAGCTGCGACCGGATCTGTACTGTACCAGATTCGTCCCCTCCACTTTCAAGAAACGCGTCGTCGAGGTCATAGTCACCGTCAACATCGTGGAACAGGGTCACATCCTCGTCGTTGTCGTCATCATCGTCGTCGTCGTCGTGTTCTTCTTCATCGTCGTCATCGCCCCTAATGCTTTGGCGGGGTGCTCGGCGTCGCGTTGTCGTTGTGTCATGCGCAAGAAGATGCAACACCAGTCCGTTCGTGCAGATGATGCCCCGAAGCTTGAACCTTGTGTGGTGCTGTCTGTCACTCTGAAGCGAAACCTTCCTGTAATACCCGTCAAAGCGCATCGCCGGGTGCAGTCTGTATAGCAGCTTCTCAATGAGGATCCCTCTCTTGCCGACGACCTTGGCTTCCGCAGTGTGGGCTGCTGTATCGCTCAGCAATCGGGCTATAATCGGCCGTGTCGTATTGCTTGTATAGAATAAATGGACAAGGTCCGCCTTTGACAAGGACACGAAGCCAGCTGCAAACTTTGCCTTGACAAAGTCTGCAAACATGCGCTTCTCGGTATTCTTTTCGAAGAAGTAGTCGATCGGATTGACAGCTTCGGGGCGCTCTTCGTTCTCGGAAAACTATTAAAGAAATCTGAAGAGCTAATGGTCAACACTAGTGCTCCGAAAAGCAAGGAACACAACGGATACATCTTGCACACTCTTTAATATACCTTTGCGCCATAGTAATGGACTCGCACTGCATTGTAGACTACCGCAACAGCAAGCCTCGAGACCATCGAAGGGAACATCTCTGGTTCTCGTTGGCGAAAGGGGACAAAGCCGGTGAGCGTCGTGTACGCATCAAAGCCACGTCGGGCATGGGTGGCTGTTGGTTGTGGTTGTGCCTGTGCCTGTACTTGCGGCTGCGGGACGTCAGGGACCAACGGCGTATTTCGAGTGCTCATTCTGCGCGCGGGGGCAACCGATATTCAAACAGCCTGGGAAACTCGTCCTTCTTGACTACTGCACAAGAGTGTGTTGAGTGCAAAGTAGAAGGCCTTGCTGTCGAGAATGTCTGCAATATCCTCCTTCCGCTGTGTCACATCTGTTGCTGTGTCTTTGGAACGAACAAGCCGCGCAATATCCAGTGCAATGGCCTCGTACATATGCATCTGGATCGCATTAAGGATCGCAACCGTTGAACGTAGCCTGTCTGAAAGGAGCTTGCTTTCTGCAACCGAGATCTGATCCATTCGCTTTATGTTGGCCTGGATACTCCCCACAGTGAGTACCTTGGTTATATGCAGCTTGCGGAGGCGGCGGTCCACTGCAGTTGCAGAAGTGGGCCATGGGTTCGATGGGTCGGCGGAGCCCACCCCTTTCCGTTTCCTCTGCAATGCCCCCTTCTTCCTCTTTTTCTTGTTCTTCTTCTTCACGACCGCCTTCCGAGTCTTGACGGGGGGCTTTGCTTTTGGCTGTGGGCGGTCGTGAGGTACGGCAGTCGAGAAGTCAATCGATTGTCGTGGTAGGATCGATTTCTTGTCTGAAAAGATCGGCCGGAACTGGTTACGCTTTGAGTTCCTTGCAACGTAAAAGGGAACCGCACTAGTAAGTACACGCATGCATCGCTATGCAAAAGGTGTTAGAGAATTTGATGTCTGTACAACGCGTGCGTGAATGAAGTGGTGTCGCACTTAAATTACCTTCTACTCGCATGCTGATATGCAGCGACGGCAAATCGCTGCAGCTTGAGGTGCCGGAACTGCGGTGCTGCAATGTTGAAACCAAAGCCGAGCATGTCCTCATCGGCGGCCTCATCTCCTGGCTGCAGTTGGAGCACTTTCTCCTCGAGATCCAAAAAGATGTCTTCCGATGGCTTGAATCGGATCTGGTCGATAACTTCGTGGGTTTTGATGGCTGCCATGAATCTGTAAGCATCGAGCATATGGCGGATATCGGGCGACTGGGGTAGAGCGCGGATGATCTCCAGGTTGCGAACTGTTCCAAGGCCGGGAATGTTCTCGGTATAGTCGTTCTTGGACACGATGCCCAGCAACGTCACATAGTCTGCGCTGGGAACGTGAAGTGCATTGGTAACACTCTCCTTGGTGTACAATGCATAGGCCAGGCCGTGGAATATCGGCCGCAAAACCTTGGTGACCGACGGATATATCAACAGATCAGAATCTGCTGACACCACGAAGCTACCGGCTGCCATGGTCAGTGTGCGTGCAAAGCAGGTGTCGGCCTCGGTCCTGCAAGCGCAGACAGAAAACCCCTTTTCTCGTAAGGCATCCCGGAGTGTCTGCTTGGCTGCTGCATCAAATCTGTATACATCGCGGAGGCCCTTCTTGATCCTCGCTACCACGCTCTTCGAGGTCCATTGGCCGTTCGACGACTTCGTGCTCATGACTTTCAAGTTCGTCTGCAACTTCTTGAGGTCCGTTGTCAGTCTGTTCTTTCGCCTGATGTGCTCGTTCCGCTTCTGTTGGGATGGGGCGCCATCGATGTGAATCGTACATTGCGCAGGGGTAAAGTCCTTCGCCAAACGCGCTGCCATCGCGAGACCGACAGTTCGGACTTTGCTTGGGTCATAATCATCCGTGATCTGGCGGACGAGGGATCCATAAAACGCGCCGAAGAGGTCAACCTCAACAGCTTGGTTCTGGTAATCTTGAGGATCTGCGGCAACTGGATCCAAACCGTGCTTCTTCAGAGCACTGTAAAGGCCTCTTATGCCCATGCTGTGGTCACTATGGTGGGTTGGAAGCTTAGCAGTGTTAGTGAAACCCTCTCGTAAGGACGCTGAGGATATGGAAGGATAGGCTTGGAGGGTACATTACCTTTTCTACAGGCGTATAGTATCTAGCGTGAAGGTGTATATGGATAGCGAACTGCGGGCAAAGGGCGATGAGGAGAAAGGATGATGAACGAAAGGTAGAAAAAGATAGGAAAAGGTGCTATTGATGGTGTCGCTTGCGCTGAAAGAGTGAAAAGGTGAAAGAAAAGTGTGACGAAGAAAGCTGTGAAGTGTGTGGCAGAATACTTATAGGCGAGAAGCAATGTCTGCTTTCCCACAATAAAAAAAACTTTCCGCAATAACAAAGACTTTCCACAATAAAAAAAAGCATTATCACCATAACAAAGACTTTCCACAATAAAGAAAGGCATTACCACAATAACAAAAGGCTTTGATAAAGAGCCATCACACTGATAGATGCTAGTCGCTTGACACGAAGCACGATCAGCGATATACGAGTAGCTTTGCCACGGCCTGACACAGATGTCCACCCACATCGCCATCATCGCTGTTTCCAACGTACGCAGGTAGGCGCAAATCTAGATAGGTCGCTAGGGATGCAATGGAGGATAGGGAAATCAGTCAAGTAACACGGTCAACCTTCAAAGGACCAAAGCCTATGAGAACTTTTGCTATTAAATTACGGGGAAGAGCACCGCTCCCAGAATAGAAGAATAAACGGTCTGTTCCTGAACCAGAGTCTTCTTCACATATATGTCTTGTATGCATTCGTCCAGATTGTCCGGATAACACCGCATCATCGACAGGTACTGACTGCCATCGTCAGCAACCCACGCAACGAGATACAACCAACAGAGAATGCCAAGCTTGATCATTCGCCACCTTTGCACTATTAAATGCAATGTTTCCCCGATCTCCGATCGTCTCATTATTGAGTATCCGTCATCGGCTTACCCTCGTGAAACGGTATTATAAAGGTACAATGGAGGCCTGATCAGCGAACATTACCGTACAACGACTCCAGAGGGGTGGACTTTATTGCCACGACTTCTCACTTCATCGGACATCATATATGTGAATATCTTGCAACTACCCCCAGTCATTCTCAATGGAACATAGTTCTAGCTCGAACCATTTAGCCAAACAACTCCCTATATTTATTTCCTTCTATCTCTGTCTAGTCTGTTTTACCTTTGTGTCAACACATTCCGATCTAAAGGAGGACCCTGCACCGCGAACCAGTAAATGACCGAAGCACACCCTTGCCGAAGTCCTATTCGCGTGGTAACTCCTTGTTGTAAATAGAACTAATGGTAGAAGTTATAGAACCCGTTAGTAGCCCCCTACACCGCAGGTGCGCAGAGAAGTTTTCTCTTGTGCGATAGATCGGCCAGCCATAGACTTTTGTTGCTCATAGAGATCAACAACAGCCTTCACATATGCATCAATGGTTTCAGGTGAAGGGAGGTCGCCCTCATAATCCGCCGTCGCATTAATACATATTGGCCTGATGCTGTGGTAGTCGTCCTCATGTTGAACTATTTCATCAGCTACCAGCTCCCGTACGTAGGTTAGGAACTTTCCATACGTAACTTTCATGTCGTCATTATATCTCTTACGTCTACACCAAGCCTAGAGAGGACAAAGATATGAAGATATGAATAACGGCGCCGAAAGACTTTGCGGATCAAATTATTATGTACTGTTGAATCAAGCAACGGGCCATCCAATGTGCCTGGTATCGTTGGTAACGTTTTCTCGTCGATACAGCAAGAATATCTTGCCGATCCACCACAGACAGTAGTTCGTCTTCTCTTTCAGCCAATGCGTTTGCAAGAGCATAGTCTCGTTCCCGCTGTTGGTGCGCAACGACATCTGTTGCAGTCGTCATGGACTGGTTATGAGCAGTCTGTTTAGCTGCCCGCCCTATCAGGTGTTCCGGAGCCTTTCTCTTTTGTAGAGCTGAAGATGTTTCAGGAAGTAATTGCCGTTGTCCTATTTCGGCAGCTGGATGACAGGGAGGGGGTGAGATTGCATGTAGGGGAATTGCGATAAAAGACAGTGTACAAGGGCGCTGCAAGTGCTGTCCATAGAGAAAGGAAGCAAACCACCTTTAGTAAAGACAGCATAGCTGCTTTCATCCTGCGCGTTGCTATTACCCTCATAGTTGGTATAAGCGGTATTTATGCCTAGCCAATAGCAAAAGTCAAGAGTACATACAAAAGAGACTAAGACTTGGAGCGCAACAATGACTAACACATTCCAGCAATAACTGCAATACCTTGACGAGTAGCAGAGCTGCTGCTTTCTCCGTTTTGGCTTCCAAATAACCATTGGTTTTGATGATCCATTCAAGATGTTAAGTTTTAAGGGTATAAGGGCATATAGGATGGATAGTGAAGTGCAGAAAGTGCGGTTTGAAGTCAGATAATTGATTTTGTCCTTTTTTTTGGTTTTCCGAGTCGCGGGCAGTGCCTCTGATTACAAATTGTTGCGCTTGGAGATAGTTCTTTTACAGTTGTATGGAGTAAGGAAACTCCCAATTTGAATACTCGAATAATTTGCGTTCCACACTGAATATAAGGGCCTAACGCACAACTACGCACACTGTAGCGAGTGATCAGCACAGCGGTCTTCTTGTTCAACTGGAACAAGGAACAAAAGTTGCAGGCTTCGATCCTCCTTTTATACAGGCACAACCCCAAAACCTAATATCAAATCCTGCGCACCCTCGGTGGCTGCTGGCCAACAAAATCAAAGTTGTACAAAAACCCACACCAATATATTTTTATAATAGCCTGGATTGTAATTTAATGAGACAAAATTAAATTTGTAAGGCTTTCCTTAAAAATTACGCATTCAGTAGCTATACTTGAGAGAAGCCAATATATTTCTCATATTTATTTTTTGTTCGGCAGACTGAGAGAATATAAACATAGTAAATAGTTTTGCCATATCAAAAGAAACCTCATCGACGACGCTTTGGCGAGTTTTTGGGTATAGAAAGAGTGCGGGCATAGGCTGGTGGGGTACAGGAGCGAACTGACCCAGACATCACATTCTTGAGCTCATCAACATTAGGATTGGACCGATCCTCCACAAGCTTCGCCGTTGCTTCCATACGATTCCTGAACAGCAAAAACTCTGCCACGATAACCAAAATTCTGCGGATGCTCTTTTCTGTCCACTTCAGTGGAACTGAGATGGTGTGCTCCCGTGTCAGACGGTAGAAACGACCTTCCAGATATCGTAACGACACAAATTTGACTCGCAATCCAGACACAAGTCCATACACTTGCAACTTACCCTTGATCTCACCTGCCCGCAGACACTGACTACCAATAGTATCAAACATATCTTTCAAAAGTTTCGCTAGCTTCCTTCCATCACTCAAGACCTTAGTTGCTGTGGTGCCTTCATCTGCCTTTCCCATCTCTAATACGCCGATCTCATATTGTCCATCTCCGCATATGAGTAGTCCATCTATCTTGCGACCTAGAGCCAACAAATCCACTCTTTGCTGACAACTGCAGGCTGATGTCTTGCCATGGATCTAGATGCAATATAACCTTCCATTGACATGTGGGTCGGTCCAGGCAGATTTAAAAAATAGGAAGCGTCTGGTTTGGTTGAGTAGATTACTTTGGTGAATGATGCTTCTTCCTTTGCACTGGTGATTGATATTTGTTCACTTGCAATGATGATCGATGTTTTGTCGCTTGCAATGGTGATTGATGCTTCATCATTTGCTTTGCGCTTGGCTATCGCTAAAAAAAGGTAAAATGTGCAATGGTTAATGAGAGTAACAGCGCCAACAATCATGTGTACCACAAAAACCAAGAAGAAGGCGATGTCTGTACGCGAGAAGAGAGTCGAGCACCGTTTTAAAAGCATGGACAGCCCAAAAAGGTTGTGAGTCCTTCTCAAGCTGGTCATCGGCGTAATGTGCCTATTATTCAGGCCACCTCCACACCGCACACAAACATTCAAGCCGAAGATGGGCAATCCTGAATCGTCAACACCGCCTTGCCCATTCATAAGTCAGACAACTGAAACATGTCAACACCATTACCTTATTTGTCCGATGAATATAATCAAGAAGTAACAGCGCAAGTGATGAAGGTAAGAAGCGCATTATGTAGGCAATAACTACGTATGAAATATTAAAGCTGGCCGATCAACGCCACCAGAAAAACTAGCATTGAGGATACTGCAGTCGCGTCATGCATCATTATGCAGGGCCGTATTCGATAGAAAAATATTATTGATATGTACTAGGCGTGCGCGTGGAGGCCCCCATTGATTCCAAGCGCAGTGTGGTGAGCCCATTGGCAGCCGGCATAATAATAAGTTCCCAGACCAGGTCGGCTCGCAGTGTGCAACCAAAGGCAGGATGAAAAATCCCATTAGACCAAGTGGAAGATCAAGGGACAACAAACAATGAACGAAAGGACCATGGTAAATAGTGGGCGTAAGGCATTGACAGCCTCTTCATATTTCATTCTTTTCTCTCTGTTTCTTCGTTTCTCAAACATCCCCTAGTCTACAGAAATAACATCCATAACAATAACAACAACAACCTGGTGTACAAATGCTTTCCTTTTGGTTGGCGGTCATACTGCCACCGACGCTCATTTTTGCGTACGTCGCGCTGTCGGGCCTCTTTTTGCTGCTGCGATCGGGTATCCAGAACCCAAAGTCGCATATGGGTCCCTGTCTGGTGGTCTTGATCATCATCTCAGGCTATCTGCTCTCATTCCATGAAGCCTCACGTCCTATCTGGAGGGACATGGTCGGTTCTTTTGTCTCTCAGATCCTGCTGCAACTCAGTTCAATTGCCCTCGGTTCGTCGTCCTTTGCATCAGTTGGAGGCATTAGTGGAGCCTCAGAGTTGCTGGATGGCTCGCAACAGAACAATTGGTTGGGCGAAGGTACCGAAATACTGCTGCCGTTTATTGAGCGTGAGGCACACGTCTCGCACTTGGTCGCACTGTCCTTGGGTTTATTTATGTCGTCGTATGTCACCGCCATGACCTATTCGCTCAAGAAACGTAAGATTCCAGAGTACATGTAAGTACGATGGTTAATCTCGCAATGGAGCTTTTGGCATGAACAATGAAGAGGGATGGGTCGACGCGTGAACTTTAATCTTCGTGGTTCTAACCCTGTATCGGTTGGCTACAGGTACTCGTTCGCGGATACATCGTTCCGCATCGTGCTCAGCCTCGAATTCTATCTGGGTACCGTCCTATGGTTTCGGTTCTGTCTCGCTCCGGTGCTCGCGCACTTGGGCCTAACCGAAGCCAGGGCCCCAAATATTGAATGGATGGGAACGCTTGTGCTCGGATTCTCCCACACGACTGCATTTGCATTCGGTAACTTCCTTTACCAGGACTATTACCGCCGCGGGTTCGATAAGAAGCCGGAGTATGCGTTTATCAAGTATTACTCCATCTATGGGTCTATCTTTATCATTGGAAGAATGGCCAGTCAAGTCCTGTGTTCCATGAGAAGTAAGTTAGGATGCGCTGAATACGAGTGCCGAAGGGACGTCAGGAAGCTTAGCCAACTTATTAACATTCAAACTGCCGTTGGCTCCACTCTTGATAGGCTGCAGTCGTGATGGAGAGGCACTCCTTATGTTAGCTATCTACTTTTTGGCGTTCCTCCATGTTACAGTCGAGAACGAGACCTTTCACGTAAGTCCTTGTTGTCTGTGTTGTCTGCACGTGCTTTCCAGACAGTTGACCGAGGGACCAAGCACATGGAAATCAGGAGCAGGTTGTACAGAAAACAGCGTTGTGTTTAACATGCACTTCGTTGGGCCTACATTCTAGAACGTCATCTGGCCGTTGATGACTATTGGTAGCTTTGCTGTCTTTTTCTTGGATGGATATATCATGCCGCTGCTCTACCGGATCATTGACATATTGATGGCTCCTGTCAAGACTGCTCCTCCACTCATTATACTGCTTCTGGTCAGCGTCTTGGCTGTCAGTGCTGTCCGCTACCTGCAGAATCGACCCACTCAAGCCGAGGATGCACCTGTATATGACCAGATCCATGACCAGAAACGAAGGGCCGGCCAATTCCCTCCACCCTACCCTAATGGCTGGTACAAACTGGCGCGCTCAGCCGACGTTAAACCCGGGCAGGTGCTCAGTGTCAACGGATTGGGGCGAGCGTTTGCTGTGTTTAGAGGCGAGGTCGATGAAGAGGTTCATATTCTAGATGCACTGTGCCCGCATTTGGGCGCTAACATTGCGATTGGTGGCGTCGTCGAAGGCGACGCGGTTAAATGTCCGTTCCATGGATGGAAATTCGATGGCAATGGGCTTTGCATCGACATTCCATACGCAAAATCGATTCCGAGCCTTGCAAAGACCAAGCAGTGGACGCATCGTGAGTTTGCAGGAGTGATTGTGGTCTGGTATGATGCCGAGGACAGAGAGCCGATGTATGAGCCCGTGTCATTCCCGCTGGCAGAAGGAACTTTCAGGAGGGTTGGGTACCGACGTGGAACACTACCGATGCATATCCAGGACTTTGCCGAGAATGCTGCGGACTGGTGAGTGACAATTCCTAACATGTTTGAAAGTGTATCTGTATATAAATATTGGGCACTGACGCGCTTCCTTGCCTTTGAACGAAACCTCGTTTGACATAGGATGCATTTTAGTCTTCTCCACGATCGATTGTCAATCCCTATTCTGGACAGATTCTTTTACGTGACGCACAAGACCGAGTGCAACTACGACCCTGAGACTAATGCTTATAACTTTGTATTCAACGATTACCCTTCTGTGCATTCGATCTTCAGCAACAAACCAATCGAAGCGGCAAAGGCGACCGCACAGGTGGAGTTCACGGGGCCTGGAGGGCTGGTCTATTTTCGCTTCTTCACGCCCAAGGGCCAAGTCGTGATTGTGAAATCTTTCCTACCTGTAGGCGAGAAGGGACTGCAGCTGACGATGGAGGACGAGGCGTATGCTGAAAATACGGTGCCTTGGTTCGTGGCAAAGCATGTGATCCGAGAGGCCAACAAGGCCTTCGACGACGACATCTTTGTTTGGAGACACAAAACATACCTACGCCGGCCCCTGTTTGTCAAGGAGGACGCGTCTGTAAAGCAGTTTCGGGACTACTACAAGAAGTTTTACTCGCCCAACAGTCGAACGTATGCCCATGATACGCTGGATTGGTAGAACCTATATCTTTTTTTCTTTACAGATGCATCAACTACTAGTGTGTCAATCCTGATTTCCCGATCCACATGTTTTTTTGTGCTATGGGCCCCTGCCATCGCCCTTTTTTCAATAAACCATTTTTTTTCGAGCTTAGTGTGATTAATAAGATGGCACGAGAGCTTACGCCTTGACGGGCTGTATGGTATGCGTCGCATTTCAACAGCAGTAAAAAACGCTCTCCGTTCTGGATACCTAATCCTAGTAAACGCATCCGCCCGGTACCTGACTGCTTCCACCCATTTTCTCATGGCGCTTGCAGTAAGTATCTTTCTTTTACGCCAAAGTTCTCCTACTGGTGCCCCAAATAGTGTACTGTTTGTCATAAAGAATATATCAATGAGATATTGAATCTACCCGTACATAGATTCTTTTCGTTGGATAGTCTAGGACAGAACTGTAGACTCTGCACTAAGAGCAGTGGGACCTCGTCATCTGTCGTCAGAACATGGATAGGACAACTCGAAGGATAGAGGTATCCAGTAGTCTAGCTCAAACAAGAGCACAGTGCAACGCCCGAAATCCCCCCCCTCATCAGTATCAATTGAGCTCCACTGAAAGAAGTCCCAGGCCAACGGGGCTATCGTCTTACTAAGGTTACATTTTATTTTTCTACTTCTGAGAAACGAGGGCGCATGGCGCGGTGGGTATTATTGGTGCATGCTGTGGTGCGACGGTGTAGCGCAGCGGTAAGTAAATTAGGTTTTGAGTTCGCGCTCAACGATTTCCTCCTATGACCTATTAGGCATGCGGACGGCGGCGCACAAGTCCGTAGTCTATACATGGGGTAGCATGATAACTGACAACTGATTTATATTCAGTTTTTCCCACACTGAGTTACTTTACGACAGTGCATGTGTATCTTGGAAGGCGTACCAATTGGTATCAAATGAGGAACCCATCCTACACTCAAATCTCAAATGGGATATTTGGGTGAGACAGATGGAGTGGATGGGATGGATAAAAATCTATGAGCAGTTGGATATATTGAACGAGAAACCCATCAATTCCACGACAATAGGCTGCCTGCCATGTCGGACGCTCATAGTAGAAAAGGGGAAAAAAAATGGCAGGCGATGAGATTTCTGCTGTGTAACAAAACGCCTGACCTAGGTCTAAAAATATTTGAAACAGACGAAGTGTGCATTGCCTACATTCTCTTCGGCGCATGGACCGATGTATGCCGCACCGGATATTCATGGTACTGAATGTGGGCGTGAAAATAAAAATGAGAGCTCGTGTAAGCCGCAAGAGATCCGGGAACCGTGGAGTCCCCGTCAGTGGGTGGTCGATGAATACATTTTTAAAGTAATCTTCCCAATTGAATATCCTAGAAAACACAGAACCCTCTTCCTTCAATTGCATGCGGCTACTTGCATATAGGGGAAGGCAGCTACCGCTTGCAGTTTATTCGGTGACACTCAAGACGCCTGTTCTTGCGAACTCCTTGGCAATGTCGATTACTCTGGTATCTGCAAAAAGCCCTTCCAACAATTGCTCTGGCTTCTTCCAGGCTTGTACCTCAGGCGGAGCGTTGGAGAAGTGGCGGAAGATTTGTGCTAGTGACTCGTACTCGCTTCGAGTAACCTGGCTGGGAGATCGCAGGTCAGGAGAGTCCAGAAGATGAGGCTCGGGGGGGGGGGGGATGAATCCATCATGAACCAATAGTCAGTAGCTAATGGGAAGACAGTATGGTCTGGCGTCGTCTAAGGTGGTGGAAAGGACGGCGTAATCAGGGTCATCAGCATCCGATGGTCGAGATCACTTCGGGGAGGCGGAAGCAGTCAGTTTTGAGGCTACTCAGCACGTCCCCACGACCCTCCCGCTCCACGCGTCAAACGAAATCACATACTTCTTGCTTCCCCACCACTCACAACATAACGATCAACAACTGATGGCCGACTCTACGCAAATCCTCTTCATTTTGGACGGCCAGACACCCTCGAGAGCAATCGAGCTCAATCTGCCTCTCTCAGCCAGCGGTGCAGCGCTCAGGCTCGCCATCAAAAACCGAATGCCTCTGGACTTTGAAGGAACCTCGGAGCATCTCCTCGCAGTGTGGCGTATCACTGTCCCTAAGAATGCCGCAACTGCTCGTGAACCCGTCGTTCTATCCAACATCCAGTCCAAGCAGGAAGTCTTCCCTTTTCACAAGCTGTCGGATCATGTTGAGCTAACTGACAGTAGCTCCTTAATCCTCTTTGTCGTTGACCAAATTCCACCAGGTGAGATAGTCATGCCTGTTACATGTGCCTGTTGCATATCTTCGACGCGAAACTAATGCCTTGCTGTGAAATAGAATATTTTCCCCGCGAGCGCGTCCGCCAAATGGAGGTGGAAGTTTTTCTCAGCGACACCGAGAAACCCAGGACCATGATGTGGAATGTGGTTATGGATACGACATGCCCAGAGGAGCTGGAAATCGACATTATTGAGGAATTTCCTGACCTAATAGGCGATCAGCATCGAACCCTCACTCTTGTCATGCCACCTGCACCATCCCGCCAAGTCTCTTGGGTCTTCAGGCCCATCACTGACTACGACTTGCAATCGACTCTTCGGGACTTTATTCGTCGCGACATTAGTCCCTTGAGGATTAATTACAAAGTCTCCCCGCTTTCTTTCTCAGAGGCGACACTGCCCGCGGCTCTTAGACTGTACAAGATGCATGAGCTGGAGGAATTTATGGACTTTCCTGCGGCGTCTTCTACGTCGGATAGACACACACAGGCACTCGACAGGCTTTTTACCTCTCTCTCGACACTTCTTGACAAACTCCCCCTACCTCTTGAGGATGAATATCAGATGCGTTTTTATGTTGCTACGTTTCTCCTCCAAGTGGTTTCGCTGCTCCCAGGCTGGTGTTTACGAACTGGCAAGGAGGTCCATTGCAGTCATGCAGAAGGACGGACTGACTACACCATCGAGTCGAAGGAAGACCCATTGGACGCGTTTCCAATAACCATTATCAAGGACCAGGAGATCGACAATGGTGTTGCGCAAAACATGATGCAGCTGGATGCGATATCTTGTCGACGGAAACGAAAATTTGAGGAGGTCGAGCAAGAGGGCAATCAGAAGGACGACGACGTTCAAAAGGACAAGCGGAAGGATGCAGATATGTACGGAGGCAAGCGGAAGGATGGTGATGAGCGAGAAGGCGAGCAGAAGGACAACGACAACCAGGAGGAAAAGCAGAAGGATGATGACGAAGTACCCATAGTCTCATACGGGATCGTGACTGATTTGGAGAGCTGGCATATTGTGGAGTATACGAGGAAACCAAGCTCCTTGAATTCGACATTGCCCACCTTCCGACGTGCGACACTCCCGACTCGGATAGATCTCACCAAGGACCAGTGGAAAGAGAATGTTACGAGCATTTTTGGAGTCGTGGCGAACCTCAGCGAGAACTTTGTAAGAGGTGTAGGGATGCATCGGAAACGTCGTAAGCAATAAACCAGTTTGTTAACCCCTTTCTAGCATAAGAGATGAACTCTCGAGGTTGTTCGCGTACCTCGCCTCTTCCCGTAACATGCGAACGCACTCCTATGCTTACACCGCCCGTGTCAAACCCCATGGTAAAAAGCAAACTCCAATCGAATGCATTCATGCATCTCCTCCCACGATACAAGACAAGCGCCGACGGTAAAAACATGCTTGCGTCTTGAAAACCACCGTTATCAATGGGGGTTTAAAGAATGAAACGATGTCTCTTTCTCGCTTTCTCTGCCCAACCTTACACCACATCCTTCCATGACTAAGTCCATACAAATTCTCTTCATCTTGGATGGCGAGGCAACCACGAGGGCAATCGAGCTCACTCTGCCTCTCTCAGCCAGCGGTGCAGAGCTCATCTTGGCCATCATGAACCGACTGCCTCTCGACTTTGAAGGAACCTCGGGGCAACTCCTCACGGTGTGGCGTGTCGCTGTCCCCAAGGATGCCGGCACGGCTCATGAACCTGTTGTTTTATCCAACATCAAGTTGAAACAGGACGTCCACCCATCTGACAAGCTGTTGGAGCTTGTCAAGGCAGATGAACTTGGTACTTACCTCACGGTTTTCGTTGCCACCAAGGTAAGGGTGCTTCTACAGCCTTGTCATTTGGTACTTTGGATTTAGAGTACATAGGAGTCTGAACGGAACAATTGGACTTGATTAGGAGGTCTTCCCCCTGACGGCGGCGGTGGAGCAATCTCTGACTGCCTCACGCAAGGCGGCTCTCCTAGTGATCGTGAAGAGTATTCATTCTTCTTACCAGCTTCAGTGGTTTCGCGAGGGCGCACCCTCGCTTCAAGAGTATTTTGAACTCATTTTCTCCGAGTACCCTGGACTTGCAGATGAGACAGCCTCTCTCGCCATGCAGAGACCTAACAGCAAGGACGAATACGACCTTTGCACCACAGATCAGATTCAGGAGAGAGCCGCAGCTACTCTCCTCAATGACAAGCAATGCGAATGCCTTGTCATCAACCTCACCATCCAGTTCAAGCAGCTTGCGTTATCGCATCACCAGCCGCACCATCTGCCGGAGCGATATGGACTTCATCTCGATCAAATATCCAAATATCCAGCCGCAGGACTCACTACAGCAGAAGCCCGAGCCGTAAGATGTACGAAAATGCCACAACAACGTTCCATTACTGCTGCAGCCCTGACCAGAGAACTATGGGGCTGCCAGAGAATGAGTCTGGTGTGGCTGGATGCGTGCTCAATATTCTGCGAGCATGTGTTGAACAATACCCTCTGCTCGAGATCAGGTGCCAGGTGCCTGTATCTGGGACGATGGCCAATGGACGAGTTGATTTCGCAATTGCACATCGGGGCCACAAGCAAGTGCTCTGCGTCGTGGAGGTGAAACACCATGCTTCGGAAACCAGCAGCTTCCCTCAGCTCATTGCAGGGATGTACACAGTCTTGAAAAGTTGTCTTGCTGTGCATAATGCCTTACCTTCTCCCCAAACAAGTATGTGTTTCGGGATATCGACAGACTATGCAACATGGGTCACGTTCCGGAGTACCCTCCAGAGGTTGCCCTCAGGAAGCCTGACCATGTTCAAGGTGCAAAAAGCAACGGTTGCGCAAAACTTGTCTTTTGCGCCAACAACTAAAGAAGGCAAAGCACGCGTTTTGAGCCTTCTCGGCAAGGTGTTGTCATTCTTCTCTGTGATCCACGCTTGGTCTGCATCCGATGTGAACGTGGGAAAGACCGGGAACAAGGGAGCCGGAAAGGCCAGGAAAACGTGAGTAGAAGTAATTAGGCAGCATAGGAAGTGAGTTGCAGTCTAGCATTTTCTAGGTAAATAAAGCTCGTGTTGCGGACATGTGTCTGGGCGCGCCCTGATCTAGGGACCCGCAGTACCCTTTCTTTTATTCATCCGCATCCTCATCGACTTGATCGTCGTGAGGTAGGTATTCATCATCATCTAAACCAAAGTCATCGTATCGATCCAGTGCTACTCTATGGTCATAGTAGGTCTCATGTGCAAGATCTACGCTCCAATCCTTTTCCGAGACAGATATGAGAAAAGTACCAAGTGGAGCATCTTCTGACTCGCTCTCGATCATGCCGATCTCGTGTGTTGGCAGCCCATCGGCCACGGTGGTCTCCTGTACTGTTTGACTCTCAACCATGTGGATCTCCTGTATTGGCACAGTGACTTCCGGCTCGCTTGTGACATCCTCCATTGATGGCCGGTTCTGATAGTATTCCTTGCCAATACTGATGGACGTATTCCGTTGCGATATAAATGTCGCGCTTTTGACCTCGAAAAAATAGTGGACCAAGGCAATCTTGAGTCCAATGGGCGTCAGTTTGCCTGTTGTGTAAGCAGCGACCTTGTTCTTGACGATAGCCCATATCTTCTCAACTGGTTGGAGCTCGCAGTGGTATGGTGGGGTCTTGAAAATCTCGTGGCCACCATTTTCCGTTGCAATCTCGGAGATGGTGAAGGGCTGGTCCGCGAGGTTCTTTATGTGCGCCAATAGTGTCTTCTTTGTTGGCACATTACCATCGCTTGTTAGTGGGATGGCGTTATTAGTAGCGTCAAACCAGTTAAGGATATCTTCCTTTGTGGATCCTGTGTTCGGCTTCCTATTAACTCTGCTAAAGTGGTATGAGGCGCCATCGAGGTGAATGTGGCAAGGCGGCAGCCCCATAGCCTGTAGGTTTTGGCAAAGCTTCCTGAAGATGCCGTTGAACGTCTCCGAGTTAAAGTTGCCATGGTAGTCATCATCCTCTGCCATGGCATCTGAGTAGCGTACCTCATCCGGCACTTTATCCCACAGCTTGGGATCATTCCACGATGCGGATACGCCTCCTTTGGATTTTGCTGGCCAAATGTAGATGCTATTCCTGACATATTCACCTACGAGTTTGTCTGCAGCCTCGTTGTAGTATACCACAAACGCTCCGAAGATGACCAACATTGGCTGCCGACCCGGTTCATTAACGACGCCTCCCGGAGGGACCCATCGATTTGCTGCGGCATGGTCCAGATGGCAGTATGACTCGTTCAAAAAGACCTCGGGTGCCTTGGGTACCACCCTCCCATCTGGCAACTCCCTTAGATTGGCAAGACGGCGCTTGAGGTACTTGTGTCGGAATGCAACATTCTGTGGCGAGTCGTGCAGAATGTTGCGTCGCACCCCCTTGCCCCAGCGGAGACCTAGTTTTCGGAGATAGCGCTGGATTGTGCTGACTGATGCATCGAGTACTTTCTCTTCTCGCAGTTGGTTGGCAATACGGTTGGCTGAGTTGGGTATCCCGAGTTTGTTGGATTTGGTGACCATGCTCAAGAGCTTTTCCGATAGTACTGGATCTAGCTCTTTCACGGCGGGTCCCCGTCTGACAGCCAAACCGCCTGGGAGAACACCAGTTGTCGAGAATTCAATCGCTTTCTGGCATGTGTCTTTGCCATAACCAGTCAGAACTGACAGCCCCATACACATTTCACCTGAGCCAAGGTTGAATAGCCATGCTTTTACTTCTTCAGGCGCAGTAGAGAACTTTGCAGCCAGATGTGCTAGCACGCGGTACTCATTGGCCAGAATGCATGACCCATCACGCTTGAATGTGTGTTCTTTGTCAGTCAGCTCTATTCTTGAAAGCTTGAGAGGGGCCTTGAGAGGGGCCTTGACAGAGGCCTTGACTGGAGCTTGGAGGACCGGAGTCTGGGGGACTGGAGCCTGGGGCGCTGGGGCCCGGGGGATTAGACCCTGAGGGACAGGAGCCTGAGGGACAGGAGCCTGGAGAAGTAGAGCCTGGAGGACTGGAGTCATTGGCACGGAATCCCTAGCAGGAAGATATATCCACAATTAGTTTATGTTCTGGGCCATGACGGTGCAGGATAGCGATGTGATACTTACATGCAGTTCCCATTATCTCCTGCTTTGAACACAAAGGGATTCGTAGGATCGTCAGGGATGAACGTATATGTTGGGCGGCGTCACGGGGTGCCAGGCTGTTCTGCCACAAATATAAAACCTCCAGCTTGGCTTCGGCTTTGAAGGTTGCGAGGGGTGGATTTGAGAAGCACCCCCTGGAGCGGTCTTCCGGTACAAATGAGAAGTTTACCACACCCGCTGGTGATCCGGAAGCCGGGGGAGGGCGTGTCCTTGGAGCCGAAGGACGGTAAGGAGACCATCGAACATGTTCTAATCGAGCTGGGGTTCCTGGAGATCTGCAAAGCCTTGGGGTTCTCGTAGGACTGACGCGCTCCTGTATGCCTTTGGAGTTGTGGTGGACGCGTTCTGTCGCGGTGCAACAAGGACTAACACGCTCTTGCATGCCTTTTGCGTTCTGGTGGACGCGTCCTGCCGGGGTGCGACAAGGACTAACATACTCCTGTATGCCGTTTGAGTCCTTATGGACGCGCCTTTTCGGGGTTTGACGAGGAGTAGACTGATCGTGTCTACTAGGTATCGGGAAAATGGTGGGTGTTGAAAAGGCGATTGGAGTCATATCAGAGCGAGGAGTCTGCTAGAGAAAATTAGGGTATAGAAGGTGACCTGCCATTCAGATGCCTGTTGACGATGATGTTGGCGATGAGGAGGTGCCTCGGCGCCCATGGGTTAAATTCCCTTAATGCATCATCCTTGCATGTGTGGAGCGGCCCTGAGCCCACCTTCTAAAATGGGGAGCTGGCCCTATTGGGATGAGTATTCAGTCTGTTGAAAACACTTATAATCCCGATTAGGGTGTAAAGAGTTCTATTCAAAAATATATTCATCGATCGCCCATTGACGCGGCCTCTATATCTGTAGCCATGGTGCCTAGTATATGCTGCTTACTTACCGTCTCTCAGCCAGCGCGAATGTTCGCGTTTTTTGTGCTACGCATGCAGTTTAATGGGATTCCATTCTACTGCATAAAGTGATCAATATTGTAGCGGTCGTAAACGACTGCGCTTGGGAAGAATACGCGGTATGGACGCGTAAAATATAACCTCTTCCTTGAATGTGCAGTAAATGGAAGCGCAAATCATTATAGAGTCCGCGTCAAAAAGTATCGACACTTATATTTACAATAATAAATTTTAATTCAGTCGATTGTATGGCCATTGTGCGTCAAAAAGTGCCATCCTATGTTTTACGTACAAAATTAACAAAGTTTATTTTCGTTTTCGTGGCCGCTTTCTCTGCCTCTGCGCGTCTTGAAGAAATAAGATGATGATGACTATCCTCTGCACTTGGTAGCATGATCTCTTCTTTGTGTGTAGCAGTACTAGCAGTCCTCAGACATAGATAAAAATGGAGTCGCAAAGACTTTAATACAGCACCTCTTTTCCTCGTATCTTTGTTACTCTTTACATTGTGCATGCAGCCATGCAACCATGTCAACAGGCCTCTCTTGTACGTACGAGAAACCATTCCTCATGTGAGGGCCGCAATCGACTGAACTAAAATTTATTATTGTAAAAATATAAGTGTCGATACTTTTTGACGCGGACTCTATTATAGAATTTTCAAAAGGGAGCCGCGCATCTGTGCACAGAGAGACTGAGCATGGGACAAGGTACCATCCTTTGGCACTCAATATACTCAGCCCACTACCGGATAGATAACCATGCACCCTAGCTCCGCTGAGTTGGATATTCGCGCATTTGCATTAGCATATGCAGCCAAATGTCCACCATCCGTCTCACCTACATACGTTCTGTTCTTCCCTTCAGCCTTTTCTAGAAACGAGTTCGATGAGTGCGCCTTCAATCACCCGAGTGCATGTATTCGCATATATCATTGGACAAGTAGGTCGGGTGGACCAGATGCATTAGGATACCATGGACTGCAAGTCGAAATATTGGGTGTAACATGGTCTTTCTTAGGCGCTTATTCTTTTTCCGTACTTGTATATGGTTCTATATACGCGTAGAATACTAATACGAATGATCAAGTGGCGACATTAAGCGTCATTTCTCGCATGCCTACAGGTCTTTTTCCCTTGCAGAGTGAGTACTTTGAGCACCCTCGATTCGATTCCTTGAACTCAGGATCTTTCTCATTTTTTTTTTCGTATAAAAGGACGAGATAACCGGCCCTCATTCCTGTCCTTCACTCTTCTACATCTTCCTTCCCCAAGTAAGCACTATACTCTCAACTACTTTCATAAAAAGCACTGCCCTTCACAATCCCTTTCTTCTATTCTATTTTCATGCTGTGACACTGAAGATGGAGTAAGTATCTAATTCCCTCTTGATATTTCTACATCTACACTAGGCTTCAAGCAAACACAGCACACCCACACCTACTATCATCAAAATGCGTATCTCTGCCATTGCCGGTTTGTTCGTCTTGGTTATCGCCAGCGTTGCGGAAGCTGGTCGCCAGTGCGAGAACTATGCCTCCGGATGCAAGGCCTGCGTCTGCAACCAGTGGGTTGACACTTCCAAGTGCTGCTACGGCGAGTTCAACGGCGGCAACGGAAACTGCGAGGGTCTCAAGGCCGCCAACACTGGCAAATTCCAGAGCTGCTGCAACAGCAAGGGTGGCTTCGGTCGCTGCTGGTAAATTAAAGAGGGCGCTTGCTTCTCTTCGAATTCGTACCATCCACGACCATGCAAGAGCAAGGGGTTTGTTCATTATGAGGCTACGTCCCAAGGGTTCCGCAGTTTGAATCAAACGAAATAAAACGATCACGTATATAATAAGAAATCACATACAAGTTCATAGAATTTTATTTAAGTGCAGCAGTTGTTCTGCTGTCAGGTCAGCCAGATATCCACAACTAGATGTGGAGGACTTAGGATCATTGGCAGGAATATGGCTTGGGGCCTACATCCCACTCGCTTACGATATGTTGGTCCATCAGCCGTTTAAGTGCTTGACCGTCCAAAGCAGTCATTTCCACGTTTAAATGCATTTCATGGGTACGACGATGGTGGTCAGTGTGCGAAAGCCTCTTTGAAAATTTGGACTATTGCCGAACTGTTTCCGACCTGGTGCTTTGAATGAACGTATCTCTGAGTACGGTAGACTTCAAAGACCTCGGTAAGCCTCTCCAGTGTCAATATTTTCTTGCCATGCGCAATATCATATAAACAGTTCGCTAGGATCACAGCGTCCTCCATAGCATTGGCTGCACCTTGCCCAGCACTAGCCTGTATGAAAGATGGACCAAAGGCGGGCCACGCTGGTATTCCTGCATTAAATAAGGTACATTCTCCAACCCAGGCATTGCTGGAGAATGTAGCGCAGTCCTTTCCTTTGAACGCTTAGCCGTTCTGCATAAGCTAAGCAGTACGTTCATAAGTCCTTTTGAACCCTTTCTTGATTGTGCTTACTTGTCGACAGAGATATACGATGCAACTCCCTTGGACAAAAGATATAGGATACAGCTCCCATAGGCTGATGAATCCTACGGCATTTTTTAGGTGGGTTACTCAGTTGTAAAAGCGGCGGTGCCTCATCCATACCGTTCTCATCCAAACAAGTCAACTTGTTCTCCAGGTCTTCAGACCCACAATCACCAAACTCGCCTCCCCTCCAATGTTTTCAAGCTAGCGCTCAATGGCCTTGCTGTCGCAGCTCTGCAAGTATTATAAGTTGATGAGGGTCATGACTGCTAGAAGGGTACCAACGAAGAATGCAACGCCTTCTGTACCATACCTTCGCAAGCCTGGTTATTGCTAAAATTTCTTGGCCAATCTGCAGCTGTGGCTGTAAGCTGAAGACAATATCCTATATGACCACCAACCCGTTAACAGAGCATATCATCTAGATAGAACATTGGTTGCGTACCTTGAAAAGCATTATTGATTTGCATTTTTGAATGGACGTCGATATAATTCTCCCAACCTCGACAGCGTGCTTTGACGCGACGTGGCGTTCCATGCCAAGCACATGATGTTTCGCTACTTACACTGGTAACATTGTCATACTATCAGCGCCATATGCTTTAATTCGATAACAATTTGTCTGTTGTATTGATGTACGCATGTAGCTGGAACCACTGAGCTTTTGAGGAAAGTAGTCTATGTCATATAAATCACGTATTTGCTTGCATCATGGCATTGCGCTTATTCTACCTTAAAAACACGTAGGGCCGAGTACTATGCGCACATATTTCATCGCCCTGACCTATATGATCTACTCTTAGTTCAAGCCCCTTAGCAAAAAAAACCTCACTCGACCAAAAGCTGATCTTCTTGAGTAGAACAAGGAAGGGGTCACGAAGGGATATTCTGGCGGGAGTCGACAGCGCATACTCAGCCGTACATCAGGATTGTTTAAACAGTTGACGGAGGCAAATGAGCTGCCTACCTCCGACAGGAATGTTTTCAGAGTAGGACACATCTTCATGATTGGTACGACAAATCTTTTGGATCCTGAGAGGTATCCTGCCCTGAATGACAGCCACTATAATTTTCTAGCCATCATTGGAAAGGCCAAGGCATACATTGTAGGTTTTAGGGGCGGATAGGTAACAAACCGTATGTGCGAATACCCGTGCATCCATCCAACGGTTACTCTTCACTTTTTTTCTTTCTTTTTTCTTCGCAACAAGTAGCCACTATTTAGTCCCCCAGAATACCACATATCCTTCATTGTCGAGTAATTGGGCAAGAAGACTGTGAAACAGATCGTATTTCGCAATGCAGAGTGGACCTCAGAATTCAACGAAAAGATGGTCGTAGTTTCCTCTTCAAATATGTCACAGCGACGCAAAGATCAAGGGCGAAAAGCGGGCCCTGAGCAACTTAATTGGCAACAATCCGCTCGAGCTGACCACCAAGGCCCTTCTCGAGGAAAAGCTCCTTGGAGCGTGGTTCCATGGGTGCACTGTCTTGATTGGCGGCGCGTGCCACAGGATGCTGACCAAGGCTTAGTCAATGCTATGGAGGATCCAGTGATCCTGGCGACCTGCTTGTATGATATCGCGAACGACAAGGAGGCGCTGACGACCTATAGGATCACGTAGGCTTTCAGAAATTAAAGCGGACAGCGATATGAGCACGTAGTTTCAGGCGAGAACAGTGAAACTTTTGAATGAACAGGAGAGAATAAGATGTTCGTATTATTTTTCGATATACAGATTTTACCAACAGTTTTGCCACATCTCTTTGTTCGTACCGTTCAATAGACGGGGCAGAGAAACTCGTCCGCGCCTTTTTTTAATACAACACTCCAACATAGCTTGTGAGCCAAAAGTATAGCAGTCATGTCAGACACATACCACATATCGTGTCTTTAGCTTCGAATCCCAGTCCACGCAATTTGCATGTCGATCAAGCACGCAAAGATGCCAAATAAGCCGATGTTGCTGTCATATGGAGTCACTTTTTATTGAAATCATTACCCCTGCGAATTTTAAGGTGCAAGATACACGCAAAGTTTGACGCGTCAATTAGGTAAGCATATTTCGAAATTCTGCAATACATGTAAGGTATATAGGAGCCCCTCTCTAGACAGCGACCGCTTGCTTCTCTGCTTCTTGCTCCGCCAGGTATCGCTTGGAAGGCTTCTGTGGAACGACGGATAAGCCCTTGGGCGGAACAATCATTGGCAAGAACGTGATCTGCGGTCTATAGCCCGCCTGCTTCATGATACTCTTGGCCATGATCCACTTAGGAAGATTGTAAATGATGGCCCGCAGCATCCGCTCACTCAGTTTCTACGCAGTCGAAAGGGAACATCATCAGTGCAATTGCTACAAACGTTGTCGTTGACACTGACATTTGCGTCGCTGTTGTTGTTGTTGTTGTTGCTCTTATATCCTTTTTTTCTTTTCACTTTCACTTTTCCTTTTCCTTTTCTTTTTTCTTTTTCTTTTCCTTTTCCTTTTCCTTTTTCCGATCAATAACCTAACATCACAGCACGGCGTTTGGCAGCTATCTTTACCTGTCCTGCCAGGATCTTTGATAGATTCGAGCTGTACTCGACATGATACTTTGCGTAGGGAAATCTCTGGCTGTAGTACTCCTCGAATACTCCAGTGATCATCTCTGCCGTCACCTCTTGTTTTCCGCCCGAGATGTCATACAAGCAGTTGGCCAAGACGACAGCATCCTCCATAGCGTTCACAGCGCCTTGACCAGCGCTCGGCTGCATCTTGTGGCAGGCATCGCCAATCAAGACAGTGCGACCATGGTACCAGGTCTCGAAGATCTTTTCCTCGAGGAAGACTTTGGAAATGAGCTCTGGAGGCGTAGCATCGATGAGGTTGCCAAGAACCTTTCCCTTGCCATGCTTGATTGGAAAGTCATAAATTTTCTTCACCATCTTCTCGTTTGCCTCAGGTCCCCACTCTGAGTTCCTAAAGGCGGCATCTTTGGCAGCCTTTTCGTCCAGTTGCTCGACAGCAAAAAAGGAGATACGGTTGTTCGGGAGGGTAGTAGTCGTCCACTGTGCGATCAAGGAATATAGGGCACCACGAGAGTTAGAGACGCGTGGACTCAACATAAATGTACGGTCAATAAAAAGAAAACGGATAAAGGCCTTTCAAACTTACAGTGTGGGCTGTGCCTTGTCCAATGATGGTTGAGAAATGACATTTTTCATCTGCCAGCCCTGAGAACTCCGCCGGGTCTAAGGGGTTGGTCGTGCCGACCATGCAGATGTGGCCCATCTTGAGACCTTCCGCATCTGATTGCGGAAGCAGGTTTTTACTGATCAAATCCTTGTATAGATTCTGACGGACGCCTGAATACGCGCCGTCGGCACCAACCAAGATGTCGCCATGGTATGTTTCATTGTCGCTGGTGCGGATCATGACACCTTCATTGTTCTGCAGCACCCAGACGACCTTTTTGTTCAACGATATTTTTTCCTCTGGGATCCTCGACAGCAGAAGGGCATAGAGCTCAGCACGATGGAAGATATAAGTGTCATAGCCGGTCCTAGTTTTCTCAATACCATCATAAGTATGCTGTACATATCTCAAGTGCAAGGGTCCACCAAATACGTCCTTGCTCTTACTTCTCTGCATAGTCCGAGATATCGATAGCTCCAATGGGCTTGAGGCTTTCCTTGTATACATCCAAGCTTGAGCATTTGTACGAGAACTTCGCAATGTCCTCCAAGAGTCCCAGCTGTTCAAATACCGGAAGAATGTTTGCATTCAGGGCCAGGGCCGCGCCTGTTTTGTATGCAATTGTATCAGTCGTATGTTCAGTACAGCCGTAATAGACAATGCATGAAGGCAAAGCGTTTTTTACAATCTTTCATACAGTACCTAGGGGCTTTATTGCAGCTGCTCTTTCATAAATATGATATGGGATCCCCGCCTTTTCGAGCAGGATGGCCAAGAAAAGGCCTCCGAGACCAGCTCCTGAAATAAGAACTTTTGGGGGCTCGTACGCGGCCATGATAACGAATCAGAATGAAAGAGGATGAAGAGTGGAATGAGGAAGAGATGATGAGGAGTCATCTGTAGCACAACATAAAAGAACACCCCATCGAAGCAACTGGCAGAGCAATGCATTTTCGAACAAACTTGTCTCGAACACAAAGTGAGCATCCAGCATCGTTGTGCGACCTGACGAATGTCAACTTGCAGGTAGGGGTGAATTATTACAGTGCATTTTTTATTATTTTTTCGCGTGCTTCTGGATCGGAGCTTAGCTCTGCGATGGTGCGGTGGTAGATGTGGTATTGAAGCAGTTGTAGAAGTTTGCCTCAATAACCCGGTAAATACCAATATTCGAACAATCAAGCTGTTGTCGATATCCGAACCAAGAAAAGAGACCTGTATGACGAAAAGAGAATTCTACCATCAACCATGCTCCGTTAAGGGTCCCCTGCGCACAATACCACCAATCAGCATGGAAGATCAGCAGGATCGGGTTATCCGGATAGCCACCCTAAATCTGACCGATGAAACCTAAAACTCCTATAGAAGAGATCTGCACACGTGCTGCCGGTCCTTGGACTTGCATGGTCCAACCCCATTGCCGAGTTTTCTTACATCATTCCAGGGCAACCCCCTTCATTTTTATGATGATACCGTCTCTCAAAGCCATGAAAAGGGCCGCTAAGGAAGTAGGACAACAACAGAGAAGGGCCGATTGCAGTGCATGTACAGTTTTATTACCGGTATTGCTAGTGCCATTTCCGTAATAAAAGATCACGGCATTCTACATATACATGTCCATGTATCCTGGCGGGGGTGCCTCATCGTTGTCGGGTTCACCAGAGAATCTATCAAAAAAAATAATCATAGTGGCTTTAGTCATTCGTTCGTTACGCGCTCTGGCGGTCGAACATGCAAAAGAGGCTGGTTAAAGCACTTACGGAACGCCGCGTCCTGCACCACGACCCTGACCTGGAGTGGGTCCCTGATGTGGATTTGAGTGAGCGGTGCCTGCGCCCGGCGAGCTACCGCCTACTGGGCCGAATGGCCCGATTGGATCAAACCTTGCTCCTGGAGGAACAGATCCCCGAGGCAGCGGCTGTGGACCACCGTAGATACCACCTCCACCTCCCACACCACCAGTACCCGGAGGAGGTCTTCTGAACATTGGATGGTTGGGTCCCACAACCATGCCGCCGCCTGTGCTCCCTCCAATTCCACCTCCAATCCCGCCCCCAATTCCGCCTCCAAGTCGACCGCCAAAAGGATCCAGATCACTATGTCCGATATCAAATGGACTGCGTCCACCCATGCCTCCAATTCCCATATAGCCCGGGTCTTCAGCTGAAAATGGGTCTCCAAAAATAGGAGGGCGTGGCACAAATCCCGGTCGACCAGGTCGAGGGATGCCTCCAATACCTGGGAATGTAGAGGGATCATCTGGGTAGTATCCAGGCTCATGCCCGCCATCACCTCTTCCAATATCAGTTCTGGCTCGCTCTCCGGATCTCGATTCAGTTCCTGAGGCTATACTTGTGCTGCTGGCAGGAGTTCTCTCTTCCCGATAACCTGGCTTTGACAAACCTGGGATGAGCTGTTGCACAACCTTGACCTTGAACTGTCCAATTAGGTCGTTGATCCTTGACCGTGAGATGAAGCCGTTCCAGAGAGGATCTCTGTCCACGTTTGTCGCACTTGTGAATGGGAAGTATGAGGGCGAGGTAAAATCCTTGACCTCGAGTTCCAACGAGCATATTTTGCTGGTCTAATTGAGAGAAATAGGTGAAATGGCCATAGTCAATCCGCCTTGCTGCTATTCGTTACTTGGCAGTGAAAGTTAAAAGTTACAAGGCTGTGTCGCTCACCTCGATAGTAGTGCCATGGATTACAAATTTGCCAGCCATACGCATGCACTTGATCAAATACGTGAGTTGAGAGTGCGAATGTGTGTATCTGAAAGAGTAACTTTCCTTCGACGCGTTCCATCGCTCAGGCAAAACGTTGGCCGTGGTGAGGTCTATCCAAAGCAGGATACCCCAGTGCATACAGTTAGTCAGAGTCCCCGACGGACGTGTTAATACAGTTCGAATGCATATTGTCCGCGTTTACCTTCATTGCTCAGGCGATCTCCTTCAAGAGAGTCCTCCTCGCTCAGCCCGACCAGCCTAAACCCGACAGCAGTCATCATAGCGTGGGATATACTTGCAAGGGCTTCATACGCGCTATTGAGGATAGTTACTGTGGATCCAGCTGCTGGCGCAGCCGCCTCAGCACTTGATACAGATACTGCATCTGCCTCCGTTTCGGTCCTAGCTGTGCTGGCGGGAGTGCTTTTGGTTGGAAGGAGGCGCTGGAGAAGCTCGAGGACGCTGTCGCAGTCGAGAACGTTGGTGATTGTAGTGTTGCTTGCGTTTGTAGGAGAATGTTGCGCGTTCGACATAGTAATGAGTTATGAATGGGGCGAAGGGGTGTGAGCAGACCCATTTTATGGTTTTCAGCTCGCGTTGGCCACAGCCCAAAAGTGATGGAACGCGTAAGTCCTGTATGAGTAACGTAACGACCAGCAGTCCGTTTCAGCTCTCAATGTGACTCGAGTGTGAGCAGACAACGGTTACCTAGGCGATCAAGAGGTGATTGTGCCCTTGACTTGATCCGGCGCATGGCAACCCAGAAGTGACGCAGAGCATGAGCAGCCGGAACCAGGACTTCAGGACAACATTTGTTGTCCGGAACGTAGCCAGGAGGTAATATTTCTCTCTCTGCGCTGGAAACACCCCCCACCTTCATCAGATTCTTGAAGAGGATGACCGCTACTAATTCTGATATTATTTGCTGGGATATCACGTTCGGTAGTGTCAGTGCTGAGGAACTTTCTACGTTTTTTGGACTAAGCCCGAATGCTACCGTAGTTGAACAAGGCATCGTGCATTCGGAGCAGGCAACATCCACCTTTCGTGTCAGTGTCAACTCCATGGGCGAGGCTATAGCCCTTTTCAAGTAAGGACTTGACTCTTGAGGTGTCAAGGCTTTGGTAATGGGTCATGATTTGAGTCCATGCCTTGGCGGTTAGCCTACTACCTACTGGACGTTCTTCATAGGCTGTTTCTCACATACTGGCTGTCGCTATATATCATCAGGAAACATAACTTTACGTATTTCAAAGGACAGTGGATCAGCCTTGAGCTCTGGCCATTCAAGATTCACAACCATATCCCGGATGTCGAAATCGAACTTCCTGAAAACACTTCGCTTGCGGTGAGCTTACTTTTTTTTTTTTTTTTTTTCTTTTGAAAAGCTTAATGATGGTATTTAGCAGAGAGCATCTTCAATATTCCTCGGTTTTGTTGTCATTAGAAAATTTACGGTGTCTGCAGAGGAAGCTACGGAAATGTCCTTTCAGGTATGAGTAGGCTGAGGTGTGTCCGAATTCCATATATTCAGGCGCATAGGCCGATAAATTAATAAGGTTTTGTTGTACTCTCATTAATTCTCGTCAGTGATGAAGCGCATTTGCACTGCACCAGGCTACGCTCGTTTTTCAGTCTACTTTCTCAAGAAAGAGAATGCAAGACTTGCAGTCAGCTCCATACAATCTGGTAGAGTCGGTATCGGCCACCAGAAGAAGAAGAAGGTATTAGGCATAACGATCGCGTTAATTCATGAGTCAGAACATAGTATATCATATTGATGCCTATTCTTCCTCCCCAGGGAAAATTGACCATCGATGGACATACTCCAAAGTTTGCCACCACAAACGTTGATTCGCCTTCTGTTCACGATTTGTTCTTTCAAATCAAAACTCCTGAAAAAGCCAAGGGGAACGTGATTGATGTACCTATGAACATCACCGATCCTAAACGGTCTACCACGCAGATCATGCATATTGTACCGGTAGGTCGCTACCTGTCGATGCATCTCAAGCGCGTGTCATCCACTATGAAAGAACGAAAACATGCACGATTGCTAACAACGTTGAGTCGTGTCATAGGGAGGCCAGGGCAGCAATCCCACCACCAGCAATACCATTAACAATAATAACACCAGCAGCTCCAGTAGGGGCAACAATAACAGCAGCAGTAAATTGTCAAAGACTGGCAGGCGTAAACAGGGATCCGCTGAGGATCAGCGCTCAACCAAGTTTTCGAAATCGTACGTCATTCCAGAGCTCCTTCTTCGCCCAGGAGAGATCAACAATATGCATTCTAGATCACGAACTTCAAGGAACACACTTTCGGATTGGTATGATATCGCATTCATCTGTTACGAGACTCTCTACAATATGTCATCGAAATCCAACCAAGGTCGAGTCTCAGTATCTACGCTGACCTGGGGCTCTCAGTTGGATATATCAACGTTCCGATTGCATTACGGTATGGCATGCCAAATTTCATTCCGTTGAACAGAGGCGTTTATACAGTACGGCCTCGTGAGCGATTGCGCACAAAACTGAATTTCAGAGATTAACTACGAGCACATCTTGGCTTTGAATACACAGGGTCGGTATTTACACCATTTGGTTCCCAGAACCGGCATCCCGTTGCGTCATGTCTGACAGTTGAGATGCGACAATATGGAGACAAAGATTCTGCGGCAGAAGTTTTGGCTATTCGCAACAATGGCCATTTGTACGATTCATGCGAAGTAAGACGTCACCTACACCCAAGCATGCGGACAAAATTAGGGAACGTTATTTTTGAGGACCAAACATAACAGCTTGCTAATCTTGGAATTTCCGAACTTTTAGGCAATGTTGGAGGGTATAAACGTCGCTGGCCGAGGTCCCGTCATGGATATGAAGTAAGCGTACTTTGGTTTTGAGTACCCTAATTGTGTAGGAGTATAGCGAAGGCATTAGCTGATCAGTTGCATTCCTATTAGATGTTTAGAGTCAGGTCACCTTGTAACATCTTCCATGTCGACAAATCAGACGAACAATCTCTACGTCTGGGATATGAGAGACGATGCAGAGCAGGCTAAGGTCCCGGTTGTCGCGTAAGCATTTATGGAAGGTCCTGACGAAGTACATGAGCCTAGCCTCAATTTTTGTTTGCAGACTATATTGATGCGATCAACTGTTTTCTGCTCGCTTAGATTGAAATCGCAACTGCGGGGCAAGATCTACTTTGATGCCTGCAATGGCGATGTGTGCAGCGTTGGTATGTTTGGTTCGCATGGCTGATTACAATATCAACTGCGTCCATTGAATGAATCTCACCTCTTCTTTAAAATAATGTCAATCATCTAGATGACAACGGCACCATCCACAGCTACGATCTATACACGGCTGCGTTATCCAACAAGCATACTGACACTCGTACGTGCTCCCGCAAAAGAGATCAACTAGTTCTCTATTGCCCTTCCTGTTCTGACTTTTCGCACTTAATTATTGTATTATTCGAACAGGCAACTTAGATTATACGGCAATGACGGATATCGACTTGGAGTACAAATTTTTCTCGTCCTGCATTTCAATCAATGGATTCGATTCGACTGTCCTCGTAGGATCAAGTGAACACGCCCAAATTGCCCGCTGGGACCCACGATCGCCTTCCTCGAATATTTTTACGTCAACGGCATGTCGCAGATGGGGCACGCGGGGTTCCCAGCGCAGGGACTACGATCATATTTACGGCATTGAATGGAGCCCCAGAAATACCAATGAGTTTATGACGGTTCATATGGAGGCCGTCCGTATCTGGGATGCGCGTAAAATGGACCGTGATGTAGGCGCTTGCTATTACGTTTCTTTTTCGTTTTTTAAAATTGTAGTGTAATGTTATTGACTGTGTCGCGTATTCTTTACTCCGCATTCTAGATATTTGCAACAACGCACTGTATGGCCCCAACGGCGCTTCGCAAGGCCCAATGGTCACCACATCGGTCTGACTGTATAGCCGGACTGACCATGGACGGCCAAGTGAAGATTTGGAAGATCAAGAATTTTGATGTCCCTGCGGATATATCAACCCCACAACAGTACCCAGAGGAGCTGTTTGTACACCAGGCACATGAGTAATGTCTTTGTCGTATCGGCCCTCTTGCCGAGGGCGGTTTCTTTTTTTTTTTTTTCTTTTTTCGCACACCTAACATGAGCTTATGCGTTTTTCTTTAGTTTGATGATATCGGATTTTGCCTGGTGCCCGTATGTGGAGGATGTGATTTCAACCGTTTCTCCCGGTACTGTTGGTAGCGCAGGCCATATTCAAGGTACCTCCATCACTCTCTTGTGGTAATCCTGCTCAAAACAGAAACTGAGTGTCCTATTGATATCGATTTGTTCATTGCAATCTCTTTGTAGTCTGGCGTCCAAGAAACCTGCATGAAAGCGACGACAATGGCGAGCCTTAAATGAAACTATATACGGTCAACATAGATATCCTACAGTTTGACGCTTTGACAGGGTCTCGCTGTTTTCGACCTCCAATGCTGAAAGAGTCATCGGTGTATTAAAGGTCTTGACATTCTCAGAGTTTCGATCATAAGGGATAAAAATGGTTAGAGGGGACTTTATTATGTTTGACCTTTAAAAAAAGGCTTAAGCAGTGCGCTTGGCAACCTCTGCTTTGAAGACCTCGGCAATGTTGCCGTTCTTGACACCGTCCTCCAAGGTCTGGCGGACAGCCTCGAGCTGATCTAATCCCTTGGCGCCGTCCAAGAGGGCATCCAGCAGCTCGAGCTGCTTCTCGACCTGGGCGGGTCCGGCGTTCTCGCCAGCGGGCAAGAAATAGTTGTTGTCCTTGATCAAGGCCTTCAAGTTCTTCTTCTCCTTGCGGACTGCACGCTTCAACAGCTCCTTGTTCTTCTTGCCGTCCTCACGAGCAGCCTTCTCAGCCTCCTCGGAGGCAATACGCGCAGCCTCAGCAGCAGCGGCGGTGGCAGCAGCCTCCTCGACCGCACGCTTCTCGGCCTCCTCCTTCTCGCGGCGCTTGGCGTTCCTCTGCTTGTTGGCCTGCTCTTTGAAGATCTTGATACGAGGATCCAGCGACAAGGCCTGGTCGACAATCTCGCGCAGACGGGCGTTGTCCTCCTTCTTCAGCTTGGCACGCTCAGCCTTGTTCTTCTTCTCAAAGTATCGCTTATCATCACGCGAGTCATGGCCCTCACCGTCCTCCTTGTCCATCCACTCGAATGTCCTCCACGAATCGAACTTGTACCAGAAGTCATAGAATCCCTGTACATCCTCCTGTGACGACTCAGCGTTACCCAGCTGAGGGACAGGCTGAACATTCGAGAAGCGCGACTCGCGCTCAAAGACAGGTCCGTACTGCTTGTAAAAATCCTGCTTGCTCTTGGGGTTGGGGATCTGATCCGAGACGTTGGGGTCGACGGAATCCCACTGGCGACGCTTGACGGGGTCCATGAGGGTCTCGAAGGCCTTTTGGATGCACTTGAAGAATCCGTCGTCATGGAGACCACCGTGAGCAGCCTTCTTGTCGGGATGGTGCTTCAGGACCTTCCTGCGGTGTGCACGACGGATCTGGTCCTCGGTGGCCTTATAACGGAGGGCCGAGAGTCCCAAGACAGCATACTGGTCCTGATCCTTCCAATCCTTGGGGTCGCGGCGGAGCATGGCGGGGTCCTCGGGCTCGTCACCGAGATCAGAGTTGTCCTGCTCGCCATCGCCAGCGCTCTTGGCGGCAGCTTCGGCTTCAGAGATCACCTTCTCGTCCTCAGAGAAGGTGCGCGAGTGGATGTGACGGCGTGCATGGGCGAGGAAATGGCGACCAACGGGCTGGATCGACGCCTTGGTGGGGGTCGCGATCTTGGCGTGGAAGGCCGACGTCTTGTCGGCAGACCAGGACTTTGGTGGCGAAGGGAGGAGGAAATCCAGGACCATCTTGATGAATGTGAGTGAATGTGTCGTTGAGAAGAGAGAGTAGTGAGATCGAGGCAACTGCAGCAGGAGTTTTTTTTTTTTTTGTTTGGTCAGAAAAGGTCTCACGTGTTTTATTCTAAGTTCTAATCGAAGTATTCCGTCTGGGCACCGCCGTCAACGACGTCCAGAACCTTGTACATGCTCTCGATGCCGCCATTGGGTTGACGCTTAAAAATTTCCTGCACTGCCGCCGCAATCTCGCCAAAGTTCTCGGTCGCTAATACCAGGATGGTGGGTCCAGCACCGCTCAGACAAATGCCCACGACACCGGGATAGGTCTTCGGCGTGATCTGCTCCAGCATCTCTGACATTCCAGGAATCTAATTGCAGAAGCAAGATATACGAAAATACATGGTGAAAATGTTAGTTCTTGCGAAATTGATCGCTTGGTTGACAACGCACGAATTACTTAGCTCTGTTTGAAGTGAGAGAAACGAGGAGAACAAAAATTAGGGCCATACCAAATGCTTCCTGTATGGCTGATGGACTTTATCGCTCATCGCCTTGTGGATCAAATCGGCATCGACAGGTGTACGGGATAACGCTGTAGTCAAGACTGCAATGCGCTGCAGGTTGTAGATCTATCATGGGCGAAGTTGCGAAATAAGGTTGTAGAGGAGACATGGCGTCAGCATGTCGGTTACGCCTTCAAATACCGGATACACAATGCAATGGCACATGTAGTGGAGATCAAACAGCAGCAACAAAAGGTGCTTACAACATCCGCGCGCTCGTACATGTCAGGGAGCACAGCCCTGGCATCCTCGGTGGCGACCTCGAAATCAGGAATGACCGCAATTGCCTTAATTTCCTTGGCCCATCCCAACTGGATATAGTGTCCGATGTCCGTCACTGGCGTTGGTGGTTGAGCCGCTCCATTCCTCGTAGGTTCCGATCGGGGGATACTGGAGGGCTCCAGCTCCTCTGGTTCCAGCTCTCTCAGGAAGCTGGCGACGAATCCACCAAACAGGGCCGGGGCCACATTGTCCGGGTGACGCTCGACCATCAAGCAGTAATCAAGCATGCGATCTTTAGTCATACCCAAGTTTCCTGCAGCATTCGCGAGCACCACGCCGGCAACTACTGCAGAGCCCGATGAACCGAGACCACGGCCTAGGGGAATCGGGTTCGTGACATGAATCTTGAGCGGTGGCAAGGAAGTGATGCCGTAGGTCGAGAGGACGTAGAGGGCAGTTTTTGTGATCAGGTTCTTTTCTGGAACCAGGGGCACATCCTTGGCACCCTCGCCTTCATAGGTCATTTGAAGTCCAGATCCTGCGGGGAGCCTCTCACAGTCGAGGGTGAGGTAGAGCGAGAAGGCCATGCCCAAGACATCGAAGCCTGGGCCAATATTGGCCGACGTCGCTGGGACAGTAACCTTGAACTTGTTGAGGGGGGCTGCCATAGTGTAAGAGGTCGTTAAGGTGGGCGGCGGAATGACGGCAGAATGCGAATGCCTTGAATGGAGCGGGGAGCGGAGAGAGGAATGGAGGAGTAGAGACAAGGGATCAGCGGTGCCTGGAGTGATGGTGGGGAAGTTAAGAGATAAGAAAACAGGGTGTACGAAGGTGCGGGGAAATAAAGATCTTCCCACAACTCCAACATTTGACGGTCCTTTGCGCGCCTGTTGTTTCCTTTCCTCATACCTTCCCTCTGGCGACTGTCACCATGCTCTGTCCTCGGCGTTCCGTGCGAGCGACCATAGGAGTACATTTAGCGAAAGACTCAAGCCGGGATATTTCCAATAAACTCGTCGTCAATGATAGAACCGTCCGAGGCTCATGAGGTTTCCAGAGACCGAGACCAGGAGGACAAAAAAAAGCGAGCCCTGGACGACCATGAAAATTGAGTGAGAAAGCGGAGAGGACTGCTTGCCGAGAAACGTCGTGCAACCCTGACAATGTATGCAGACGAGCGGTTCGAAACGCTTTTCATCGGAAGCGAATTGTCTGGACCGACAGGTCTTCACTCGAAACTGAGGAAAGTTACCTTCACTACTACGTTTAGGATCCAAATTGCCTCAATTTTGCTTTCAAGAGTAGATGGTCCACAGTCATGATTAGGGACGCGTTAGTGGGCTACAAGAAGCCCAGCTTGATCATCATTTCACCAGGAAGGCGCACCACGGTCGGTTTCTTGACGTAGTATATTATGGCAAGTGCCTTGGCTTTCTAGGCATTATTTCTGGTGGCGACCTGATAGAGGATGATGCCTCTATCCACGCTACTTAGGTTTTGGATGTGTGCTGAGAAGGACAACTCATCGGGAGAAGCAAGTGGCCTGCCAATTTATCAGACCTGAACCCTATCGAGTATGTCTAGCGCCTGCTTAAAGACACGATACAGTATCGCTGCTTAAACCCCAAGGTTATCGAATACAAGGGCCAGGAAGGACTCCTTCGAACGCCTTTGCGAGGCTATGGCAAAGAAAATCTAAAAGCGAAGGGTGAACATACGGATCACTAGGCCATCAGCAAGACTCAGCTATCATTTCATCATTGAGCATAGCAACTTCATTTGATTTTTCTACTGCACTTCGAAGAGAGTCATACATTGCTATGCCTATCTGATGGTTAATGGGCATGGTAGGTACATTAAACCTGACAAGAAAGTGAATAGCCCAAGCAAGGTGTGAGAAATTCTTTATTTCCGGACATAATAGTCATATCTTTGAGTCATGCATCGTAAAATACAATTTGTTGCGGCGGTCCAAGAAGAGCAAAGGGATTAGGCCACAGGAGCAACTTCCGCGTCCTCGTCCACTTCCACAAGTATGATCTTGTCCACACCCATGAACAGGGCCTGGAACTGGAGACATCCTGACATCAAAATCTGCTCCTGTGTCTGCTGTAGCTTCTGCAAGTGCAGAGAAGGAAGCGGATTCGACCGGGCCTGACGGAGCTGGAGATATCCTAGCCTTCTTTGATTCTGAATATATTGACATGGAGGCGAGTCTTGGGCCGCTTACAATGAGCTTCCTAGCGATTCAGGTAGCGGTAAAGGCCCCGTTGTAGTTTTCCCAAATGACATGGCGCCTGCCCTTGGAGACGCAGATGGCGTTACACTGAAATACGGCTAATCTCGTTGTAGATATGATACGCCTTCTCGTGCCGAGTTCTCTTCACACTGACACCTTTAATGAGACCTGCATCCGCGCTTCATCCGAGAAGCGCACGTAAGTGCCCCGGAAGTTGGATACCTCTATTATCTTAGCTCTGGCAGCTGTTTGGCTATGAAGCTGCTTGACTATGTCACGACAATGAGCGTATGCAACTTTTTCATGGTAGGATTGGAAAAACAAATCTGGGACTCAATTTGCCCATCTCACGCTTCGTAGCCATTTCGATAAAGAACGATCCTGAGGGCCCCAGTCTCGAGGCTGAGGAAGCGATGGTGTCCTCCGAGATACTTCATAGTAGTGCTTACCGGCAAAGGCTCTAAGGAGCCTGTTGTCTGTAGCTAGGCACCTGGACTATACCTGGTTGAGGGATGCGAATATTCAGTACACTATCTAGCCTGTGGCGTCTCCACGCGTCTCAAGAGCAATGTGTTTTGCTGTGCTTCGCGTTCTGATTATATGTGTTTTCTACTTTTCTATTCCAGTGGCCTACAGCTGACAATGGAAATGAGACTTCAAAGTGGCCGTTTGCAAGAGAACGATTGTATCATAGACTGGTGACTAATACCTAAACACGGATATCCACCATTCAATAGACATATCCGCGATCACGCAAGAGGCGCAATTGCGGAGTAATTGTTGCGTTAGTAATTTTATATGGCGTGCCATCGCGATGGTTTTTTGTTCTTTAGTAGGAGAGAGACTATAGGAAGCACGCGGCCTCCAATTGGCTATGCAATGAACATTAGCGACTAATCATGGATTCTTTGAAGGGAATACTACACGTAAGGCATAGGCCAAACTACTCGCGAGAGTCCATGAAACCGCTCATCTCAATATCTTCCCGGCTCAATGCTCGATTACGATCCTCAGAATCGACCCTAGTCCGAACGCGATTATAGGTTTTTCCCGCACTGCCGTTTGCTGCACCAATCCTTTTCTTGCCCACCTGCGTCAATACGAGCATGTAAGTCACACAGAAGAACGCAAACGCCATGACCCAATTGATGTAGGTACTCGGATCCGAGAGGTAGTACATGACCATGTTCAGCTGCTCCTCGTGCGCAACCTGGAAAAGCAACCCCGCAGAGATCACGCCCAGCGCAGACAAGAAACCAAAGAATGCCGATACGGGTGTCTCTCCATTCGCAAGACCAGGCAAGTTGTCGCTGTGGTCAGGTCCAAGATGACGCGTTCTGGACTTGTCCTGAAGATCATCATCTTCTAACGTAATATCGTCCTCATCGTCAACGCTGTTCCTGATACCAGACGACTCCATAGGTGAGACTGGAGGACGAAGTGCCAGCTGGATCAATCGGCAGACACCGCCCAAAATCAAGCAGTATCCAAAAAAGGTGTGCACCACGGTCGCAAACATGTAGTACTGTGCGTGCTGACCCATACCGTATCCAGTTAAAATGATTAAAAGCGAAGGAATAGGGTTCTTGCGAATAATGAACTGAGCCAAGGGATTGAACTTGGACTCGAGTACCAGAGACAGCATTCCGCCGCCCACCCAGAGCAATCCCATTGATGTGTGTTGCAAATCCTATGAGGAGACAACGCAAAGTTTGACTGTCAGCATCCTGTAGAGAATCCCCCAGCAGAGTAAAGAGCATTATCGAAAAGGGAACTTACAGCATGCGACCAGCGAGTGCCCCATTGATGAAGAATCGAAAAGTTGATAATTCCCCAGACGGTCATGACCACGGACTCGTACCATTCCGGACGAGAGACGCCTGGGAAGGAGCCCACGAGATAGGCAATGTAGATGCCACCGTACCACCAGAACGAGCCACCCTATGATGTAGAATACACAATAATGAGCATTTACCACAGCCCTGGCACCGTGCTGTTGAGAAAAATGTATATGCGGCTCTTACCATGACAATATGTGAAATGCACTGTCCAAAGGCCTGTCCAGGGCAGGCTTCGACGAGGCGAATGAATCCAAGGACTATCTGAATGTATGCCAAGGCCAGGTGGGCTTTACCCAGATACGAGTGGATGTTCTTTGGCAACGAGCCTGACAGCCATGCCAAGCGCAGCCTTGGCCTGGCCTTTGTCAGCTTGCGATAGACACCCATGCCGACCTGGACAAATAGTAAAAGTAACAGCAGGTTGGCCATTGCACCGTGGGCAGAAGTCTTCCAGGCCCATCCATAGTGCTCTGCTGAGGTATCTCCAGCCTGTCGCTTCCGCATGCCAGGCATGCCACCCATGCCTGCACCAGGATCGTGGTGGTCACCGTCCCCGTTATTGTCGCCGTCATCATGATCATGGGCGTCTTCGAATATGTGGTGTCCGTATCCAAAGAAGTAGCCGGCCATGGCTATGAGGAACGTGGCAGTGTTCCAAGGCACATGGTACTTGCTTCTCCGGATACCGAGCTGGTTTGATCAAATCAAAAATAGCACACACGGCGTTAATAACTGGTGGAAACAAAAACAAAAGAAGGGAAAAGGATACACAAGGCAAACAAGCAAAGACAACTTGCCATAATTCCGATGGGCATAAGGATGCCGTAGGCGGTGATCATACAAGTGACATGGATGATGATGAGGGGATTGGAGAGATGTGAAGCAGAGACCGGGTGGGCATTTGGGTTGACATCGTTCATGTGCTCCATCTTTCTTTAAGCTAGGCTTTTTTCCCCTGTCGGGAAAAAGGAAGGATGGACTAAAGGGAGACAGACAGAACAGGAACGAGCCGGTAGTAGTGTATGAAGTGGACAGGTGGACAAGTGGACAAGCGAACAAGGAGGATTAATGCGGAGTGAGCGGAGAGAAGAACAAAGGCAAGTCTAGACAGGTTAAGGAAGAGGATAGAAAGGGAAGGGAGGCAGCAGCAACACCGCAGGTTTTGTAGCCGTCCAAATGCGAACTTCCTCTTTGAGGCACATCGATTAACCGAAGTGTAAAATGCCGAAATGAAAACATACTTTTCTTGTACCTACGCCGCATCGCAGCATGTGCATAGACGGAACCCAACGAGTTGTATTTGGTGCTTGAAGGTCGTTAGTCCCCCACCCCCCCAAAAATAAAATAAACCCCCTCCCCAAAAATGAACACTCAAGCGAGAACGAGCATGTCAAACCATCTCTCCATCTGTAAAATGTCCATGAAATGAGATCGAGAAGCTACACCATTCCATGGAACATCGTCCTACCAATCTTTTCCGCGAAAAGGGTGTTTAGTATGCATTTTCTTGGGCGCCTGTCTCTATGCTGCAACACATAAAATTTGGACTGAGAAGTTGGTAATGGTGATTTTCTACTGTGCGCGTTTTGTTCGTCCACTCCCCCTTCCCCGTTTGCAACTACTCCTCGATCACCTCAGCAGAAGACCAGGCCACCAATGCCTGACCAGCACCTTGTCAGCACCACAGCTACATCCAACCATGACAGAGCCATCACTCACAAGGACACAATGGAATTACATCCACCTAACACTTCCGCCAGTAACAGTGCTAACGGCAACAGTAACGTTACCAAGAGGACAAGCATAGCTGCAGGGACACCGACTCTGTCTAAAACAGAGACCGTTCTCTGTGGTGCCGCTGCTGGTGTAGTCTCGCGCTTCGTTATTGCGCCCCTAGATGTCGTCAAGATCCGTCTGCAGGTATCCTTTTTGTTTATTAACCATCTATCCCAATGGATCCGACTCTTGTTCTATCTGCTACACGCTTCGCACTGTCTCTTATGCTTTATTCTGATTACAATAGATGCAAACACAACGGAAGGAACTATCGACCATCCTCAAAATCAAAGCTGGCGCAACTGGAGATGCTTCAGCAATAGGGAGCATTGCAAAGCAGCAACCAAAATACAGGGGCATGTTTTCTGGGATGGCAACAATTGTTCGTGAAGAAGGCATCCGGGTATGTTTTGTCTCCGTCAGATCAATTCTCCTCTGTTATCGCCTTTTGTTCCATGGGCAACAATGGATCCATCTTGAACTCGACTGATTAGAAGTGCCGCGATTGGGGATTATGTGTCATTTAGGGACTATGGAAGGGCAACATGGCTGCCGAGTATCTTTACTTGACCTATAGCGGAATTCAGTTCCTCGTATACCAGCAATCAAAGGTGCTTCTCAACAGAACAGCAGAGCTCACCGCTCAAAGAGCCTTGACAGTACGTTCAGTTGGAGCAGGGACCACTCCAACGTCGGGATCAGTCCTCGCTGCGCCGCTCAGTGCCATCTCAGTCATGACAAATTCATCCGCTGTTCAATCTTTCATCGCTGGAGCAAATGCAGGCATCGTGGCCACAGCGTGCACCTATCCGTTCGACTTACTCAGGACCCGTTTTGCTGTTCAGCGGGATGTCAAAGTAGGAATATGTTGGGTTAACTAATGAGTGGCTAATTTTCTGGCAGAAAATCCGTACTCAACAATACCCTCTACTTACCACTGCTATATAGGTATATACAGGTATCGTCCAGGCGTGCCGGCACATCTATCGCGCGGATGGTATCCAGGGATTTTACAGAGGCATGTCACCGGCGCTGATACAGGTGATTCCTTACATGGGTATCATGTTTGGAACGTACGATTCTCTGAAGCGCATCGCATCGTGGTTGAAGTACAAGGACAATGTTGAGTCATCGTATTCGAAACGAATAACCACAGTCTCTGCTACGCCTGTATCTACAGAGACCTCGACTACAACGTCAGGATCCGTACAGTTAACGTCACCATCATCCTTGCCACGGGCTGACCAGGAAGTGAAGATGCGTCTTGTCAAAACTGTGGGACAATTTTTGTTGGGGCTCGAAGACCTACTGTGCGGCGCTCTTTCTGGCGTAATCTCCAAGACAGGTGTCTATCCTTTGGACATGGTCAGAAAACGGCTACAGATTCAAGGATCGGAGCAGCAGAAGGTTACCGCAAATGCTTATTCGCCATCAGGTTTATTAGGATCTAAGCCCGCCACCAGACATAAGTTGCCGACAACTGTCTGGAAGTGCATGTTACATATCGCACGGACGGAAGGATACTTGGCATTGTATAAAGGATTACTTCCGGGTTTGGTGAAGGCCGCGCCTGCGAGCGCGGTAACATTTTTGGTGTTCTCTCAAGCTGGCACGTTTGTGGAGAAGTTTCGGGGCCGCACATCCACACCAACGTGAATCGTGCGAATAAAATCAATACTTTTATGAACGCGTCTGATGGACCCTATCAATGAGTTGTTGCGGAAAAGACCAGCCTGGAATGAAGACAACGACGCGTTTTTGGCATATTCTGTCGCGTTCTCACGCGTTCCACGTGCAGCAGCGGTGGAGACAACTCGGTTTTCCTGCACACAACGTGTGCATGAAAAGAAAAACATTGTCCCTTTGGTCACCCGTTGTGGTCACACACCTCTTCATCATTCTTCTTTTTCTTCACAACAGCATCATCCTCACCATACAACACTTCTTCATAATCAGTCTCCCCTTCCCTTGCGGCCACACTTGACTTCATTACCAAACAAC